TGGCAATAAAATAAATGGCAGCACTTTCGGTTTTACACACACACACACACAGCAAAAGAGACATCCATACACATACAAGGATATATATAATATATATGTATATACATGTGGTGGGTACCTGTGGAAAATGGCAATTTGGAAAGGTGGAAACGTGGAAAAGCGAAGCCTGCAATGGCCATATATCAAAAGGCGAAAGAGTAAAGCACATAAAACCAGCACAAACTAAACGAACGTGAGATGGGGAAGGGCTGGCAGGGTGGCAGGACGAGAGACGGCAGGACAGCAGATTTGCAGGCAGCCAGTTGGTTAGCGGCAAATATTTGTGGTACTTTCAGGTGGCCACTGAGTGGTTTATGACTTCTTAGGGCCGTCCGAAATCAAAGACCCGGACGGGGTCAGGGCACTAAACGCTCCCGGATGCACTGAGGGAAAGCTTATTCTGAAGCTTAGATATATTTGGAGCTCCTCAGGGTGTACCAATGGATGACCTTACTTTTCTCTCACTGCATGTGGGTGGCACTTTGTAAAGGTCTCAGGTGAAAGTCTTAAAATGAATGCATCATCTCATTGTTCAAAGTATTGACAACATTGTAGTTGGATGAGAGGGGACATAAGAGGAGGCGGATGGGCGGGGAAAAGGCATAAAACCCACGCATGGGTGGTGAACGAAAATGTAATTTCTAAAAGGATTACCGAAAGCTTTAAAGCAAATCCAGGCGACAAGGACGCTGAAGGAGCTGGTGACATGAAAAATGAATTGCAAGCCACGACAAAAAAGGCAAGTTTTCATTTTTCCAGCACACACACTCACAGACAGGGCACACATATGTGAAGTCATCGTCTCGCCGGCGTAAAAATATGTGAAAAATGAACGGAAATGCCGCAGCGACAAAGCGGAAATGAAAAATGCACACAAACGGACACACACACGTATAGACAAAGGCGTACGGGAGGGGAAAATGGCGGCTACCGCGACGCTTCAAGGGCCAAAATCAAAAAGCAATGCTGGAAAATGGAGAAATGGAGGAAAAACAAGGGAAAACCAGCACACAAAGCCCGACGGAAAGTCAGCGCCACCGAGAAGTACATTGTAATTAATGATGAGGCATAAGGCGCATAATCGAGATGCTGGGGTCGCGCCACCGCAGATGGCATATCCGTGTGAATACGTAAATAGGACATCAGTCCAAGGATGTCGTAGAAAGTCCCAGGAAGTCCCCGGAAGTGAGACTTTAAACGGCATCTTCAAAGTTCGAAGCCCCAACCTCAAAATGGGAATTTTAAACACACGTTCCACTTAAGAGTCAATGGGCGAGTAAGTTTTCGGCCTTTTCGGCATTCGATTTAATTGAAAAGCTATGTTCGAATCTAGTTTATGGCTAAACAAAGCCGATTACATTAATTTTAACCACCAGAAGCCATATGAAAAGGTCAGAACTCCCGTACAGTAGCGATTACATAACAAAAACAGGAAATAATACGAATGGTTTTTAATAAAATGGATCAAGAATGCCTTTCGAAGTAAGAACCTTTCTTTTTTTTTAATATTTGTAGGCCTGTCATCCTCTAAATGAGGTTATCCTTAAGCAGTGCCCACTGTAGAACGAAAATAAAGGGTTCGCCCACATACAAAGTGGCCAGGAAACTTGTTGAGAATGAATCGGAAAACTCTCCCTGGCACACACACACACCAGCACCCTGCACACACAAACAGATACTCGAAAAGCCACTCAGTCAGGTGTTAAAACTAATTTACGACAATTTGACCAACAAACAACAAAAGTTGCCCCAGGCAGGACTCCTTGGCTCTGAGTGCTCCGCATATTTCACACGCTGCATGAAAAGGATCCACTTTTCGGTTGAGGGGGTCGATGAGGGGGAGAAATGCCACAATTCTCATCCACCCACCTCCGACCACACTGACCACAAAAGCATCCAAATCGAACAGAAGCCATGTCCGACAAGCACTCGAGGACAGCTCGAGCCGAATTCCGACCACAACTTGATCCCAATTTGGCTGTGAATTTTGCTCCTTGGCTCCCTCCCGCAAATAGACTCGAATTCCTTTTTGCAGTTTTCCATTTTTTTCCGCTTGAGAGGGACGGGGAGGCGGGGCAGGGCCCTTTCTTAAGGAAATTAATCAGGCACACACACAGACCAGAAGTGCAACTCATCTGGCTCGATCCTGCCGAGTCATTCGTGGATAATTAGCATGTAATTAAAGCGGATACGCCCCCGGGTGGGAGCTGCGGGAGGAGCTGCTAATGATGATGAAGTAACAGTCAGCTAATGCATATAAATTGTGCAAACAATCATCAGGGGTCCTTGCAAACTATCTAGGTTTTTTTGCCCAATTCGGATCTGATTAATCTCAAAAGTGAAGCCATTGAACTGAAAGCCAGTCTTTAAAGATACCCAGAACCATATAGGAATCCAATCCTTGGGAAATTAAACTCTTTAATGCCTCTAATCTCCAGTCAATGATTAACTAACGAAATCCATCCCCCCACCTTGGGTGTCCATTCATTTACCGGCCTAATGAATTACCAAACCCAGAGCAAACACTGCGCAGAAGAAAAAGTCCTGGAGGAAGGAGTGCGAAGGAAAGGTAAATGGAAAGTCATTATGATACACATTTGGCTTAATGAGATTTTTTTATGCTGATGCCCCGGAGGGGGAGCCGGCATTGGGATGGCAACACGCAAACGTCTTTCTAATTATTCACAATGAAAGGCACTGAACTAGCAGAGCATTTTGACACCTTTATGGCTCAATAAATCGGACCGAATGCAAAGGACCTCCAGTCCGAGCACGCCAGTTCATTAGAAACTCACACGGGGATTTTGATATCGCCTCTGATTACGCTCAAGATTTCGAGGCCACTCGAAGCTCTCTACTTCTACATTTCGCAGTGCACTGAAAGAAAAGTGTGTAAGTGAAATTTTCTATAAAATTGTTGAGGAACTTCACCTTAAATGCCTTTTTTTTAAGTGCCTCCAAAAGGGAGCCATGGGCACGTAAAGTTTACAGTTACCCAGGCTCAGACTCGTTAGTGGCCCTCATGTGTGTGAGTGTGTGGCAGTAAAAACAACGTCCAGACAGAGGTCCTGCCTGGTCTCAGGACCTGCTGCGGGTCGTCTGCTTATGAATAATGTTTTCATTTTCAGCTCGACGAATTTGCCATCGTTTCCTTTCCGTTCTCCGTCATTCGTCCTTCGTCCTTCGTCCTAGGCACGCAATTGCATGTTAAGTGCATATGATTCTCAGCCCCTCTCCAGCCAACTGAAGCTCCTTAAGCCCCCGTCAACCAGGACTAATATGCGAAAATTATGGGTTGTAATGTAAGAGGCACTTTTGCTTCATTTTTTTTAATGACATCCAACAAACGCGACATGTTCCTCCGCCACTCGAACAGGGATCTGGGTCTAGTTTGGAGGACTAGTTCCCAGTGATTAGTCCTGCCGCGGCTGCCACGATGGGCCAAAACAAACATTAGAAACTGCCGTCATTTATATTAATTAATGGCGTCTGCACTTGAGAGCCAAGGAGTAAAACTTTTGAGCTCTTTATGCTGATGAAGTTCAAGCTGAGGGGTACGAGGCAATTATAGACTGAAATTTTACTGTCATTTGCATAGAAAATGACTTTAAAGGGGTCATAGTATTCAGATACTGAGTCCTACATATTGTACTAAATTTTGCTAATAAATAAATGAATAAGAGTATCTTATTTCCGCAGCCACAATGCTTAATAAAGTCGACCATCCGCTTGCTTGGATAGTCCGCCAGCCCAAAAGTATGCAACAGCCTCTGACCGAATGCGGCATGGGATTTTCATAAAATCAGCAACCATTTTGAACGCATCCGTTTCCGGTTTTGCATGGCGGTTTGCATTTTTGAGTAAAAGCGTTGATCCCTACTCTTTTTAGTCGTTTCTGCCATTTGATTTGTCGCCTAAATTCCCGACATTTTTGACACCCGGCTGTCGGGGAATTCCGCCTTTTTCCATGGCATTTGACGGCATGACAAATGCAAAACTATAAAAATTCATTCGCCATTTCGTCCGTGGCAGTTTAAATTAAAAATAGAAACAAGCGAGCAGATTGGTGGGAATTTTAAAGTACATTATGTGCTTGAATGAATGGATGCATAGATGGACGGATGGATGCATGGATGGTTGGCTGGCTTGTAACCTAGACTTGTTAACAAAACTCTCGAGACATTCGAGGGAAGCATCAGCTACAGATGACGACCCGAGGGCCTCACTCTCGCCCTCTTCCGCTGTTTAATATGCACTTGAGAACGTCGAAGTTTCAGTTTCGGTTTCAGCTGCAACTGCACAGGGAAAAAGGGTTCATAAACAATTACTTATACTAATTACAATAAATAAATGTAATATTTATATTACTAGTCCAATTCAGGAGGTCTTTGAAAGCCCTCCCAAGACTTTATTTCAATTCAAAGATCATCCATTTCTTCCAGTGCACGGAGGTATGCCTTTCACTGGCTTATACCTAGACCTCCTTCCTCGGCAAATGCCTGCTAGCCTTTCACTAAAAATAAGTGTTGAGCAAACATTCTGCGGGCATGGAAGTTCGCTGCTGCCACATCAGCACCATTTGCAGCATCTTTGTCCTCTCGGTCTCGAAACAGGGCCATATTTGTAAAGCCATGAGCTGCGACATCCCTCGGCAAACAAAAACGCAGTGCAAGATGTTCAACACTTGGGGCATCAGACCACAAACCGCAGACCCTCGATTAATGGAAGGGCGCAGCAGCCACTCTAGAGTGTGAAATAAATAATAAACTATTTGCTTTGAAAGCCGAGCCTAAAGCTGATGAGTCTTTAAAGGCTTGGGTATAATATTAGTCCTCTGAAAAGATCTACGACAGTATTCCCCAACCATTGTGGGGGTCCCTGATCGCTGAGTATATTAACCGATGGCTGATTAAACTAAATGCAATGTCAACACGAAAATGAAGTCAGTGTGCTTTCGAGCCATGGCCAACGTTGTCAAGCTGTTCCTGCTTATAGCCTACTGGTATGGACGCCTTATTGGAGCCATCAACTATGAGATAGATCTGAAAACTGGCAGAACCAGGACCACCAAAAAGGCAACAATTTACGCGGCCTGCATTCAAGTTTCTTTGCTGGTCCTGACTATCCATTACTGGAGCAACCCGATGCCGCTGTCCTTACTGTGGATTAGACCTAATTCGTTAGGCGAAGTAGTTTTGAAGATCCTGATTTTATTGCGGACTTTATGTGTGATCTTTTCGTTACTCAGCCGTTGGTCGAAACGTCGGCTATTTATGCGACTTTTTCGATCCACGCATCGGCTGTTGAGGCAACACCCGGAGACTATTCAGTTCATCCGGTTTGGTATCATTGGAAAAGGCCTCAGTATTATAGCAGTTGAGTTTTTCAATTTGACCTTCGGCCTGTTAGTGGGTTGGAGAGTACTATCCATTTCGCAGGCCTTGAACTTCTGTGCTATGTCGGCCTTCTTTTCCGTCAGTAATGTGGTTATCCACCAGCACTATCTAGCCATGGCCAAGATAAGGGGTATATCAGCTGCTGAACGAGGAGCTGAAGGCTGTGATAGCCGAAGTTCAGTCTCTGATTCCGAGGCGGCGTGGAGTGTTTGTGACCAAGTGCTGCTATTTGGCTGACCAGCTCGACGAGATCGCCCGCACCCAGTCGTACATCCAGGAGCTCACGAGGCACATCTCCAAGGTCTACGACGTACAGACCTTTTGCGTGGCGATCACCACCTATTTGAACATCATCGGAGGGCTGTACACGATGTTCTGCATGGGAAAAGCCAATAACTTCACCAATAACGTGCCGCCGATCATCCTGGCTTTGGCAGCTCCTTGTATTATTCTGTTCTACGTGGATATAGTGCTGAACAACTGGAGAGTTTTTCGTCTTTTGGATGCCCACAAGGAAATGGTAGGGTTGCTGCAGCAAAGAACACTTTTTCAACATGGCCTGGACCCGAGACTGGAGTTGACTGTAAGTTCCAACTTAGACATTTTCTGACATAAGACTCTATTTTATTCTTTTCAGTTTGAGAGCTTTCAGCTCAACTTGGCCCGCAATCCCTTTAAGATTATGTACTGCAGTGTCCTTGAATGTAATCGCTTTGCCTCATTCTCCATCTACAACTCTCTGATGACCAATGCAATACTCCTAATTCAGTATGATATGCAAAACTATTAACGAATTGTAATCTAAAAACTATAACCCACATAAAATCCTACCTACTCCCACAAATAGCTTCTGAAACTCAGTTCCCACTGAGGATAATTAGAGCCAAGAGCTAAAACAAACACCACAGTCTGCTAATATACAATCAGCAAATAGCCCTTTGCATAATTAATCCTTATCCATCGGGCATCGGAGGGACTCTTTCAACCCCTTCGGCTAGCCATTCGATTCAGTTCTTCACCATGCCTGACCCGGTCAAATGGTGCATATGTATCGGCTACTTTTACGGTCGGCTCACCGGAGTCTTGAACTTCGAGATCGACCTAAAAACGGGTCGCACCCGGGTCACCAATCGGGCCAACCTGTACGCAGCTCTCGCCCAAATAGTACTGACATACTTTCTGGTCCATCAGGCGATGGAAGTGAAGTTCTTTCGACTTTTTTGGTGGCAAGCCAATATTCTCCACGAGGTCGTGTATTTGGCGATGGCAGGATTCAGGCTGGGCTGCATCCTGATATCCCTAGTGAGTCGCTGGCTATACCGCCGTCACTTCATCCGGCTGTTCCACTCTTTCCGCTGCCTGGTCCACGAGCACCCAGAGATCACACAGTGCTGCCGCGTCGGGATCGTCAGCAAGTGCTTTTTCTCCACCGCCCTGGACGCTCTGATGCTTCTGATGGGCCTGGTCATGATGTGGCAGCACCTAACCGTATTTATGGTTCTGCAGATATGTTCAGTTTCGATCCTTACGGCCGTCATAAATGTGATCATAACCCAGTACCACGTAGCCATTGCCATTATAAGAGGGCGCTACACCCTCCTGATTAGGGAACTTGGGAGTATCATGGCCGAAGCTCAGACGTTGGTGCCAAGCGGAGTCGGAGTCTTTGTGACAAGGTGCTGCGCCCTGGCCGACAGCTTGGATGAACTGGCCGCAGCACAATCCAACCTGCAAGCTCTTACGGAATGTTTGTCGAAGACCTACGGTCTGCAGATTCTAAGCATGTTCATGGCGTATTATCTGAACTTTGTGGGAACTGCCTACTTGATCTTCAGTGTCGGGAAGTACACAAACATCACGGAAAACTGGCCACCTCTCTTCAAGGCTCTGGCAGCGGCCTACATGGTGATCTTCATTAGCGACTGTTATCTATGTACGTACAACCCCTTTCGGCTCCTCAACTCCCACTCTGAGTTGTCTGCACTTCTGAAGCAAAGATCTACCCTGCCGCCTGGATTGGACCCACGTTTGGAAATAGCCGTAAGTAGTCTATCCCAAAAAGGAGAACCTAACCCAAGCCGTTGTATTTTTCAGTTTGAAAACTTTGAACTGAACCTGGCGCGGAATCCCCTGACTCTGTCCTTCTTCGGGGCCTACACCATTGACCCTGCCTCTCTATTTGCCGTGATGAACTCCCTTATAACAAACGCAATACTCCTAATACAATACGATGTAGAGAACTACTAACCCCAACCAATAAATCACTTTAATATTTGATCGAAGGTTAAAGTACTAGCCCTAATTACCTGATTGTCGATTGCATCTTATCGACGCTACGAGGGTGGACGAGGAACAATGAGAAACACAGGTCCGGAAGACCCTTGTTTAGTTTTCCGCCATGGCTAGCCTGGTCGAATGGTGCCTCTACATCTGCTACAAGTACGGACGCTTCACCGGCGTCATCAACTTTGAGTACGACATGAAGGCGCGAAGGGCTCGGGCCACCAAGCGAACCACAGTGTGGGCTGCCGTTTCGCACTCCACCATGTTCCTGATGCTGCTGCTGCAAATACTTAAGCGGCAAACCATCGGTAGCATGTGGGCAGGTGCCAACACCATGACCGCCTACGTGTTCATGGCGATCGCCCTCGTCAGGATGTGCTGCGTTTTCCTGGCCCTGGTCAGTCGCTGGTGTAATCGCCAACGGTTCATGGAGCTGTTCAACGCGTACATGAATCTGAGCCTGGTGCACCCGGAGATAATTCAGTACTGCCGACGGTCCATCGTCAGCAAGTTCTTTACGGCCCTAATGGCCGAAACCCTGCAGATGGTGGTTGTCCTCTTGGTCCTGCGACGGAGGCTAACACTCACCATGGCCGTGGGAATCTGGTCCATCATGAGCTTAATGGCCATAATCAATGTGATCGTCACTCAGTTTTTCATCGCGTTGGCCCACATCCGAGGTCGCTACTGCCTCCTAAACAAGGAGCTCCGGGCCGTGGTCAGCGAAGTGCAGTCTCTCGTTCCCAACCGAAAGGGAGTCTACATGATCAAGTGCTGCTACCTTGCTGATCGGCTGGAGGAAATAGCCCAAACCCATTCCGAACTGCACGCCCTGGCGGAGGAGCTGTCCAAGACCTACCAAGTGCAAATCCTCTGCATGATCGTTACCTACTACATGACCATGGTGGGAAACGTCTATCTGCTCTTTAGCCTCAACAAGTATGGGGCCCTGACGAAGCTCCTAAACATCTACATTGGAGGCTTGGGAGTAATGTATCTGGTCTTTTACTATCTGGATTGTTGGCTCAACGGCCTCAACGTGATGTACTTGCTGGACGCCCATGCGGAAATGGTTCGGCTCCTCCAGCAGAGAACAAACTTCCAGCCTGGCCTGGATCAGCGACTAGAAACTGTGGTGAGTAGATTCCTCCGACATAAGCCCTATAATACTCCTCATATGTCCTCATTCCAGTTTGAAAGCTTTACCCTAAACCTGGCCAGAAATCCGTTCAAGCTGCGGGTTTTTGGAATGTTTGAAATGGACTACGCCTCTTCGTTTGCCCTGGGAGGCTCCATGCTAACGCATTCCATACTCTTAATTCAATATGATATAGAGAATTCCTAACCGCTATAACCCAATAACACGCTACACTCGTATTATAAATTGTTTTCGCTTAATAGTCCCAGCCTAGCCCCGGTCATTTATCATGAGGCTCATTAGCTTGTTCCAGTGGCGGATCTAGAATTGCTGGCGCCCGGGGCAAAACGAAAAATTTGCGCCCCCCCCCCCTCTCTGCTATATGAACGCGTTAATTTTTTTTTATATGAATAAAATTCAAAGTATTTTGGGTGTGTAAAAGGTTATATCATCTAAAGCTTATAGGTATGAAGAATTATATTTCATTTTTATTCTTTCGTTAGATGCATCATAAAAATACATTAAATGTTGTGTTTTTGTATGAAAACAAAATATTACTTCTGTAATATAACTTTCCTGGCCTTGGTTGCCGCAAATTCAGCAATAATATCATTGTAATCGAGTGATGCTGCTACATCATTTTCGATGGAAAGTATTGCCAAGTTTGATAGCCTGTCTTGGTTCATGGTTGTGCGGAGATAAGATTTTATTAGTTTCAGTTTACTGAACGATCGCTCACACGAAGCCACGGACAATGGTAGAGTCAGCAACATTTTCAAAGCCGTCACAAGTGTTTTGTACGCCTCTAACCCCAACGATGAAATGTATAATAATATTCCTTTTGGAGTGAGGTCGAGAGTTTCTCCATTTTTATTGGCTCTTTTCAGGAGAAAAATGACATCTTTAATATCTTCAAACAATTCCCTCCCGTTTAAATCGTTGGAATAGATTTCGGCTAATGATTTGCACTTATCGTTAACTTCCAACAGTTTTCTATCTAAAATTTCTTTATCGTCACCGAGAAAATGTAAGCAAACGCGCTCATAACCTAGCAACTCACAATTTCTCCAAGAAAGAAATTCCTGGAAATTACTGTTATGACGTTTGCTGTTATGACGTACGTTTCGAGCGCCTCGTTTCCTTGTGATCACATGTCTCGAAACACTCAGCACTTGTGTTAGTGCGTGCCCACGTGCGTAGCGCCGCGGGAAAATATGAATTCTCGAAACATACAGTGTTAGCCGAGCTCGATTTAGCGCCCCTTCGGGACTTGGCGCCCGGGGCGCTTGCCCCTTTCGCCCCCCCCTAGATCCGCCACTGGCTTGTTCCCATAGGCCTAAGTCGAGGGGCCAGTGAAGAGCGGCCAGTGGCGGTTATCATTTAGTGGTGAAGTATGCCTGACCCGTTCGTGTCCATCCTGCGCTTCTTCTACCTCTACGGCCGAGCTGTGGGAGTGATGAACTTCGAGGTGGACTGGCGGACAGGAGAGGCGAAGGCCACCCGGCGGGCCACGATCCTGGCAGCCGTCCACAACGTTGGAGTGACGCTTCTCCTATTTTACCTTAACATCCGCAGCGGGTCTGTGCGATCGTCCTGGATCGAAGCCCGGCTCATGCACGAGTACTTCTTCCTGCTGATGACCGTAGTCCGAACCCTGGCCGTTCTCCTGGCTCTTGCCAGCAGGTGGCGGCAGCGCCCCAGGATTCTTAGGCTCTGGAAAAGGGTTATTCAAATGATCCGCGCCAGGCCTGAGGTCGTGCGACTGAATCGAAGGAGCATCATGATCAAGTTTGTTTTGGGCGTCATGGCCGACTCGCTGCACTCCATTCTGGACCACAGTGCCCAGCGTAAAAAGATCGCCTCCGACATGTTACTGAATCTCCTCGTCTTGTACGCCTACACCACAATGTTCAACGTCATCGTGGGGCAGTATTACCTGGCAATTCTCCAGATCCACGCCCACTACCTTGTTCTACAAAAGGACCTGAAGATCCTGATGCAGGAAGCCGAATCGGTTTGCCAGATTCGCAACCGTCGAGGCGGTGTGTTCGCCACAAAGTGTTGCTTCCTCGCCGACCAAGTGGATGAGTTGGCCGAAAGACACTCGAAACTAGACGCTACCCGCCAGGATATGTCGGAGATTTTGCAGATCCAGAGCTTCAGCATGACCCTGGTCTACTATCTCTCCACGATGGCCACCATATACTACTCTTTCTGTTCTATTTATTACAAGAACACTGACTTGAGTTCATCGTACTGGGGCCTGCTTTTGCTGCTTGCCTTCTCAGTCTTTTATTATTTGGATTGTTTCATCACCATTAACGTTTCCTTTGTGATCGACGATCAGTGCCAGGAAATGATCACAATGCTGGCAGGTCGTGCAGTGTTCAGTAAGCCGTTGGATCAACGCCTGGAGACAGCAGTAAGTTGCTTTGAAGCTTCTAATGGCGTTTATTTTACAAAAATATATGCACTTTCTAGTTTGAGAGCTTGCAGCTGCAGTTGGCGCAGAAAATCCCGGAGTTCTACGTTCTGGGACTCTTCAAAATGGAGCGTTCTCGACTAATGGCGATGGGAAACTCAGTCATCACATACTCCATACTTCTAATACAGTGGGAACTGCAGAATAAATAAAAATGGCTGGCATTGTATAAACTTTCTAATGCTAAAATAGTTATTTGCGAGGGAGGGAGACCCTAAACTGCCAGAGTGCCAAAGGCCTTTCTAATTGGGCTTCAGAAAAACCGATAATGGCCGTTTCATGCACTGCCAGAGGAATGTGGCAGTAGTGGAAATTGCCTGGGCCAGGATTCTTTTGTACTGCCAATTGCCAGGCATTTATTAGCTTGGTCTTGGTCCGGGTCTGGGCCGGAAACTTTCCTGCAACGACTGCAGACTGCAGAGTGCAGAACGAGACAGTGACAAATCCAGCGACAGCATCAATACTTTGCCGCAAGTCGAGCAATATAAACGAGCTTCCATTCAATTTGCCCCTCCAGCTTGCCTCCAGTTCGCTTAGCATAAGTCGCAATTTAATCCCGAGCCCGACAGCCCAACAACAGGCCACGACATGGCACAGCCTTCTATCCGGAGTATCCGGGGGATTCAGGCAAATTCCAGACAAGACAGTGGGACAGACGAGCTCGTGGAGGGCTGAAACCAGAGACGTTTTAGCATAATGCATTGCCACTGAGCCAGTGAGCCACTGAGGAGCCTAGGTCCTGCATATCCTGCGCCACAATGCTGCATGCGGCACTTCAACTGGGAAGCTGGGAGTTAACAATGCAACAAATTTTAACATCAACAGGGTCTATTGATGGTGAAAGAATCAAATTGTCATATTGGATGAACAGCCAGATCATGAGCCAAGAGTTGTGTGCAAAAAGACCAGACAAAACGGAAGAAATATGATTATTGTAATCGCGAAAGCATCATCCCGAGATGCCTTTTAAGAAAAGCCTCCTTGGCTTGCATTAAAAATACATTGTCCTGAAAATCTCCAAAAGTTAAAGGCAACCAACTGCCACCTGAAAACTCCTCTTCTCCGGAATAAAATCAGTTACTCGCCACAGCTAACACGATTCCCGCTAAACCATAACTTAAGGGATATGCAAAAAAGCCAAAAGCGCTCCAAGACTTCTGCGAAGGTCTTCAAAAATTCATAGGATATCCCACAGAAGCAGCAGCCACAGCAGCATCGGTTATGGCGGGAAAAAAAAATGAAAATTAAATTGAATTTTCAAACGCCATCCACATAAATCCAAATGCCAAGGCAAACAAAAATGCAGCCGAAAATTTGTAGTTTACTTTTGCCGCAGGCTGCAAGAATAAGCAAAAGCTGAAGCAGCGAACCAAAATTTTGCTCAAACATATCATAAATATTTGATTTTCCTTACGTTTTACAAGGTCTCGTCGTCCCAGCGGATGTGCGGGCTTTTACGTCTGTAGTGGGAAAGGAAAATTGATAAGTTTTCAATGATTACGCCGTGAGATTGATATAATTTGAGCGCAATTTCGCGGCAAATGGCAAATGCGCACACGTGATGGTGACATTTTCGATTGCCAAAAGAATTAAGTTAAATAAAGGTATAGTCAATCTCAAAATCCATTCAAAAGCTGAAAATACTGAAATTAAATAAAACTCCAGTGTTGGTCAAGGAACAATCATTCAAGCTTTGAATATATCGATGCCAATATCGATATACAGCACTGGTAAATCGAGAACTCGTTGGTAACTTCCATCTCGAAAATCTTTCTTTTTTCTTGTCATCCTCTCGTAAGAAGCACGTTTCTGGCTTGTAAGACTTAAACTAACTTTCTGAAAGAATCCAAGTAAAACTAACCAAAGAAGGATGACCAAGGGAACTACCAGCTTTGGCAAACGCCACGTCAAGACGCACACGATCTGCCGACGCTGCGGATCCTCGTCGTACCACATCCAGAAGTCGAAGTGCGCCGCCTGCGGTTATCCCTCAGCTAAGATCAGGTCCTTCAACTGGTCCCGCAAGGCCAAGTCCCGTAAGGCCCAGGGCAACGGAAGGATGCGTTATCTGAAGATTGTGCGACGTAGTTTCCGGAATGGATTTCGCGAAGGCGGTAACACTCCCAAGAAGTCCGAATAGGAAAGGGCTGCAAACTAATGGCCAATAAAAGCTAAAATAATGTGCCGGATCTGAAGTTTTTGATAGTGTTTTCATTAAACCTCGAAGGTTAGCTCATAATCTATTGGAGCGGGAGACTTGGGGGTCTGCACAGCCTTAAAGCATTCCAGAATTTATGTTCCGTGTGTACTTTGCATGTCGACGGCTGCTTTAGTGAGTATTTTGTGTGCTTTTTGGGTTTTTGGCCTGCCAGAGGAATGCATTTTATGAATTTTTTATGGCTTTTAATGTACACACACCTGGCGTCGGGGTGGGCATGTGTGCTGCGTGTTTAGAGAGGGACATAAAAGCAAAAAACAAAAAGGAGACACTGGCGAAACACAACACCTTTTTATGCCCTCTCGCACATAAAGCTCGTGTGGCGGAAATCTGCTCACGCCTCAGGACCGTATTTCATCCCGACCTGGCCTAATCCGTCGCTGTGTGGATTTTGGCCAGGATTCTTTGGCATGAAATATTCCCCGGATTGCCACTGAAAAAGTTTCAGCTTGATTTATCACTCCGACGCAGCCACGCAGCCACAGGACTTGAAGAATTCCGGACTCTGAAGCTCTGGTGCAACAATTGCTCCACGCCCACTCATTAATTCTTGTCCTGGCCTGGCCTGGTCTGGCCGCCCAGCCTGGATATGAATTCATTCTTATGCATCGACGGAATTTTTAAAATAATGATGCCTGCCAAGGCGGAGATGGCGTTTTAATAATGCCGCACCAGTGTAATGCGGATCTCAAGTGCAGTTCGAGGGGACAGGACCGACAGGCCGAGGCAGAAAAACAAGGATGAGTGGAGTGATGTATTTATTAATGCTTGAATTTTAACCTGGGAAATTGTTTTCTTAACATTTTCAGTCCCATGGAGAAGGACAGATCTTTCAGCTAACGAGTTTGCCTTTGGCCGGGACCACGACAAGAAAACAAGGAAGAGATCCGCCGTTGAGATGAACAGTGGCCCAATCACTTTCACTCTTCATTCCATTTCCATTCCATTTCGCCGACTGAAGACTCCTTGGCCGGCTTTTTCCTCCATTTGGGTGATAAGGCACTGGATGCTCTAATTGCATCTGATTGCAGTGACAGTTTTTCCTACCAACTGACAGCTGCAGAGGCAGCACACAAAGGGCCACCCCCGACAGGCGGCGAAGGAGTTATGGCCTAGAATCATCCGGATACGAGTACGGGTCTGAGTACCCGTACATCCGTTCCGTATCCGTTGATTTTCAATTCGCGTTATTTCTTTCCCGCCTGCCTGCCTTGCTGTCTGGCTACCAGCTTGCTTCGCTGCACTTCCACTGCTCATCCGGAGACAATCGTGAGCGAAATTTAAATGCTGCTGACTTTGCAGCTCACTGAATGACAACTATACAGCAACAAATTGCAAAAAATGGAGAAAAAACTGGGAAAAACAACAATCGCAGCAGCAGAATTCGATTGAAAATGTTCAATCAACAAAATGGCATTTTTGCCAAGAATAAGTGAAAGGCGAAAGTGATTCCGGCGGAGCCCAGTGCCGGGGGAGAGTTTTTAATTTTGGAAATAGCCGCATAATGAAGTGAATTCTCGCCCGTAATTACCAGAAATAGGAAGCCCCGTAGCCCGGGCAGGTCTTTCAGGCCATAGCGCCCACGACCAGGTTTTGGTAAAACCACAATTTTGTGGTATTTTTCGTGTTCTGCGGTTGAATTTTGCTGATGCTGTTGCTGCTGCATTCCCCACAATGTTGCCATCATAAATACCCGATCCCGGTGCCACACACACGCCAATGATACAAGTCTGTATCGATTGGAGGCCCATTGGAAGGCGCAACTCTAATTAACGCGTCCGAATTTGAGGCCAGGATTGGCCGGAACCTCCTCAGATCCGTAATCCGTTTCAATCTCAGCTCCGTTCTGGATAAATATTCAATGTATAGAGAGCAGAGAGCAGCAAAATTCAAATGTTTTCGGCATAAAAAATGCATAAATTATGCAAACCATTTAAGAGGCAAACAAGAAGGAAAAATCGAAAATGCCTCAGCATTTCTGGCTCGGTAAGGGCTTTGAAAAATTGATGCTGACCAGCAGCCAAAAAGTCCAGCCACCGACCCAACTTTCTCCGAGGGCGAGGGTGTGTGTGGACGTCCAAATGGACATCTGCCCGGCCGGAGAGGAGCTCCGAAAGAAAGTCTCGTAACATGGCTTTTAAAACTGCTTGGTTCTGGTTACTGGAGACTATGAAATATTCATGCCTTTTATATGCAAAGGGGGCTGGGTCGGAGGCTGGGCAAGTTATTAGGCCTATGTCACAATAAAAGTCAAGAAGCTTTTGCGTGCCGTAATTAATGTAAATCCCCCTTTTACTTTCCTATACCGTACTGCCCCAATAACTGAACACTCAGCTCCGAGGTCTGACATTTTTCTCAATGGGTTTGTAACATTCTTTAATTAGCATATTAATTATGTTGCATGTTGCACGTTGAGTTTCGAATTAATTGATTGATGAGTTTTAGAACTCAAAGCTTTTAGTCTTTTTTTTCTGAGGTATTCAAGTGATCTCTACATCCTGACAGCCAGCCCTTCATGCGATATGTGCAGCTTGTAATTGATTTTTTGTTTACGCACCAACTTGCCGCCCAAAATCAGGGACCTGGGGGCGTGGCTGAGCCGCAAAGTTGCCGAGCCTGACGCTTCCGGTTACTTCTTGTTATTATATTTCATTTGCCGTCAACTTTGTTGTGCCTGATGCCCAAAGTTCGTGAATAACCCAGCCAGTCGGCAGGAAGGATTTAAGTCAGGGTTAGAATATTTAATATCCATTAGTTGGGGGGGCTTAGAACTTGGGTTCTCCAGAATATATGCAGTATATAGAATACATCCAAGCCAAACAAACGACTTACCCTCTTCAAAGAATCAGATAAATGCTCCCAAGTAGCCGACTCTTCAAAGGGTATTCTCAAAGTTTGCATTGCAACTTTTGCGATATTTTTGCTGGGTGTTGGTTGTGAGAGGAAGGAGCAGGAGGAGGACTAAGGAAGTCCGCCGGGACGCGGGGCACATGCCAACACTTGTTTTCTGTTAAGTGATTTAGGCGAAACTTTTGCACCCCTCGCAGCGTTTTGGCCGCTGTCAGAGCGAGCGTGTGCCATTCGTGTTTGGCATTTCGGGCTTAGACACAGACGAGGGACGCATGATGGGTTCCTGTTCCTCGTCCTTGCAGCAGGTCGGTCGTCCTGCCGCTCTGTTGCGGTTCCGTTACGGTTCGGTAATATTCTGAAACAACGGAAATGTTTTACAAAAGTTTCGCGAAAACGGCAACATCAGTAGCAGCAGTAGCAACAAATTGAACGAAAAGCGTTTAAATGCTTGCCACATAATCGCCGTCAAGTGAAATTCATTTTCTTGACAAACAACATGGACTTCAAAGGAACTTTGAGGCCAAATCCCCGCCTTTCACTCGGCTCAGAGGAAATTGAAATTGGTAAGTGTGTGCGGGAAACTAGAAAAAAAAACGCTGTCAAAATCGTTTAGAAGGGCGCCCGGCAGGATCTGGCGTTGTTCCGGTTCCGGGATTGATGATTTCCGCCCCCAGACTATGCAGTTTTGGGAGGTAAGTCTAATTATTTTGTATATAGAATCAAAAGGATTACAATGCCCCACTTGCAGACGTTACTTATCTCGTTAGATTGCCACACAATATTCTATATTTCGCAGCTCCGACAAGTTTACTTACTTTGCCGCTATCTGACAGCATTAAAACTGTCTCCTCGCATTCTGACTTTCCTGGCAGAAGAATTTCCCGTCCCGGCCAAAGTTTGCCTTGGTGAGGGTCTGAGTCTGGGTAACCATATTACAAGGATAACACCCACAAAACAGCAGCCACACCACTGCCAGCAGCACGCGAGAAATGTTTCGTGACAAAGAATTCCGAAAGCTGAAGGGAAATACAAGGAAATAAAACTAAAAAACAGGATAAACCTCGAAAAACCAAAAACGGAGGCAAAATTGAGCTTGAGAAGAAAAACGGCTCGCAAGACACGATAGTGGAGCGTGGCAAGTAGGAGAAACTTTGAAGTTTTATTAAAAATACACACCGCAACATTCCTCAAGAACTTTTCGCACACGAAAACGTGAGATAATTTACTAGAAAGAAGCTAACCGGACGGGCTCCGGACTCAGGACTCTGCATTGCGAGGAGGAACTCCTGGAATGGCCAAAAAGCGGCAGCGAAGTGTCAAGTAGTTTGGATAAACTTTTGTGACAGCTCTATTTGGAAGGGAAAATGTGTGTAAGGCACAGCCAGGAAGGAGACGGAGGAGCAGCTTCCAGAGGAGAATATTAGAATAATAATAGCCGGCTTTGCGGGGGACATCTAATGAGCGGAAGCCAAGGATAGTTTAGTGCCAAAGGAGGCCTTGATGTGGGTGCCCATAAATGCATGAGCCATGAATGTGTCACGAAAGTTTGGCCAAACAAATCCGAAAGCGAAAGGAGGTCACTGGACCTGCCTTAATTAAGAGAGAGGTTTTGGTTTGTGTTTAAAGTTACACAGAGGTCGGTTTATAATCAGGCTTTAAATGAGAATAAAAATGTGTAGGATGGAGGATGCATCATCTCCCAAAGGTAAGGGAAGAAAAACATCTGCCCCAGGACAAGCATTCACTTCAATACCAGTTCCGCCTTCCGATCTCCACTTGGCTGGGAAAACCAACATGCTGTGGTTATGGAAATTATTTCAGGAGCTCTGGAGGACAACAAACACTGGGTGTGCATCCTGCGAGGAACCAGAGCACATGTCCTGTGGTGACAGGCAGGACAACCCGCCCGGCTAATTGGTATTTATTGCTACTTAAATGCCCAGAACTTGTCGCTACTTTTCACCTCGTATTTCAGACAAACAGTTTTCCAGGCAACGCCCCCAAGATGTCGGGAGGCTACTTGAGGCTTGAGCATCGGCCAATGAACGATCGGTTCTTATAATAGCATCGGACAACTATATGGCATCGGAAAGAGACGGAGCGCCGGATCGAGACAACATATGTTTCCCGACTCTCGAGGCAGGGCAGACCAGCGTGCGGAGCACTCTTTCGGGGCTAATTTTGAGGCTAATTTCAGTGGGCACACGACTTTGGCACGGTTTAGTATCGTCGCGACAATTATCGTAATTAACTCGTTTATGTGTTGTGTGCTAATCCAATTACCAGGTTCGCGAAGGATGCCCCGCGGGCGAAATTAATTCAATCACCATCCCGCAATTGGCGTCGACAAATGAAGAATTGAATTCCGATTCTCAGGTCGGTGCCCGTCGCGATCCCCCCAAATTAGTAGAAAGTGTTGCACCAAGTTGATTGAAAGGCCAAACCCAGCCACATAGTATACAGGTTCTCGGCCATGTTGAACTACCAGCACTCGCTGCCCGTCGGCAATCCCGGGAGCTACTACTACGGCCCGACGGGATCGCACTCCCTGGCGGTCTCCGGAGAGGGTTATCCGTCGCAAAATATCGACTCGGAGGACAAACTAATCGACCCGGAGGGCAATGTCCGGGACCTGGAGAAGATGCACAGGTTCTCGGTGGACAATCTGATCGAGCTGAAGCACGATGGCTACGGCAAGAGTAAGCTGTCCATGGAGCTCAACAACAACTACGGTGAGTGTGTCTCTTTGTCCGAAAAAGCAAATTAATTGGAAATAATATTTAATTTGGAATGGATTTGTTGAAATTGAAAGCAAAGTGCAGGATAAAACCTCAAGTCAATTAAAGTTTCAAGAGAATACAAAAGCGTTTTAATTTCGAAGCATCCTGGTGATAAATTTTAAATCCTGACAAAAATCTCTAAATGTTCTTCGCCCGAAAACAAGAGTCGTAGTTGACTTTGCCGGCAAACCACAATCGGCAGCTCGTTAAACTTTAAAAGCCTTTCGATTGCCACAATCCCCAGGTGTGTGGCCGGGTGGGCCGTGTGTCTGTGCAACAGAATGCCTAATGCCGACGCAGTCAGAGTAGGAGTCCTGAGATATGCACTTGTGTATGCCGGAGACTTTGTGAGGTTAAGCGTGAGCTGGTGGCCTAATTCATGAATGATAAATTCATCCTAGCTCGCAGGCCGACAGAATTTATGATATTATCCGCCCAACTGCATAATCATGGCGGCTATATCTTTACACATGCATAAATCGGTGGTTTACATATGCGTGTATACATATATGGCTAGGTATATGCGGATTATAAATAAATATATACGCCCGATGGATGACAATTAGGTGGCAGATGTGGGCGACAGTCGCTCATTGGATGCCGTTGCCGTTGCAATGTCATCTGCGTGCATTTTTCCTGTTGCGGTTGCGGCTTAACCCCTCCTCCTGCCTGTCAACATATTGCCACTGGGCCGTCAGCCTCGGCATAATTTCCAGCAGAGTCCTGGCCGAAAACGAGCAACTCCCGGCATCCGTAGATGAGCAGGGAAACTCTTCCAATTTGTAACCAGTTCGCGTAAACTTTTTCATTTCTTCCAGGTTCTTTTTTGTTCACTCTCGTGTAGCAACACCCGCCCTGGCCCTGGCCCCAGCTTTTCATTCATTCCGTGGCAGAGGAAACATTTCCGAGCCGACAACACTTCAACATTGTCAACATGACAAAACGTAATCAAAGCTGACATGATATTCCCTCAGTGGCCGCATGCCTTTGAAGCATCCGAGGTAGTGCGAGCGACCACGACTATAATTTCCAAGTGGAGCATATAAACCGTCCGTGCCCCTGTAACCAGTACCAGGCCCAGACACGGGCACTGCCTCCGCCTTTCCTCCTTCCCTTGGTTATTTTCGTCGCTCCATTGGATTGTAACATGTGCCACTCGGATCAGCAGCACTGAGCGAAAAACTTTTCAGTTCTAAAGAGCTTGAATAGCATCCATTTGAGATATGTACATTCTGGGAGATACAACACTTTTCCACTGTGTATCCCCCCTAACAACTGTCCCTTTCTGCGGCTGCCGCTGCACAAATCTGATTGAGGTTTCCCTTTCGATTTGTTGGTTTTTTATTAAGCTGCAACTGTTTTTTATCGCTCGTTGGCAATTCAAATTAAAGATCTTCCCTTCACTCACTCACTAAACCCAGTCCTTTGCCTTCCCCTGCCATTAGCCCATCCCCAGGGACATTGGTTGGCGGTGCAGTTGCTCTTGTTTCAATTTTTTCCCCACTGCGGAGTACTCCGATGTGATCTACGATGCAGTTCCCAACTTCGTGGACAGCCCGGCTGACAAATTGAGACAAATGGCGTGGGTAGGAGGATATCTGCTGTGATAGGGAATCCAGCCACTGGCCACCCTGAAGCTGAACTGGGGAACTGTGGAAGGAATTCCAGCGAGAGGTCTGAATTTCATTTCTAACATATTGAAAAGATATGCCTCTTGAGCCTTTGAATCAAGCTTTACCTTTTCCCATACAATCCGTTCAACAATTATCTCCGGGGAATATATTTTTAATCATTCCTCAAACGATTTCCAACGGCCAGTTCTATAGAAAAGCCATTAATGGCCGCCTAATGTCACAATTTCACTTTAATTAATAGATCGTAAATGTTGTTCGGCGACGAAATTAGTAGACAGCTGTCTGCCCGTGTCGTCAAAAGATATTTTATGGTCCATGCCATTTGTTTATGACCCTCTGAAGGCGCTCCCCCTCCGCCAAAGGATCAAACGGAATGCAAAATTTTATGGTTTCACGACAACCCATAAAAGTAACGAAAAGTTCTGAATTAATTGATATCCGTTGGCACTTATCGATTATTTACGAGCCAAACGCAGTCTTGGCTCTCCCTATTAGCCAAAGTGTTTTTGCATTCGACCCCTTGAGCTGAAAACAGAAAACTAAAGACTGAAAACAGAAAACCCGAAACTAAAGTGAAAATTCCTCATTTAATGGCTCTCTGATTGCAGGCGGCGGCAGTGTCGGCGGTGGAAGTGGTCTACCAGGCTGCCCAGGAAATATTTCAGCGGGTCACTCGAGGAAGCCGCGACGCAACCGCACCACCTTCAGTTCCGCCCAACTGACGGCCTTGGAGAAGGTCTTCGAGAGGACTCACTATCCGGACGCCTTTGTGCGCGAGGAGCTGGCCACCAAGGTGCACTTGAGCGAGGCACGGGTCCAGGTGAGTTCATAATTAAGGTTTCTCTTAAATTGAATTTGTTTTTTAATAAATAAGCAAGAAGAATTTCCAAGAGGTTGGATGCTTTTAAAGAATAATTTAAAAATTTAAGGAGGGACTAAAGTAGGGACAAATAAACATAAGCCCTATGACTTATAGTACGGAGCTTATAAGTGTATATCCATTTGGCGAATAAATTATCTATATATCTACCTATACCCAAAGTCCTTTCAGTTATCCTGCCATTTTAAAACATCCCACTCCCAATCGATAATAAATAACTCCTACGCATATTTCAGGTCTGGTTCCAGAATCGCCGTGCCAAATTCCGCCGGAACGAGCGCAGCGTGGGCTCCAGGCCTCTGCTGGACCCTGCCCCCCAGCTGGTGCCGGCGCCCCTCGGGAATAATATGCACAAATATGTGAATCTGCCACACCCCCCGCCACCGCCACCGCCCGGAGCTTATGCCCTAAACTTTGGGCCCCTGGAGCTGAGGTCGTGCCAGAACTACGGCAACTGCTACGGCGGATTTGGTACTAGTCCGTCCACGGGCAACGGCGTATGCTCGTTCTTCGGGGCTGCCACAAACTACTGTGTGGCAGCCAACTATGCCAAGAACGCCGCCTATCCGCCGCTCTGACGGCCACGGGCCACCGACGGTATCTCTTTTAATGGGCCCCAAGAGGTTACTTCATGCATATGTATTTCAATTAGCCAATTCTATTAATGCTTAAAAGTGTATTAAATATATACTTAATACTATTAAGACTAACATAAATTCGCCTACCTGACTAATATTTAAATTAATGACGCCACCAAGCGAGGTGTGACAGGACTTTGGAAATAAACTAAAGGTTATAGACAATGTGACATTTTAATTATTTAATCTTTTTAAATTAAAAAAAAAAAATACTCGTAAAAGTTTACGAAAAATATGTAGTTAGCTTAAAAGAATTCTGGAACCATTTTCCATCAATATGCATCCATTGTGGGACCCTGGGATGTTCATATCATGGCCAATTTTCATCCGATCCTTGAGCGGATTACCTTCAAAGATTTCTGGATCGATTTTCCATCAATCTGCATCAAAACCCAGAAACAAATTTTTGGATCGATATTTTTCCAAATTTTGTGGGGGGACCCCTTCGAGGATCCCTGAAATCGAGGATTCTCATTATGGGACCTTGGGATGTCCATATCTTGGCCAATTTTCATCCGATCCTTGAGCGGATAACCTTAAAAGATTTCTGGATCGATTTTCCATGAATTTGCATCAAAACCCAAAAACAAATTTTTGGATCGATATTTTTCCAAATTTTGTGGGGGGACCCCTTCGAGGATCCCTGAAATCGAGGATTCTCATTATGGGACCTTGGGATGTCCATATCTTGGCCAATTTTCATCCGATCCTTGAGCGGATAACCTTAAAAGATTTCTGGATCGATTTTCCATGAATTTGCATCAAAACCCAAAAACAAATTTTTGGATCGATATTTTTCCAAATTTTGTGGGGGACTCCTTGCAAAATCGAAGATTCTCATTATGGGACCGTGGGATGTCCATATCTTGGCCAATTTTCATCCGATCCTTGAGCGGATAACCTTAAAAGATTTCTGGATCGATTTTCCATCAATTTGCATCAAAACCCAGAAACAAATTTTTGGATCGATATTTTTCCAAATTTTGTGGGGGGACTTCTTCGAGGATCCCCGAAATCGAGGATTCTCATTATGGGACCTTGGGATGTCCATATCTTGGCCAATTTTCATCCGATCCTTGAGCGGATAACCTTAAAAGATTTCTGGATCGATTTTCCATGAATTTGCATCAAAACCCAAAAACAAATTTTTGGATCGATATTTTTCCAAATTTTGTGGGGGACTCCTTGCAAAATCGAAGATTCTCATTATGGGACCGTGGGATGTCCATATCTTGGCCAATTTTCATCCGATCCTTGAGCGGATAACCTTAAAAGATTTCTGGATCGATTTTCCATCAATTTGCATCAAAACCCAGAAACAAATTTTTGGATCGATATTTTTCCAAATTTTGTGGGGGGACCCCTTCGAGGATCCCTGAAATCGAGGATTCTCATTATGGGACCTTGGGATGTCCATATCTTGGCCAATTTTCATCCGATCCTTGAGCGGATAACCTTAAAAGATTTCTGGATCGATTTTACATCAATTTGCATCAAAACCCAGAAACAAATTTTTGGATCGATATTTTTCCAAATTTTGTGGGGGGACCCCTTCGAGGATCCCTGAAATCGAGGATTCTCATTATGGGACCTTGGGATGTCTATATCTTGGCCAATTTTCATCCGATCCTTGAGCGGGTAACCTTAAAAGATTTCTGGATCGATTTTCCATCAATGTGCATCAAAACCCAGAAACAAATTTTTGGATCGATATTTTTCCAAATTTTGTAGGGGACCCCTTGCTAAATCGAGGATTCTCATTGTGAGTCCTTGGGATGTCCATATCTTGGCCAATTTTCATCCGATCCTTGAGCGGATTACCTTAAAAGATTTCTGGATCGATTTTCCATCAATGTGCATCAAAACCCAGAAACAAATTTTTGGATCGATATTTTTCCAAATTTTGTGGGGGGACCCCTTCGAGGATCCCCGAAATCGAGGATTCTCATTATGGGACCTTGGGATGTCCATATCTTTGACAATTTTTATCCGAGCCTTGAGCAGATTACCTTAAAAGATTTCTGGATTGATTTTTTATCAATATGCATTTAAGCCCAGACACAAATTTTCGAGGCTGAACCACAATAACACGCTGTCCTCGTCAGAGCTCTTGACTGAAGCATCGTCCTGTGAGCTACAAGCAATTAGTTGCCCTTAATATGCGAAAGTTTTCCATTTATCAAGCTGTCAGTGGCGTACGGAATTGACATGGCTGATTTAATTATTTACTTAGTAATATGATTTAATTAAAAATTCATATTGCCGTCGCAAGCGAACCAGCTCAAGGGATGCGAAGTCTGCTGCTAAGAAAGTGGGCTGCTGGCAGGGTGGGGTGTTTTTTCACCCGCATGTGTTAATTTGTATAATAAAACTTAATTAAAGTCAAAACAAATAAACAAACGAGCCGGGGAGACCCAGACAAACGCTGGCAAACAAACATAGAGGGAAAACTTTCGCCTAGCCGCAAAACGTTGGCAAAGTAAAGCCGCAATCAAAGTAGATTAAGATTGTGGGGATCTCGGTTTTCCCTGGCAATTAAAAATAAGGATTGCCATTGGAAATAACACACAGAGCACACAGGACGCAGTCCTCACAATACACAGGATGGTGTGGATTTTTCAGTGCACTTTGTGTGCAAAACTTAGCTCGACAAAACTCAAACGCATTCCCAAAAGTCAGGGGAGAGGTCCTGGGGAGCCGGGTGGGCTGGGAAAAGAACATTCCCGCAGATACGAATACGCATCCGGATCCGGACACTCTCCGCTCTAGACGAAAAAGGTTAACAAGTATGTAATATATTTAAATGCAAATAAAAATTCCCTTTTATCCGCAGGCCAAACATGACAGAGAGCCAACCAGCAGGGCGAAATGCAAATTAACATTCGGAATGTGGAACGGTTCTTGCAGCTAATTTGCATAAAGCGTTGGCGTTCACGTCCTGGCAGAACCCCACTGCCCCTCCACTTCCACACTGCTCCACTTGGGGCGTAAAACATTTTTACAATATTTACGAAATTGCAATAATGTTTGAAAAGCAGAACAGCAGCAGTTGAAGAGGCGATGGAAAAATGCGTTTTGTTCCCTTTGCGATGCGGCAAATTGTTGCCGGGAAGGACGACATTTTGCTGACAGGCGAACATGCTGCAGGAGTCGTCCTCGAAAGGGGAAATACGAATTTATGGGCCAAACAACAGAAGGCTCGCCATCACACTTTCCAGCCAGGGAGTGTACAAACGAGCAGTCCTGTATGTGTCCTGTCAAATCAAATGGCAAACGGAAATGCCAGAGCAAACGAGGTCCTTTATGTGTTGGTCGCGCCACTCCCCAGCAGCCTGCCACACTCACCTGGTCGGCATCTAGTCCTGGGACTGGGACTTGTATTAATCAAAGGATATGTTAAAGAGGTAGGGTTGCCTTTTACTTTCTCGGAATCAGTATCTCGAAAATAAAAAACTGCCATCAAGGCCCATATAATCCCCAGTGTCAGGCTCTATAATTAGGTGATAATTTCTGCCTCTGTTAAAAAGCAATTATTTATAAGAGACCTAGAGCCTCCGAACACATGTGGACTCCCCCTCGTGCTATACAAGCGTTTATGTGGCACAAAGTAGATGACAAGGGCCAACATTGTCAGATGAAAGGGAAGAGCGGTGCCCGATCTTGAAGATCCCGGCGACAGCTCCTTGAGTTCCATGCCGCCGCGGGCCAATGATTTGTGTACTCTGGAGCACTGTCAAAATATGTCACATCTTGATGGATACATCACATGGAGCATTAAAAGGGGCGCTGATGAAATCGAGACCATGCTGGAAATCGCCACTAAATGTGTTTTAAATATCAAATAAAAAAGTAAAGAGAATGACATTTATTTCTTGGTTACCACAGATGACTTGATATTTAAAAACAAAAGCTATAGGTGTCCCAAGAAAGTTCCAATAAAAGCCGAAAGACTGGAGATCTCTTCAGTCACCTTAACTGTTGTTTTTAAATGTCTCAATCTTTGTAGTGGTGGTAGAATCTTCCAGGAGGCTTCAGAGATTCAACTTCGAAGGTCGCTCCATCGCAGAATGAGAACCATCAGAAGAGACCACACCAGATAGAAAAACAATGCCGCAGAGCCCACAAAGACGCCACTATTCGAAATTAAATGAATATCCAGGCTGTTGTCCTCGTTGGCAAAGTAGTATCCCGACTGCCGGTTGTAGGCGTAGTTCCGGGCCCCACAGTTCTGGCTCAGTTCGTCGGTGAGGTTCATGGAGTGATTGAAGCACATGCGGTAGCTGTAGCCAAAGTGCAGCTCCTTCTGTTCGTTGTGATGGTTCAGGCATTTGAAGTTATATAGGTCCAGGAGGGTGATGTTCAGGCAGTCTGGCATCTCGAGGCTCTGAAAGGTCACCAAGTAGGTTTCCGGGCTTCTGTTCAACTGAAAGATAGTGTACGGATCGTTGGGTCGCAATAGCTTGTTGTGGTACTTCTTGCTCAGGTGCTCCGGAACCATTCCCGAGCAGAGCAGTGACATGGAATTGTCGATCAGAGGCTTGCACAGCGATAAGAAGTCGGTATTGTTCATCATAGCGGACTTAAATTTTGAATAATACTGGCCGTGTTGCTTGATTTACGTATTTTATGGAAATTTAACACCCCGAAGACTAGTCTCTAGAACCGGATGGGGGATTAGATGGAAAATTTATTGAGGAAACCATTTTTGGTTTACAAACCCTCATCCAAGGTCGGGGTATTGACTTAAAGCTCAAATCATCTTTGGAATATCAAGTGCATAATTGCTTTTTGGTGATGGACAGCTTAGGCTTATGAGTGGAATGATACCCAGTAAACAATTTCCAATACGCAATTGATTTAAATATAATCATAATACCCCCCGGCATGTTCACACCACCAATTAAAAATAATAATAGAGACAAAGTGAAAACATTCTGCGAGGTTTCCAGACTAGACAATCTATTTTCGGGTGATATTGCTGTGGATGGTGCTGTTTGGCGAATCGAATAGAAAACTCATTAATGACGGGCTTTATTAGCATAATGTATAATAAACGACACACAAAGTGTGACTGTGATGCCCGAAAAACAAGAGCCAGGCCGGTCAATACCTACATATAATTAAACACGACCCGATACCTGATATCTGTTTGCATTTAATTTTATGCTAATATGCGAACGCAGAACAGAAAGCCACTCGAGACCCACTTGTACCGCCGAGTGATTCCCAAAATCCCACAATCCCCACAGAAAAGGTTAACCCCAAACGCCAAACTCCAAAACTGGTCGCCAGGGGGGATGGTCATCACAATATTATTGTTTTTTCGCATCGAATTGTGTCATTTTCGAATGTCGTCGAGATTAATCGGAGCGCTGGCACCTGACATCCAACGCCTCCAGAAAACCAGAACCCGACGAGCAGGTTGTTGAACCACGCCAGTCTCTTTATATAATAGGCGTCTTGGCTGGAGAGCAGCCACAGTTTGATTCGGAAAGGTCTAGGCCAAGCAAGCGGAATATTCAAGCCAAGATGCGTGCTGCCGTCGTGTTTGTTGTTGTGATTTTCGCCCTCCTCAGCGTCCTGGAGGCTGTGCCCGCTCCTCAGTTCGGATTCGGCTTCCCCGGTGGCTATGGGGGATACCCCGGCGGCTATGGTGGATACGGTGGCTATCCCGGCTTCGGTGGCGGATATAACCGCGGCTTTGGCGGCGCCAGTGCCAGTGCATCCTCCTCTGCCTCGGCATCGTCCGGTGGCTTCGGCGGCTTCCCTGGTGGATTCTATGGCTAAGCTCTGTGAAAACCTCATCCTAATTTATGTTAATTAAAAAAAAAAAAGGTTATTTTAATAGTATTGTGAGTCAAAAGTTGATTTCGTAACTCATTAACATGTTGGACAAATATTCCGAACAACTTAGAGCTCGAAAACAAACAATATTTGCATACCACTTTAGAGATAAAAAAGTTTATAAATAAAAATCAATATCATTAAAATTAATTAAGTTTTTTTTATATTTAAATTATACTCATTTTTTATATATTTGCTTAAAGAAATTATACATAATGGCCGTTAAAGGAAAGGTCACAACTTTGGGGCCAAAAATGAGTGCGGTTGTGTCACAGCTGTGGCTTACATTTGGCCGAGATAGAAGCACAAGTAAATCAATGCAGCAGCTCCTTATGTCCGTCCTTATGCCCTTTAAGGATGCCAAAGTCAGGTCAAATCCTCTGGCTGTGCATCGAACTTGGTTCAACGACTTTGCGGCATCATTAAAAACTTTTGGTCGGGCATCTCTTGAGCCGGGCTGCTCCTGCCACTGCCTTTCCACTTCTGGTCTGGCTTTTGGTCGCACACATCTGGAGGACATCTTCTCATATTGTTATTTTTTCAAATTTTTATCCCCTGGCAAAAGGCAAAAGGAAAACGCCGGGCCAAGAATGCAAGTTAAGCTGAATAGCTTCTCTGCCTGTTGACGTTGACTCAAAGTTGCATTGATGGTCGCGAGTCCTGCTCCTGCTCGAGATCCTGCCTCCTGGCTCGGGCCATTCAGTGACGCGGCTCTGCCATTGATGTTCGTCCATTGTGTCCCCGGGTGTGTCCTGGTGTGTGTGTCGTCGTGTGGCAACTGCACAATGCATCCTCCATTCTCCATTCAGCGGCCCTGCAAGTCATGGGCATTCAAAGGCATAATATAATAACGCGTTTATGTCCTTTCAGCAATTTCATGTCGGGGGAAAACTATCCACTGCCCAAGCCCAAGTAATGATGGCCAGGATCTGTGACCAGGACATGTGTATAATGTGGAAAATGACACAGCTAGGTCAGTTCGTATAAATACGATTTTTATTGCCTGGACTCGATGTTGCGAACTGTCATGAAAGTTTTTTATTTTTCCGTCAAATATCCTTTCTCAGGGAAAGTAAATAAAGGATTGTAACTCATGAGCGATTGAAATGATTTCTGTCGCCCCGAAATCAAACAATTGTCTAATGCTGGGCAATTTTGCATCCTGCCTGGCTGCCAGCCTGCCTGCAAATCAAGGATTCTTTTCAGCAACACGTAAAGGGCGTAACATGCCGCGTTTGCGGAGGAAGGGGAATGAAGTGCAAACTGCTCGCCTAAAATATGTCAATCGGAATGTAAATCATTGCGTAATTTGCATTTTAAGCAAATCTGCTTCAATTGAAATCGTCGATGGCCGCCCCACGCCCGACCACCTCTCCCGGCCGGCCCCCTTCCGATTGTCTCTGCTGCTGGCAACACGTGAGTTATGGCAACGGATTTGACAATTGTCGGGCGGCAGGACACACCCACCTACCCACGGCCGGGGCAGGGACCGGGGCCGGGGCCGGGGCCAGGGCGGCTATATACGCACGCCCGACCCGATGCCGACTATAATAAATCTTGACTCTGTTATCCAACATAATTGTGTTGACGTGTCTCGGTGCGAATTCAAATCATGTCGCCGTGTATATGTTTACCAACCCGATTGCCGTCTATATAGTTTTGGGCTCAAACTATCCATATAATGGCAGTAATTGTGAGGCATTCGCCTTTTTACCCAATTAGGAGAACACTGCTAAGCTAGACCACAAAACCATCCATGTCCTGGAGCCTTGATCCGGGATATTCTGAAAATAGGATTTGCCTTTAAGCCGATTGCAAAGGAAATTGCATAACTCGCATAACTCGCCGATAAATGACAGAAACCACAAACAGAATAGTGCGAAACTTCGATACACACGTTTTTGGCCAACAAAAAGCGAAAAAAAAGGAATTAGATTTGCATTCAGCGTTCTGTAAAAACGAATTTATTGCGAAAATTATGTTTTGATTTATTTTATTTCATTTTATTTATGCCCTTCCTGCACTCTGAACCCTGACCCTCTAGCCTTAAACCTCTACACTCCAAACTCTACCCATTCACCTGCTCCGGCCCAGTCCAGTCTCCATTCTCCAGTCTCTGGCTCCCCGTGACTTAGTGTTTGTGTGTTTATGACACAACTTTCATCACGTACAACATAGAGCAGATGTGCATTCGCCAAAAAGTATGCAACAGCAAAACGTGATTTCGTTTTAAATTTCAACTGCGAGTGCTGTCAAAGCAGAATTTATTTGCCGAACGCATTCATTTGGAAATTATCGAGCAGGAAATTATTGGCTCCCGAAGAAGGAGGTGAACATTTTTTTGTTGTACTGCTCATTCTCCACTGCCCACACTGTCGCCCCAGGGGTCGCTCCAGAAAGTTATGGGGGATGCTACAATAGCTTCGGGGCCTAGTGATTTATGGGGAAACTAAAGACTCGATTTCCCCAGCACCAAGTGGAACTGAAGAAGCACCAGAAAATAGTTAAAGACGCTGAAAGTCATCTGGAGCCACAGGCTTCGGTTATTCTTGTAGAGTCCGCAGGTCCAGAGCTCCAGCTTAGAGCTATTGGAGTAGATCACAAAGTCGCTAGTCTATTGAAAAAAAAAAAAAGATATTAAAACTTATATGTGAAGGTGTCAAGTGATGTACATTTACCTCCCTCCTCCAATTAGTTTCGCTCCAGGAGTTCTTGGTCGATTTTTGGTACTTCACCAGTAACTCACTCATGTAGTCGACGAGAAAACCATCCACGAGGCGGAAAATGTAGGAGAAGGATCCGTAGACCAGCCATGCTTTAGGTACTTTGGCGCCAAATGAGAAGAATATGCCCCAATAGGCTTGGATTACGCCGAAAATGAAGGTGTCGAACCTGATAGCCAGCATCTGCGGGCCGTATATCCTATTAACTCTCAGAACCGCTTTAGAAAGAACCGAGTGGAACGACCATAAGCGCTGCAGTTCTTCCAGATCTACCACTGGTGCTCTGATATGTTGGTCAACAAGGTGATTCACGTAATCGTAGCCTCGAGAGATGAACCACAACACCAGGAAATAGCCCATTGGCAGGATGTATAAAATATTGTTGGCATTCCAGAGAAAAACAAACAGGAACACATCCTTCCAATCCATTGGTCCGCGTGCGAGGAAAACGAACGCAGAGTCCACAATGCAAAGCCAAGAGAGAGTAAGACATTTGGCGTAAAACACAGTCGTCAAGGCTTTATTTATTTGAGTCCTTTTGCGAGCCTTCTTGCCAATCAATCTTCGGAGCACTGGGTGCACTTCCTTTAGAGCAATATCTCGGAAGAGCCGCGATAATGCCGTGTAGAAGACAATAAACAAGGAAAGAAAGTGTCTTACATTGAAGGTTACCAGAACGAGGGGCGGTAATCTGGACATGTAGATATTTATACTCCCCGATGTCCACATATATATTGCCAGAAATAGTCCAATAAGGATATTGACCACCAAAACGTAGATCCTGGTCCACGAGGATGACTGGAAGGTGTCCTTAACCATGCGTAGCGAGGTCACCCCTATTGCCATGGAATAGTAGAAGTAGACCTTTAAAATGACTTTATTGACGTCCATTTTCAACGACTTTTCAAACTAAACTGACTTAACAATAGGTGGTAATTGGTAATAACCTAATGAGTACTAATTTGTCGTGCAGATAATCGTGTTGCTTCCCATCAAGAATTATGTCTCTCTGATTAGATTCAACTAATTAATGTTCCACCCCACACGTTACAAGTGGCAAATTCTTCGCAGGACTAGATGGAACTGCAGCAGCACCAAGAAATGGTTAAAAATATTAATTATCATTTTGAACCAGAGCCTTCGATCGGCTTTGTAGAGTCCGCAAGTCCAGAGCTGTAGCTTGAAGCTACTGACATAGGTCGTAAAGGCACTTGTCTGTGGGAATTGTGAGGAAATAAATATTTTAAAAGATCCAAAATCCTTAGTTCCTACCTCCTTTCTCCAATCACATTCAGTCCAGGGGTCTTTGGTCAACCTCTGGTACCGGGTCAGCAAGTCGCACATATAGTCGATGAGAAAAAAGTCCCCTAAGCGGAAGCAATAGGTTACTCCGCCGTATACCAGCCACAAAATGGGGGTATTGAAGCTGAAGGTGAAAAAAGTTCCCCAGTACATCTCAACTACGGCGAACACGAAGGTGTCCAGCCGGATAGCCAGTATCTGGAGACTGTATATCCTGTTAACCCGCAGAGATGCTTTAGTCAGATCCGCATGGAGGGACCAAAGCCTCTTTACTTCCTCAAGATCTCTCCTAGGGGCTTTGACCAGCTCATACATTTGGTGATCCACATAAATAAACCCACTCGCTATGCTCCACAGTATCAGGAAATATGCCATGGGCATGATAAATATTATATTATGGGAATTCATCATAATAAGAAACTTAAAAAAGGAACTCCAATCCTTTGTGCCAAGTTCGAGGAAAACGACGAAAAAGTCGGAGAAGAACATCACAGACAAGGTAAAACATTTGAGGTAGAACAATACCATCAAAGTCGGAGTTACGTATCTCCTTTCACAAACCAATTTATTGCGAACCAATCTCGCCAATAGTGGGTGTATTTTCTTCAGAGCTTTGTCGCGAGGAACCCGAGACAGTATCGAATAAAAAATTATGAACAATGTCACTATACGCCTTACATCAAAGGTAGCTAGTATGAGCCACGGTAGGGTCGATTTGGACCGCAAAAAATCGTACGATTCCCACAGATAAATGGGCAGAAGGACTAGCATAAGGATGTTGACCACCCAGGCATTGATCCTAGTGAATGAAGACGACCTTAACGTATTTTCTACTAATCTATGCGAAGTTACTCCGATTGCTATTGAATAGTAAACGTAAACTTTCAAAAACGCTTTATTTACGGCTCTGTCCATTGTCAAAGACACTTCAAACTCAACTGATGACATGTCACTTTCCCCGGGCTAATATTTGCTTATCGGTAATGTTTCCTCGGAGGATTACAGGTCTCTGATCGCATCAAAACATCTTATATCAGTCATTAGACCTTTTGTAGAACCAAATGAAACTGTAGCAGCATTACAAAGTAGTAAAGGACCCCACTGATCATATCGAACCAGAGACTTCGGTTCACCTGGTACAGTCCGCAGATCCAGAGTTCCAACTTTGAGCTGTTCGCGTAGGTCACAAAGGCACTAGACTGAGAACAAGGGAATGGTAGTACCTTTAGTAAAAATATAGTGTCAGTACCTCATTCGTCCAGCGACTCTCGCTCCAGGCATCCCTGCGTGCATTCTGATACTTTCCCACCACGTCGCACATGTGGTCAATGAGGTAGTAGTCCAGAGAGTTCATAAAGTAGGCAACGCTCCCGTAGACTATCCAAAACATGGATGTATCTGTGTCGAAGGTGAAGAAGGCCCCCCAGTAGCCCTGGACCACGCCAAACACGAAGCAATCGGCCCGGGCGGCCAGCATCTGGGGGCTGAAGATCTTGTTTATGCGGAGAACTGCCTTGGTCAGGGCGGCATGCAGGGACCAGAGATACTGCAGTTCCTTTAGATCCCTCCTAGATGGTCGCGACTGGGAGAGCTTCTCCAATCGCACGTTCACACACTCGTACCCACGGGCAATGTGCCACATGGAGAGAAAGTATGACATGGAGACTACGTTCAGCATATTGTAGGAGTTGCTCAGAAATATAAACCTGACAATGTTGGCCAAAGTATAGCCATCCGTAGAGTAGAAGAGGAATATAGAGTCGGTGATGCACCGCCAAATTACTGTAGCAAATTTCAGGTAGAATAACAGACGAAGGGATCTACTTATTGGATGAATTCTACCGCGCCTTTCTTCTCCGTACAACTTTGAGAGGACTGGCTCCATTTCAAATAAGGCCAGGTCTCGAAATCCTCGCGACAATATCGTGTAGGCAATAATTACATAGGCCAGAATGAATCGCAATCTGTAGGTAACCAGAATGAGTATGGGATAGTTCATCTTCTTCTGGAAATTTCCCTCTGTCATCCATAAAATTATCGGGAATCCAACTAATGTAATGACATTATAAGCCAGGACGTAGGCGCTGGTGAACTTTGAGGTGAAGAACCTTCGGTTAACCATGCGATTGGCGGTGACTCCAATGGCCAAGGAGTACAAAAAGAAACCTTTCACAAAAGCCGGCTCCATGTCCTTTTAAAACGAGTTTCCGCGATGAACTGAGGTAGCTTGGCTTTTGTAATAAGTTAATGAGACCTTATCGACGATGGGACTACTTTGCTTATAAATAGGACAATACGGGTATCTGATAATTAGATCCAATCGAATGAAAGGATAGTAGTTAGTGGTCATGTTTCCTGATGATAATTACAAAGAGGTTTTGACATATCTGTATTTATTCCATAACATATCCGTACATTATTAGCTCCTCGCCAAATGAAATTGCGCCATCATCACCGTGTGAACTACTATGGACCCCATCATGTTCAGCCACAGGTTCGTGCTAACCGTGTATAGACCACATACCCTCAGGTTTAGCTTCATGCTTCCTTTATAAATAAAATAGGAACTGAGCTGGAATTGTAAGCAGAGATTACAAATAAAACCTCCTATAGAATACTTCAAATATTCACCTCCTGGGTCATGTCATCCTCGAAGTATATGATCTTTGGTCCACTCTGGTACTGTGTAACCAAGTGGCAGATGTAGTCGTTTAGGAAAAAGTCCACACTGCGTATCCAAAATATAAAGGCACCATACCACTTTTCCATAATCAGGGTGTCCTTGGAGTGGGCAAACACCATGCCCATGTATCCATTTAGGACGGTGAACATGAAATAATCGAACCGGGAGAAAAGCATTTGCGGTCCGTAGTACCTGTTTATCTGGTGCACTACCCGGCAGAGATCCTCGTGCAAGGCCCACAGATTGCGGAGCTCCTCTGCTCGACCCTCCAGCCGTCCAGCGACGATCTCGGCAAACTGCTGGCTTACCAAGTCGAATCCTTTGGCGATTTGCCAGAAGGACACAAAGTAAAAGTAGGTATTGGTAATCAGGATGCTGTACGCCGTATTGATGAGCAGTGTGTCCAAAAAAAACGCCCAAGACTGCCCCCATTGGAAAATGAAGAGCGCCAGAAAGTAGCCAAAACACAAGTAGGTCAATGTGAAGGTTTTTATGTAAAACACTCGGCGGAGGTTGGGGTCCATCTGCATTCCACTTTGCTTGAATTCGCGATTCAGTTTCAATATCATTGCATGAAGGTCCAGTAAGATTGCGTCTCTATAGTATCTTGATATTAGTGTGTAGAAGGTCACACCGTAGTTGACGGAATAAAGAACATACGGCGTAATCCACATGAACTTTGGCAGCCACTTGGCCAGGCTCTGGAAGTGCGCTGCCTTCCACAACGCCAGCGGCAAGAAGATCAGGGTGATCAGATTAACGACAAACGCGTAGGCCTGCGTTATCCTTGTTTGCCGAAATCCTTCGTTGCCACTGGTACTCACATACGAAGTCATGCCGAGTACCACGGCGTACCCGTTGTATACGCGGGCTATCCTCCTCATGGCCAGGGATCTAAACTGAAACTGAAACGAAGCTAGTCTAACCCCAGTTTAACTCTTGGCCAATGGTAATTGCTGATCTGAATCAGCCTTAATGGAAATTGGTCACCTACTTTCAATCGATATTCTTTTTTTTTTTTTTAATAAAAGGGAGAGTCTTCTGTTTTGTACACAGTTTATTAAAGGAGCATATAGAATTGTACCAACAGGGTCGATTGGCAAATAATGAATCCCATCATTCGAAGCCAGATGTTTCGATTTGCTGGATATAGTCCCAGGACTTTCAACCGACTTCGGCTATTGGTTTTGTAGAGGAGGAATGCACTTATCTGTAAATTATAAGTAGTATGTCATATAATCTGATAAAGTTTAATAAATACCTCTTTGTATGTTGGGCCTTCGATAAGCGAGGGATTCGATTGACATTCGTACAAGTTCACCAAGTCGGATATGTAATCGTTGAGAAAGAAATCCAAGCTTCGAATCCAATAAGTTACGGCTGAAAAAACTTTAAAAAGGGAGAAGTATCCTTGTAAGTAAAGTATTCCGGTATATCCAAAGACAATGGTAAAAACAATATAGTCAATCCTGGAGATGAGCATCTGAAGCCCATAGATCTTGTTGATTTTGTTGGCCACTCGGCGAAGGGTGGAGTGTAGGGCCCAAAGATCGCCCAACTCCTCTGAATCACACCTCTCCTGCTGCCGATTGATGAAGTCGAAGCCTCTTGCTACTTGCCAGAAGGATAAGAAGTATAAGTAGGTTGTCGTGTTCAAAATGCAGTATGCAATTATGGCAATCAATTGGGAAATAAATTCCCAGATATCAGAAACGAACGGCATCCATAGCAGTGAGGACAGCGAAAGAAACACAAGCGTGAAGGATTTTGTGTACAAAAGTCTTCTAAGAACGGGGCTCTTTGTCATGTTCGTTCTTTCAATTTTCTGACTAATCCTATTGGCCAAATCCTGCAGCTCCACCATTACACTGTCTCGGTACCATCTCGAGATCAGAATGTATACAACGACTGCATAGTTTACCGAGTACAGAACATAAGGGACTATATACAAGGTTTTCCGGAAACAGTGAGCCACTTGCGAAACCTTGGCAACCTTCAGGAGTACTCGAGGCAGGGCGACTATGACCACCACGTTGCAAATTATAGTGTACGCCTGAGTTATCCTACATTTTCTGAATCTTCCGTTGACCAATCTGTACGAAGTGATTCCAAGAATCAGCGCGTATCCGTAAGAAATGGCTATTAGCTTTTCCATTATGAACTTTCGTCGTGCAGCTCCGAATGGCAACTAAAGGCATTAGTTTTGTCTGGCCAAGTTCTATTAGTTGCAACTGCGCATGCAATAAGATCCTGAAACTAGATTGTATTGCCATAATAGAGACGATTTTTTATTGAGATCAATCTTGGGGATAGTTTACCGCCCTTAAAGTGTGAAATATAGAAACTTTTAGGTAAATATACCATTTCGATTTGGTAATCAAGCCCATTATCCTGGGTTCGACTTACAGATCTTCAACTTGGGTTTAAGATCAGTAGCCCTGAGCGCAACCAAGTTCAAAACATGACAGGACCTGTTTAGGGAATTGACCTTTAGCCCCCAAACCACATCAAAACAAACGGATTAAGTTTTATGACTTTGTTTACGAAATATATCATAACCCTTTTTGGCCCTTTGCACCAATCACAGGTAGCGCAGCGGTGGATTATAGAAAAAGGTGTGGTTTATTCTACCTGTTTTCTATATAAATATGAGAAGGTTTAAGATCTCAACATCATTCGCAACTGCAATCCCGAGGAGTCAACACGCATTGAAAATGGAAGCTGAGCTGTCGTTTTTCCAATTTGATCCCGCTAGTCTGATTCTCTGTGTTCTGTGCATCTCGCTATTGGATTACTTTTTTAATAATTGGAATGAGCCTGTGGAACATCAAGTCTTCCCGACATTAAATCCTTCTTCTTCAATCAAGATGCACCGTACGGATGGCGAAACACCTTTGGCCAGAGATACCAACGGCTTAAGACACCTGCAACTGCGGCACCGTGAGAGACTATTGTCTGGCGTGAAAAGAAGGCTGGATGAACAATTCTGAATATAAAATTAGATTAAGCTTAAAAAAATGTAATATTTTCATATATACTAGTCCTTACTTTAATATTTTTAAGCTAATTGTACACCTTTTTAATAAAACAATATTTTAAAATTGAAAATTTTTGTCTTTTACCGCTAAAGTTATCGATTATTTTTAGCCAAACGCATACTTTTTCTATTGATCCGGCAACTTTGATATTTTATTGATATTTATTCATCGGCTATCGATATATTGATATTTTGGTATTTTCCTATTGTCATTTGGTATATCTGCCGGCACCTGAACCTGAAGCGGGCACACTTTTCAAAATAAGCCAGTCATTTTGAGCAGCATTTAGCATTTTCCAAAAATCAAACTAAAATCTTAAAATTAAACTGTTTGAAATTTTGGACATCATGGATTCCGGCTTTGACTTCACCGACACTCCCGTCAGCACTGGTGTAAGTAATCCTCTGCTACTGTTTTTCCCTTGGGTAATAATACCATTCACAGACCACCATTATGGCCGTCGAATTCGACGGTGGAGTCGTGATTGGAGCGGATTCCCGCACCAGCTCCGGTGCCTATGTCGCCAACCGAGTCACCGACAAACTGACTCGCATAACGGATAAGATCTACTGCTGCCGCAGCGGTTCCGCCGCCGATACACAAGCCATTGCTGACATTGTCGCCTACTCCTTGAACTACTACGAGAACCAGACCAACAAGGATGCCTTGGTTCATGAGGCTGCATCTGAGTTTCGCAATTTCTGTTACAACTACCGTGACTCGCTGCTAGCTGGTATTATTGTGGCTGGCTATGACGATCAGCGCGGCGGTCAGGTTTACAGCATTCCGTTGGGCGGTATGCTCACCCGCGAGGCTTGCACCATTGGGGGCTCCGGCTCAAGCTTCATTTATGGCTTTGTAAGAGAGCACTACCGCCAGAACATGTCGAAGGAAGAATGTGTTGATTTTGTCAAGAAGGGTATGAAATATTTGACTAATTCTGAACCCAAAGTAATAATTTGCTCCGTTTTCAGCCGTTCAGCACGCCATCTACCATGACGGCAGCTCAGGCGGCGTGGTGCGCATTGGCATCATCACTAAGGATGGTATCGAGCGCCGCTTGTTTTACAACACAGAGTCTGGAGATCCCCAGGTCGCGGGCACAGCTAGTTTCATCGCCGCGGAGCAGAAAATGGAAGCCTAAGTAGCATAAGGTCTAGAGGCCAAGTTAAAAACTTTCCTCCGATAAATAAAATGGTTTTTTGATACGAGTGTAATGTAAATTATATTTCTCTTCTCGTCTCTTATGGCAGTAAAAAAGTTAAGTATCGTAAGTGCTACATGGTAATAAATAGTCGAAGCTTATAGCTAGATGGGTACCTGCTCCCTGCCAGGACTGGTCCATTCTCACAACCGGATGACTTCCAGCACATCAGTCTAATAGGCAGCCACTCCTGCCTCGGAAGCATATTATGAGTTTAATTTGGCAACCTCTTCGGGAGCTTCTACAGTGGTTTCCATTGATTTTGTCGTAGTGCGTCGCTGCCTGCGTTGCTTTCGGTGGCGGAAAAGAATTTCTGGCGTCCAGGTAATAACTACCAACAGCAGTATGACTGCCTGGACATAAAGGCAGATAGTGTACGAGTCGGCGAAGTCCCGGACCCAGCCCAGCATCTGCCCAACAGTTATAACTATTATGCCCTTCGACATCATGCTCAATCCCAGACCGCCCGCCAGCTTCTCGGAGCGGCAATGGGACGATATGGTCAAGTTGTTGTTGAGCACAGTGGCGGACTTCATGACTCCAATGAGAATGGACATGGCGATGATAATGGGTAGGTCCTTGCTTTGTGCCAAAATGCAGCGACCAACGAAGAGACCAGCTGTGCCAAGCAGGAACACCACTCGGTATGGGATCCGTAAGTGATCTGTGATGATGGGCAGCAAAAGGCGGCACACAATGTCGGCACCTGCCACTGCTGACATGCAGAAGGCCACGACCTGGCTGTCGAAGCCCGCCGATTGTCCAAGGAACCCGGGAAATATCATCGTGAAGTTGACAGTGGCCGTATAGACGAGGGCCATGCCAATAATGATGCTCCAGAAGGCCAGATCCTTCAGCAGCTCCAGATCCATTGCCTGCACCAGGCGCTGGCTTAACCGACCACATATGGTTTCAGTCTTGGGGGCAAGTTCCTCGCCCTTGGTTTGGTTAGACGACACCACCACGACCTGCAGGGAACTAGATTGATTCTTATCGGCCTGGTCGCCGTCGGCCAATAGACGCATATGGCGATGGTTGTTGTGCTTTCCCGCCGGATTAAGCGGCTTCAGAAACATGGCACCAAAGAGCTAGAATATAAGGGAGAAATTGTTTATCGATTTCTCAGCTATGCCTTTAAAAACTTACCCCAGTTAGTGACAGGGCCGACAGCGCCAAGACTGCATACCGGAAGCCATGATTTTCCAGGAGATATCGCACTAGGTGGGGAATCAACACCTGACCAAGTCCAGCTCCCGCCAGAGACACACCAACAGCACGGCCGCGCTTGCTGGTGAAGTACGAGTTGATGGCCATGAAAGTGGAGGGGGAAATCAATCCCAACCCGAAGCCCACAAAGAAGCTGTAGCCCACTATAAAATGCCAGCTCTGGGAGGCAAAGGCACACAATGTCAGACCAAACGAGACCAACACGCAGCCGGTGGCGGCTACATTGCGCGGCTTAAAGCTCTTGATGGCAGGGCCGATGAACAATCCGGAAAAGTTCAGGGCCAGGCTGTTGAGATTGGTGATAAGGGCGGCTGTGAAGGTATCGCCGTGCATCAGACGGAGCTCTCCCACGAAAAGCTGACCAAACACAGACAGTATAGATTGGTTGGTCATCTGCGGGGAAAAATGGCTTGAATATTTTTAACTTCAAGGTATTACATTGTCACTTACGTTGATTATAGCGACAGCGGCCACCACAACCCATCCATAGCCACCATCCGGAACCACGCGAGTCACCTGCACATCCATGCCGTGTGGGTGGCTTACTGAAGTTGAAAACGCTAAAAAATAACAATAATTCAGATAAGTAGGTTGTTAAAACGACAGCTTTTGTTTATGGTGGCCTAAACAGGTGTGTAAATGTATTCTAGATAAGCTGATAGTCATCCGTACTTCTCTGGTGCGAGGGGAATGGCTCGTCTCAGCGTTTCCCACAAATAGCTCGGCCATTTCATAAACCGTGTATTAACAAATCAAGCTAAATTAAAATAAATTAATCCCAAAGTCGCGACTTTCTGTCCAAGTATGACCTGAGGGCGATGTCTAAAAAATCTAAAAACAAACAAAGCAACACATGGGGCGGCTCACGGCCCACCTGGCTATCGGCCCTCGCTAGAGATGACACTCGGTGGCCGTGCCTTGGCTGCTTTTTGTTTTGGAAATAAAACGCATTTTTCGCATTTTCTACCCGCATGCCGTGTTTTCTGTGCACACAGCCCGTGGATGGCGCCGTGGGCAACATCGACTTCGCCTCCGGGGAGGCTGAGTCACTGGGACTGCAGAAAATCGTGGAGACTCACTTCTGGCTTCGGGTAAACGTAAACAATAGTGTCCAGCTTGAATTACCAATTAACTTGGATTCCCCACAATTGCAGACCGGTGATTCAGACAGCGGATACGTCTGTGGGGCCTGCTGGGAGCAACTGCTGCTTTTCCATAATTTCTACTTAACGGTGGAGCAGGCCCACAGGGTGCTAGAGGCAGCAGATGCGTCTCAGGTTGAGACGGCTCCTGCTGAAGTCGTTACAGCGACAGTGGCCTTTGAAAGCGATGCGATCAAGACGGAGCTGGGTGAGAGCGTGGCGGCATCCGTGAAACGCCGGCGGGGTCGCATCCGAAAGTCAGAAGCTTTTATTTCTAAAGATGCCAATGACGATCTGAAGTGCGTGCTAGAGCAGATCAACCTTAACGAGATAAAGATTGAGTTCCCCGAAGCGGACCTGACCATAGCCGATGTTCTTGATGACCAGGACCAGCACGACTTCATGCCAAGCGACAGTTGCGGTAGCGAGGTTGGAGAGGAGATCGTTGATGAAGAGGCCAAGACTAAAAAGAATCGGAAGGTGAGGGGCCGTCCAAGAGGCTCCGGACGAGGAAAACCGCGGCTTCAAGAACGGCGTGCCAAGGGATCGGGAATCCCCAATCTAAAAAAGTCAGAGGAGTTTAACGAGTACATCCGCGACCATTTCAAGATACAGTGCCCCATTTGTACCACGCCGATGGAGGGCTTTTCGGAAATGTTAGTTCACGTCCGACGAGAACACAACCAACGCGGCTTTTCGATGTGCTGCGGTCGCAAGTTCTGGAAGCGGGGCATGCTTGTCGATCATCTGCGCCGCCACCAGGATCCCGAGCTCTTCAAGTGCACCATCTGCAACAGAGTAATGGGCCAAAGACGGAGCTTGGAACTCCATATGCGAATGCATGACATAAAGACACGCGGGCGCCTCTACCAATGCGAGCACTGCTCAAAGAGTTTCTTTAGCTCGGTGGTCTGTGATCGGCACAAGCTAACCCACATCCCGCGTGAGCAATGGCAAGTGAAGTGCACCAACTGTGAGAAGACGTAAGTAATGAAAAGTCCCCTTAAAATCGTACTCATCCTGTCTACCTTTCAGTTTCCCGACTCAATACACAATGCAACAACACGTGAGGCTGGTTCATTTGAATTTATATGCCAAGATCTGCGATGTGTGCGGGAAATCCATCCGGGGACGGGAGGCTTTGGCCCGCCACATGGAAGAGCACACGGGAGCTCCGCAGTCAGCCATTAAGTGTCACCTTTGCGACTCAAAGCTGACCACTAAATACGGATTGGCGCGACATATTAAAATGATGCACACGGCCGAAAACCTGCAGCCCATGCAGTGCGAACTGTGCATGAAGATTTCGCCCAGCCTTCAGGCGCACCAGCACCACATAAAGTACACCCACAACACGGCACGGACTCATCAATGTCCCATGTGCGAGAAGGCCTTCAAGAGGCCCAATGAGTTAAAAGTAATATTGTTGATCCCATATGTTGGCTTACTTATACAATCTATGGATTTCAGGAACACATGACCACCCACACGGGAGAAGTGCTCTACACCTGCCCCCATTGCCCGCAGACTTTTAACTCAAATGCGAACATGCATGCCCACCGAAAAAAGGTGCATCGCAAAGAGTGGGAGGAGCAACGATACCAGCGTCAAAATAGGACACACAAATCGGACACTATTATATCTGTTAGTGTGCGAAAAACCACAGAGACCCGGCAGGAGGCAGGAGCAACTGCATCAGGCACCGAGTGCTAGCCTTAAGGAACCCTTTAATCCAAATAAACCAAACGAGACACTGTACGTCTTTTGTTGTTATCAAATCGCGATTAGAGGGAATACCATTTTTAGGATCTGTAATTGAAAACAGTGATCTGGCTGTAACTGGTTTCAGCATCTGCACTCTGATCATCCCGAACTGGTAAAGCGGACATCGGTGGCCGGCGTTATCGCGATTAAGGTCGAAGCTGTTAATTTATAAACGCATATAGCACATCGTTCAATTTTTAATATTCCTATTTTGACGACGAGCCCCAGGCTCAATGGGCAGGGTAACCGGTTCAAACCAGTTGAAAAAGTGGATTCTACCTTATCAGTTGATTATGTTATCAAGCTCGGTTCAAAAGTACCACTGCTCATAACGTGTGTTTTTCTATAATTCCAAGTCATCTGCCAATAGAAAATGTGTGCCATAGAAGTTTCCAAACATTCTTGTAAGTTTTTCTCGAGCTTTTGGATTTTATTTTTCTTTAAAAACTACGTTAAAGGAATTTTTTTGGAAGGATTTTTAAGATCCTTATTAAGATTACTAGTTTTTTTACTTTTAAAAAAATCTATTCTATTGTTAAACATGTAATATTTGGAATCAAAATTTGGAATTTTAAAACCTATATATTTCTAATTGCTATTTTTATCAACATTTCAAAAACAGTACTGGACCCAAAGTAACAATTACTTATCGGTAATTGGGCAATTAAAATATACACAGTCACTGCAATCCGAGACTGTTTACTTTCCAAAATCTTGTTTGTTTAATTTCGCACTATCACTGGTTTCACCACAAAAGCGTACAAAGTGTCTGGCTTTGATAGATGCTTATCGTTTGACGAGTAAATATTAATTGAGCAGAATGTCTTCCTCAGGTTCCTTTTTATAGTCTTTAATGGAACCTGCAGTAGTGTGAGCCCCCTTTGTTTTTTATGTTGAGCGACTTTGATTTCGCAAGATTTGAAATTGGCGCCTGGTATAACTATCGATAGCTGCATATAAATAATCGAATAGCTATGCCCTCCGTTAAATTACCTTAGCAACTCAACTCTTATCAAACATGGGTATTTGAAAAGGAGTTTTAAATATTATTAATTGAATAAATATATTAAAACCATGTTAAATATTCCGACAAAAATGTTAGTCGCAAACCCCCCTGGAAACTTTCTGACTGCGCCCCTGCCTAAACCCAGCTGTTGCATACCTTTCGTCAGCACAACTGTGAACGTGTCAACGCTTTGCATTTTCCTTTGGTTTTCCTTAAACCCAACCAGAATCAGGAAGAAATGGTTGACGACAGCACCCGGAAAACGCTGAGCAACATTCCCCTGCTGCAAATACGCGCAGGACCCCGAGAGAAGGACGTGTGGGTGCAGCGACTAAAAGAGGAGTACCAGTCCCTCATTAAGGTAACTGAATTAGCCCACTTATCCAGCCACATCCTTCTAAAAAAGCACTTTCAGTATGTCGAAAACAACAAACAGTCGGGCAGTGACTGGTTCCGACTGGAGTCCAACAAGGAAGGCACAAAGTGGTTCGGCAAGTGCTGGTACATGCACGAACTTCTCCGCTACGAATTCGATGTCGAGTTTGACATTCCAGTGACGTATCCGACCACGGCTCCGGAGATTGCTCTGCCTGAGCTGGATGGCAAGACGGCGAAAATGTACCGCGGAGGCAAGATCTGTCTAACAGACCACTTCAAGCCGCTGTGGGCGAGAAACGTGCCCAAGTTCGGAATCGCTCATGCGATGGCTCTAGGAGTAAGTGAAGTATATCCCATAGGTGCCTTTATTCATTTGTTTCTTCTTCAGCTTGCTCCTTGGCTGGCCGTGGAGATACCGGACCTTATCGAGAAAGGCATCATTACGTACAAGGAAAAGTAGATAATTTTATAAAAAAAAAACTGGGAAACAAAAAACATGAACAAAGATTGATATAAAAGTCATTTAGCTTTGCATTTTATTAGTCAAAAAGTCAAATTGAAAAAGATCATTCTGCGTTCGTATCCTTCCTTGTCGCGTATCCTAGGTGCCTAAGTGCTAAGAATTTCATTTGGTTGATTCAGTTTGATCAGTGAGCTTGTCCTCCATTCCTTCCCTTTAATCAATATGGTTATTACGCTTCGAGGACTGTCGCCAGGTGTCTGACCAGATCGAGCTGGGCGAGGTAAAGGGATCGTACTGCGTGGGCAAGCTCTCTTGTCTCATAGCTATGATCCTAGGATCTATTTGCTCATCTTGTGCAAGGTTGTGCTGCGGTGTCAACAGAGGTCGTGCCTCCAAGCCCGGCGGAGGGCGCATTACACCCATATTAGGTGTAGACTCCGGCCAGGCAGCATAGTTTAGCGGCAACCAGGGATTGGCCCAGTTATTTGTTTCCATATTGGCGACCCGCTCCTGTTGCTGCAGCTCCAAGTGCTGAGCCTGCTGGTAGAGCATCTGCTGCTGCAAAACGAGCCTACTGCGTTCCCACTGCTGCCGCTGTAGTAGTTCGTAGGAAGCTGAAACGAATAGAAACGTTAATGTGGAAACTTTTAGGGAACCTATTGAACCTACCGTCTTCTTTGGGCAGGTCCACCTCTCCGTTGGCGAATAGCGAATTACTGGCCGTCGCAGAGAGTGGCTCCCACATGGATGTGATTGCCGGAGGCGTTGCAGTCTTCCTATTATCCCCGATCGGACCGAGATCACTCGAAGGCGCCTGCTGGCTCCAATCCATGCCATTATTTGGGTTGGAAAATTGATTTTTTTGTAGGACATCCCGGAAAGACACGGAACTGCTGGTCTCCCATGCCGAGGTGATGAACTTTATGTCATTTGGCGACGCTGGAGGAGAAACACCGGAACCAGTTGTCTGGTTAAAGTTCAATTTCTGGCGCTGTTTCTTTTCGGGCTTCTTGGCTCCACCGGTGCCATTCAGCAGCTTCTGTTCCTTGCGCCGCTCCCGCTCCCTTTCTCTTCCCGGGGTCTTTCCCACTTTTTTTGCCGATCCATTCTGCTCCTTGAGTACCCGCGGTTCTATGGACTTCATCGCTGGCTTTGGTGATGTGTTGTCGCGTTGCGGAGGACTTGGTTTTTCCTCAACAACGGAGGAGGGGAGGGCAGCTTCCGGCTTGGGCTTGGGTGATACGGGCTGAACTACAGGCGGAACAACCGAAGTCGGTTTGACCTTCTTTTGGGGACGCACAAAAGCTGACACTGTCGCCTGAGCTGGAGCCGCTTGCGGTGAGGGGGTCGAGGACTTCTTACCGGACCTGGCCTCTGGCTGGGCACTAGGTGGAGTTGTGGGCTTTGGTTTCGTTTTCTGCAAGTGCCTGCTTATCGAGTTCACGTCCATGTTCCAGGGTGACCACGACGACTTCGTCTTTTTCGAAGGAATCGATGGAACTCCATTCCGTTTTCGAAGCTCCTTAAGCTGGCCATTCTTCACCTTATTGTGCTGCACCGGATCCGTGGTCTTTTCCGCCGCCTCCTCGACCTGTTGCTTCACTATATTCCTCAGGTTGAATGTGGGCTGGACAGGACCCTTGTGCCTGGCTGCATCGTAAGCACTTTGCTGCGTCAGTATAGCCTTGGCATCGAATACGGCCGCCACGAGGACCAGGCCGAAACTGGCCAGAAGCACTACCAGAGCAGCGTTCTTAAGGGAGAACTCCCACCGGGGCCTCGCCAGCTGGGAGGCACAGAGTTCCACGCTTTCGGCCGGCATCTGGACAAGAAGCTGATAACTGATGTCGTACGTGAGGTTCGTCAGAAGCGTTATGGAGCGCTTTACTCGCGAGGCGGTGAAGTCGGAGCTGAATGATATCTCAACCTTTTTGGTGTCGTTCTCGCCCAGATCGAAGCCTTCGCAATCCATGACCTTGAAGCCAAAGTCTTCGCAAGGAAGGGAGCCAATCAAGAAACCTTCGATCCTCATGGGAATCACTCCGGAGTTCCGTGCCGTAAAGCTGCGAGTGGCCACAACTGTGCTAGCTCTTCCACCGACGTCGCATCCCTTAAACTGATCCGTGCCCAGCTCGAAGAGCAGTGGTGTGGTGGAGCCAGGACGACGGTTTCCAAAGCGAAACTGGGACTGCACTGCTTTGGCCTGCAACCACACAGCTTCGTACAGAGTCAGGTTGCTCCTCACGTGCAGCAGTGTGCAGTACTTTTCCGCTACTTGAGCGGTGAAGGTTATGGGTATGGTCAAGGACGCTCCGCCTTGCAGGAGGATCGGAGCTCCCGGCTCTGGCAGGGAAAAGACGCTTTTATCCGTAAGGTAGCAAGTGGTGGAGCTCACGTCAATCACCTCGTGGGGCAGTGAGAGTTGTGTGCGTCGGGCAAAGACTGGATCCGACAGGAAGTAGTCAATCAAGATGGGGTGCTGTGCGGGATTCGTCAGCGTTATCCACTGGCGCTGCACCTGGCCCACCTCGATAGCGGGCGTTGGAGGAATGGGCTGGAACTGCACTAGCTTGGGCCACTCGATGGTGATGGAGAAGTCCAGCTCCAATGGCGGCAACTCTTCAGTATGAAGAGTTAAAGACATGGCAGCTAGCTGGCGGCGCAGCTGGCGGAAGAGCTCTGTGCGCTGGCGCAGCTCGACTCCGTCATACAGAAGATTGTTGTTGATGCTCTCGCCCGCGATACTCTCCGAGCCTCCTGGCACTCCGGGAAAGATGGCCTGCTCATTGGTGGACTCCCTTATGTAGCACTGATTCCGGCACATAGCCGCTGCCTCGAAGTAGATGCGACCCACCTTGGTTAGCGTTTGTGGGGCTATGGTGGTTCCTTTGGCGTTAAAGTCTTTGAAGCGCAGGCCGGCAGAATGGGCGAAGGAGACGCTAGTGACGTGCACTGGGTGTGTAAAGGTGGAGCGTATGCTTAGCAGTCCCGTGCATATCCTGCCCGGAAAACAGCCCTTGAAACCGAGATGCTCCTGTTCAATCTCCAGTTGGCCCACCGAAGCTGCAAACCGAACTCTCACTCGAATCACCTCGAAGGGCGTCCAAACTTTAAGCGTTCCGGAGCTGGGATCCGCGTCGTATGTCTGAACAGCTACCTTAATGACGACACTGGAGCCCGGACTTACCTCCGAGCAGATGCTAAGCCATCGGCTACTTTCGTTCCGGGCACTGTTTAAGTCTTCAGTGATGTGATCTCCGGCAAGCAGGCAGCCTAGAAAGACTGACGTCGAATAGACCATTTTCGGCTGCTTGAAGAACCAGTTGTTGATCTTCACCGGCACTGGATTGTCGTTGCGCAGGATTACATATCCAAAGCGCGACATTTCGGCAAACGGCACAGTGCCCAGATCCAAGTCCGTACTATACGGCGCCTCTCTGTTGTCCGGAGGTATCTTAAGGACAAATGGCTGAGTGCTCACGTGCAAGCGGCCAGTGCACGACACTAAGGGCAGCTCAATCGTAGTTACATTCGTGTGTATTCTGATGGACGATTCAAATCCCACCTGACGGTTCAGTAGGTTTAGGCGGAGCAGCTCCACAGACTCCCCAGGCTTCAGTAGCAGTTGGGGTTCGACGGTCTGGAGTACCTCCAGAATGGATTCATCGATGGGTTTGCTGAAACTGACGTTGAACAGGATGAGCGGCACCAGAAACTGATTGGTCACCACCAAGGAGCGGTTAGTTTCCAGCGTTGGCCCCTCCTCGCCCTCCGGTGAGCTGGTCAAAAACCTGGTTATATTCCCGTCGTAGGACAGGCCGCCTTGAAAGATCTCTGCTCTCACAACGATGGTGAAGTCTTCGACGTCCTGAGCACCAATTACGAGGATATCGTTGATGGACTCGCTACTGTCGAACAACTGGGGATCCAGTTCAATGGTTGAGCTGTTCACATTGAACATCAGCCCGGCCACCTGGCGCAGATAGCGGCCAAGGAGCGTGTAGTTGTGATCATTAACGATATCGAGCTTGTAGCGCAGGACATCCGGCGTGTTTAGTTTCGCTATTCGCCCAAGGTCGGCCAGGGGATTCCTGGCGTAGGCAGAGTGGCGAGGCAGGATTTCAAACTCCACGGGAATCACAAGGATGTTTTCCTGCCCGAGATCCAGTTCCTGCTCGGCGATCTTGATGCGAATATAGGCGCTGTGATTTCCGGCGGTGCGGCCATGAAATGAAATCCGTATAACCGGCTTCATGGTGTACGGAGGAATCTCCCATAGATTTTGCGGTCCTTCCGAGCCCCCGCTTGGTAATTCCAACTGGAATTCGCCGCCGCTGCTGTAAATCTAGAAAACGGAAAGGGTAATATCTCGTTTACTGTATGCAATTTCAAACACTCACTTCCAGTATCTGGAGCGGCCTCTCATGCGGATTGTACATATGAATCTCGGGCGTTAGCGTGGAGTTCATAGGCGCTTTGATGCCCACTAGTGGCTTAAGGCGATAGGGGCACTCACTGCCCTCGCCCTGCACCGCCAGTTCGGCTTGACCGAAGGATGTGTGGACGAGAAGGTCGCCGGCAATGGCACCTAAGTGTCGCGGCAGGAAGACGACGGTAAACGTTGTGTTTCCCTTTGGCGCCACCTCCCGCGTGCCCAGAAAACTGCTGTAGAAAGCAGGATTCGGTCCGACCACGGCATTGATCTGCAGCGTTCGGTTTGCATGCTGGTTGAACAGCGTCACGGTTTGAGATCGGGCTTGGCCCACCGACCAGGTTCCAAAGTCCAGGCGCGGCGGCATCAGACGCAAATCCTGGAGCAGTTCCCCCAGCTCGCGGGAGGCTCCTGGCTCCTGCAGACCAATAAAAGCGGCCTCCTGTAGCACCTTCTCACTGCTTGCGGCTCCCAATGCGAGCAGGAGAACAAACAGGGGGTTTAGGATGAAAAGTAGAAGTGGCGTTGTGTGCCGCCGGGTAATGTGGGTGGCCATGGCAGCTGTTTGATTTGGACCCGCTTACAGTCCAGTTGAGCTGGTGCCTCTCGTAGGATCCCTGGAATGCAAGGAATCCGCGGAATTCGAGTGCGATATTATCCAATGTCGTTGCAGGCCAAAAGGCATTTGCTTATCAGTGTAGCCAGACGGGTGGGTTTTCAAGTGGTGGCAGTGCTGCGCTGGTCTTATCGGTCTTGGTCCATCCCTAGCGCCATCGATAGGTTTGTAAGAAACAAAAAGTAAAGAAAGTTGCAGTTCGGTTTCGTTTACGTGTTTATTAACAGTCACAGGACAAACAGAGTGAGTTACCAGGCTATCGAGGATCATCCCCTACTTGGGACTCCCACGGGTAGAGTCGGCGCATTGTTAGATGCCCAACTGCAGTGTCAAAGTGATCTTTCGGCTTGGTTCTTCTAGTACGCAGGAACACATACAATGTACAAGTACATGTACTCATCTAAGTCTTGCAGAAATATTTATTTGCAGATCTGCAAATGCACGAGAAGAAACAAGATTTGCCAGGAAACAGTAGTGGTTTCGACCTGTAGGCGGTGATGCAACTGCCTTATTGATTTTGCCAACTTTCTCCGCTTACAAAACATTCGCCCAGCAACAATTCAAGTTTCACCAAAAACCAAAAACCAAATCCAAAACCTAGGCCAGGCCAATTTCCATACTCGAGCGTCACTCGAGGGGCTACTCTGCTCCAACGGGCGTGAACTTCGCTTCCTGATGTAAATTAGCCTCGGCATTAGGCATTAGGCGCCTTGTGTACTTGCAAAGTCGCTGCTATTGTTGCTAAATTAGTGTACTTGGAAAACTTAAATAGTGATTCTAAGCCTAAGCCCGTGTTTTTTCGGCTCTTGAGCCATGCAGTGTTTTGGGAGAAAGTTCATCAGACGATCAAACTGAAGTGGCCAAGGGCCGTTGCATTGATAACCGGTTCCTTAGAGAAAGAAGTTCCCCTACTTAATGGACCAGTGACAGAGATAACAGGTAACGGTGCCTGTTGTTGTCTCCCTAATCTTGCCGAGAATCGAGAGAACCCGAAAATCGAGAGCAGCCGAAAGTCTGAAACCCGAAGCCTCCCGAGAACCGAAACCGAAATTTTCGAAGCCAACACCTGCAGCAGTGATTCCCTTTCATGTTTCATGGCTGGTACTGGCTGGTATTCGCTTTCAGTTTACTTCAGACCCGAAGGTGTGCAGGTCATTGAAAATTCTTCTACCGCCTTCTCTCCCAGCACTCGAGCGCCCAGGTGGACGGAACTCGAAGCCAAGCCCAAAACCTATTGCACCTGTATACGAATAGAAACCGCGCACTCGCTTCTCTCTAATCAATTCTAAGTAAATAAATCAAAGTTTGAAAGTACAGGCAAAGTCAAACGCGTACGCGCTTGGTCTATATATTTCGTTGCGATTACTGATCACTATATGTACCTATCCCTCCCTGATATTTCTAACCCGCTATAAAATCTTACTGATTTCTATTCTTTATATGTAGAGTTTCACCATGTCGGCGAAAGCAATTACGGAGGCCTCCGGTAAGGACATCCTGAACCGTCATCTTTCCCTGCACGGCGCTGGTGCCGCCAGCTGCCGCTTCGCAACAGTCAACGCCACCACAGACTGGTCGAAACTGAGCGTCGACCATCCCTGGCTGCTAACCACGGTGAGTGCTACTTAAAAATAGCCCCGGAACCCACACCAGTGGGTTCGCAAAGATTGCGAATCAGCCGATCACTGCTGGAACAGAAATTAGAGCAGCAATAACAAATACTTGGGCTTGTCATTGAACTTGACCTCGACGCTGCTGACTGGATCTCAGTGCTCTGGTTCGTGCAGAACGCGTTCAGCACGCTGCCGGTGGATGACTAAGCCTCGTCCACTGATAAGCACGATTTGGGCGCCACTTTGACGAGTGATTCGATTCCATTAGAAGCTGCACCAGACTAGACTGATAGGCGGGGCTGGAACTGAACGATTCCGATCCAATTCGATCCATAGATTGTGTTTATCGGCGGTTAGATAGCCGGCTGTGACTGTTCCCAGCTGTAGGTCGCGTGGCGTGGCGTGGTCGTCGTGTTGATTGGCTATCCGGCGACGGATCAGCCAAGGCAGCTCACCTCATTTGCCAGCACGATAGGCCGGCGTGGAGATTGGAACTCTCCATCACGCAACTATCTCAGACTGACCTTCTAATCGATCGTGGAAGCTTGGATTCTAATCTTTTGGTTTTTTTTTTTTGTTAGGATTTTCAACCGTGGGAATTTTTTCTTTGAAAAGACTTATCTTGTCGATGAGGACTTTATTTTCGGTAGAATTCCCTTTGATAAAGGTGCTTTTTCCCCACCCGGTGGAGGGTAAACACAGAGATTAAGCCAAAGGTAAACACTTTAATGGCACACTCGAGTGTCTTCGGGCTATAATTACACTACAAAGTTGATCGCCTGACAGCTCGGATGACATTTTGTACCCGCGCTCTGTTTACTCAATTTACACTCGTACGATCTTCTAATAAGCATCGCGTATCTCGTATCTGCCCGTTTGTGGAGGTACAAGTGCAAAGACGAGTATGAGCTGGGGTTCGGTTGCGCGAACGGGCCGGGCACTGTCATTGACAATGACGCAGTCCCGCAAACCCGATGAATGACCCCTGGCGCTATCGTCTGATCTTGCTAACAGATGTATTTAAAGCTTGGATTCGAACCGGCTCAAGTTCATTGATTTTCAGGGCATTGTTGAATACCCTTGGTGAGGGTATTTGAATTTTTCCAAAACATTTCTGATCTCTGATCTCCCTGATCTTGATCTTGATCTTCCAACGTTGCTACAAGCTTGTCTGTCTGTCTGTTTCCAGGCAAAGGAGTATCTAATATGAGCCACTGCGATGGCTATATCTTCGCCAAAACTGATCCGATTCTTGAGCGGAATACCTTAAATGATTCGTGGATCGATTCTCCACCATTCTGCATCAAAATCTAAGAACGAATTATTTTTGAGATTTTTTGTCAAATTTTCTGATGGACCCCCTTTGAATTTTTGAAAAATGCATGAGGAGCACATTATGGGCCACTGCGATGGCTATATCTTTGCCAAAACTAATCCGATTCTTGAGCGGAATACCTTAAATGATTCGTGGATCGATTCTCCACCAATCTGCATCAAAATCTAGGAACGAAATATTTTTTAGATTTTTTGTCAAATTTTCTGATGGACCCCCTTTGAATTTTTGAAAAATGCATGGGGAGCACAGTATGGGCCACTGCGATGGCTATATTTTTGGCAAAACTGATCTGATTCTTGAGCGGAATACCTTAAATGATTCGTGGATCGATTCTCCACCAATCTTAAAGAACAAATAATAACCTCCTCCTTTCTTTGCAGCCTCTGGTGGTCAAGCCCGACCAACTGATCAAGCGCCGTGGCAAGCTGGGCCTGATTGGTGTGAAAAAGAACTTTGAGCAAGTGAAGCAGTGGATTGGGGAACGCCTCAACAAGGACCAGAAGATCGGCAATGCCGTGGGAAAGCTGCGTAACTTCATCATCGAGCCATTTGTGCCACATACTGATGTGAGTTCTTGAACGAAAACCAAACATCCCAACATTAGTGCTAATCTGGTTTGAATCCCCCAGGCGGAGGAGATGTATGTGTGCATCTATTCCCATCGTGCCGCGGACACGATCCTGTTCTACCACCAAGGCGGTGTGGATATTGGAGATGTCGATGCCAAAGCCGTAAAGTTGGACATACCCGTCAACGCCTCTCTCTCGCTGGCCGATGTTAAGAGCAAGCTGCTTGTGGAGGTCAAGGATGCGAAGGTCAAGGAACGCATTGCCAAATTCATCAGCGCTCTGTACACCACTTATGTGGACTTGTACTTCACCTACTTGGAAATCAATCCTCTTGTGGTGACGGCCGAAAATCTTTACATCTTGGATCTGGCGGCTAAGCTGGACTCCACCGCCGATTTCATTTGTCGACCCAAGTGGGGTGAAATCGACTACCCGCCACCCTTTGGCCGAGATGCGTACCCTGAGGAGGCTTACATTGCCGATCTGGATGCCAAAAGTGGAGCGTCGCTTAAGCTAACGATTCTGAACCGCAACGGACGCATCTGGACGATGGTGGCCGGCGGTGGAGCTAGTGTCATTTACTCGGACACCATTTGCGACCTAGGAGGCGCATCTGAGCTGGCCAACTATGGCGAATACAGTGGGGCGCCTTCTGAACAACAGACATACGAGTACGCCAAGACGATTCTCAACCTGATGACCTCCTCGCCGAAGCATCCAGATGGCAAGGTCCTAATTACTGGAGGTGGTATTGCCAACTTTACAAATGTGGCGGCGACCTTCCAAGGTGAAACATGTTTACGAATCCATATCTTATCAGAAGTCTAACGTGATTCATGTCCCAGGTATCATCACCGCCCTGCGAGAGTTCCAGCCCAAACTCGTGGAGCACAACGTGTCCATCTTTGTGCGTCGGGCTGGCCCCAACTACCAGGAGGGTCTGCGCAAGATGCGTGACTTCGGCACCACCCTTGGCATTCCGCTGCACGTTTTTGGACCCGAGACCCACATGACAGCCATTTGCGGCATGGCGCTGGGCAAGCGACCCATCCCCCAGGTGGCCAGCGTAGAGTTCTCCACCGCCAACTTCTTGCTCCCCGGCGGCCAACAGGCGCAGGCGGACCTCAAGGCTTCCAGCGATGCGGAGGCTCTAGGTTCAGGTAAGTCCATAGTGAAATAGAATGTACCTGAGTGTCGATGGAATGTGTATGTAAGCACCTAATCCGGGTTATCACCAATCCATCCTAGATGTAATCCCTGACTGTTTGTTTCCCTGACGAGTCTGCAGTACATTAATAGTGCATTTATCTGATCTATCTATTTTCTCTCTCTGTATTTTTGTATGTTTGCATTGATCGCCCTCAACTACAACGACACTCACCAACCAACCAACCAACCACCAACCAAACTAAATTCAAATCCTAAAAAACCATAAACCACCAAATCAAATAACTAAAACCAAAAATCCAAAATCAAATTTGAAATGCTCGTTTTGGCCAACTGATCTGATACGCTCCTGATCCGATCCCCCATAACCTCCTGATCCGTGTTCGTGTTCTTCGTGTTGTCTATGTTTGTGTATCGTACTGGTTTGTCAATCTCTCTACACGTCCTGATCTCACGCTCTCTGCTCCTTCATCATCATCTTGAACTCGATCTCGATTTCGACTCGTTCCGTTACGTTCATTTGGGATAGCCCTGAGCCCGAGCGCAGCTAAACCGATTAAACTACCACCTATCTCAGCAGATGAGAGCGATAATGTCGTCGACGGTGTCTTGTCTGGTGCGCAGCGCAACGGATCATCGCTCAACCGTAAGTTCTTCTCCACCACCACCAAGGCGATTGTGTGGGGCATGCAACAACGGGCGGTGCAGTCGATGCTGGACTTTGACTTCATCTGCAGGTGAGTTTAAGCCCAGTCGTTCTGAATTCTTCAATTTTTAAGCCTCATCTTCTGGTTACAGACGTACGGAACCCTCTGTGGTGGCCATGGTTTATCCCTTCACCGGCGACCACAAGCAAAAGTACTACTGGGGCCACAAGGAGATCCTTATTCCGGTGTACAAAAAGATGTCCGATGCCATTCACAAGCACAAAGAAGTGGACGTTATGGTCAACTTCGCCTCCATGCGCAGTGCCTATGAGTCCACGCTGGAGGTCCTGGAGTTCCCCCAGATTCGCACAGTGGCCATCATTGCCGAGGGTATTCCCGAGAACATGACCCGCAAACTGATAATTGAGGCAGACAAGAAGGGAGTGGCCATTATTGGTCCTGCCACCGTGGGTGGAGTCAAGCCCGGTTGCTTTAAGATCGGAAACACCGGCGGCATGTTGGACAACATTCTGCATTCCAAACTGTACCGCCCTGGCAGTGTGGCTTATGTTTCACGTTCCGGCGGTATGTCCAACGAGCTGAACAACATCATCTCGAAGGCCACGGACGGAGTGATCGAGGGTATTGCCATTGGTGGCGACCGCTATCCAGGATCGACGTTTATGGACCATATTCTACGTTACCAGGCTGATCCGGAGTCTAAACTGATTGTACTGCTTGGAGAGGTCGGAGGCACCGAAGAGTACGATGTATGCGCCGCTCTCAAGGATGGACGCATTACCAAGCCCTTGGTGGCGTGGTGCATTGGAACCTGTGCCAGCATGTTCACCTCCGAGGTGCAGTTCGGACACGCTGGCTCCTGCGCTAACTCAGACCGGGAGACGGCCACCGCAAAGAACAAGGCTCTCCGAGAGGCCGGAGCATATGTCCCGGACTCTTTTGACACGCTGGGTGAACTCATCCACCATGTGTATGGTGAGCTGTTAAAAACTGGTCGTGTGGTTCCCAAAGAGGAGGTGCCGCCTCCAACCGTGCCCATGGATTACTCCTGGGCTCGCGAATTGGGCTTAATCCGAAAGCCTGCTTCGTTTATGACTTCCATCTGCGACGAACGTGGCCAGGAGCTCATCTACGCGGGCATGCCTATTAGTGAGGTCCTTAGTAAAGATGTGGGTATTGGTGGCGTCATTTCGCTGCTTTGGTTCCAGCGATGCTTGCCCTCGTATGTGTGCAAGTTCTTTGAGATGTGCTTGATGGTAACTGCCGACCACGGACCGGCCGTTTCCGGAGCACACAACACCATCGTATGCGCTCGTGCTGGCAAGGATCTGGTGTCCTCGGTCGTCAGCGGTCTCCTCACCATTGTAAGCATTTCATCTCGCTTATGGGAATAGTCATCGTTTACTAATTGAGTTATTTGTAGGGTGATCGATTCGGTGGTGCTTTGGACGGCTCCGCCCGCCAGTTCTCGGAAGCATACGACACAAATCTGCATCCCATGGAGTTCGTGAACAAAATGCGCAAAGAGGGAAAACTTATCCTGGGTATTGGTCACAGGGTCAAGTCCATCAACAACCCCGATGTGCGCGTCAAAATTATTAAAGAATTCGTACTGGAGAACTTCCCGGCGTGTCCGCTCCTCAAATACGCTCTGGAGGTGGAAAAAATCACCACCAACAAGAAGCCCAACCTCATATTGAACGTGGATGGTGTGATAGCCACCGCCTTCGTGGACATGCTGCGCAACAGTGGATCCTTCACCAGGTAAGCACACTTCGGGGCATGTTTCGTGTATGACAGACTTTAATTTGTGTTTTCCATTTCAGTGAAGAGGCACAGGAGTACATCAACGTTGGAGCAATCAACTCGCTGTTTGTGCTGGGACGTAGCATAGGCTTCATCGGTCACTACATGGACCAGAAGCGACTGAAGCAGGGCCTGTACCGCCACCCATGGGACGACATCTCATACGTCATTCCCGAGCAGTACAACTAAACGATGTTATATTCTATTATGTCTCAATCATATATCCGAAAGTTGTTGTAATTAAGCACAGATGTACGACGTTCAGCGAGGAGGCTGTCGACTCCGTTCCAGATGGTAGATGCGTCCCTGCATGCGTCTCCCCAGACCAGCCCCGTTCCCGTTCCACATTAATCCTGCATTTAAAGTTCTCAAGTTACCATTATTGCCCTCGTTGCGTTTTCTGTAGAGGTGCGAGTGTGTCTCGGAGCCCGTAGCCCGGGTGTTTTTGGAATCTAGATATAGTGAAATCTGTGCTCCGAGCAGAATTCAGCATAAAATTATTTGATACTTTTTATACTTTAGTTTTGGATGCTCACAATTGTCTAGACAACAAGAGAATAAATTGTTGCAAAAGCTTATTTTATTATTTTGCTTAATTTCATAATTTCTCTCACTGCACTTGTTCCTGTTGATTAGGTGCACACATGACTTAATGTTACACACAAGTATATATATACAATGCACCAAAAAATTTAAGTTTGGACAGGGGTCACAGTATTTCTGCCAACATAGCGAATTCATTGCAATTAAACCGCACAAAATGCTTTAACTAACCAAAACCCTGGGTTGTGTTTTGTCTTGAGCAGTTTAATTTAAGATTTTAACAACTTCCAAGCTCCGGACACACACGAGTAAACGTAGAATCTCATTAAAATAGTGGATGACCAGTTGGGGCCTTCTATCTCATGCGCCGCATCTTGCGCTCCATCTTCTTCTGTTTCTTCTCGTCCACCTCGGGATTCTCTTCCTGAGCGTTGCGTTGCGACAGCCAGGGCTGGATGATTGATCCCCACAGCATCCAACCCGCTCGGAGGGGCGCCAGGAGCAGCACCAGCCAGAAATAGTTGGAGATTAAAGCTAGCAGAAGCGTTCCCGAAGTTAGAATAATAAGGTCCTTCACATTTCTGAAATGGTTCTCATGTAATCAAAGGGTTTCTGTGGAGCATTTTGGTACTCTTACTCTGCTATGCCGCCCTCCATGTTCAGATCGTTTCCAGAGTCCAGAAGACTCCCGCTCTCTGAGTACTTCGGCCGCGACATGAAGAACATAAACTGGTAAGCACCACCAAGGATCAAGAGGGCCAGTATGTGCATGAACTAGGAGCCGTAATAAACTATTAATAAAGGTTATAAGATTGTACTTCTCGGCAGGCTTACCACAACCGTTTTAGTGATCTCGAAGACTAGAAAACTTATCAGTAGAGACGTAGTGGCACAGCCGATAGCCATATTCCTGTAGAAGGCCAGAGTGGTCTTGTTTTCCTCTACGATTTGCTTGGCTCCTTTGGTGCCCTGTTTTCCCTTCTGTGGAGGCTGCAATGATAAATGGGAACTCATGTTAATGTCGGCTAGATCCCCCACTGGCGGGTACTACTTACAGCCATGGTTAAATCTTATATTGTATGTCAGGTATTTTAAAAATCCTAAATCGAACCACTTTTTACGTGGCGAGTGCTCAAGAAAATCTATGTGTTGGTAAACGACGATAAGTGCAGAAGTAGTGTTGCAAATCTTCAATAGTTTTACGACTGACCGAGAGTTCAAAAATATAAATATGGGTTTTTTATTAATAATTTTTAAACAATAGGCATATAGTCCATCTTATCTTCTTATATAGTTGCTACTTTTTAATCCCTATAAAATTAATCCACAATCGACGCTCATGCCTTGCCACTCACAACGATTCGTGGAACAGCTGATTGACCAAAACTTCGACCTTTGGATTTTGGATTGGGCTGTTATTTGAAATTCCTTGAAACCAACTCCATAACAGTGGTCTTCGGTCACAAAATGAGTATGGATCGATTGGTGCAGTTAAATAATCAAGCTGGCGGCAGGGACAAGATTGCCCGACTTGTTCAGTACGCATCGCGGGCTATGTGGGACTCTTTGGAGTCCACCAACTCTAGTCCGGCACTTGTTGACAACTTTAAGACAATTGAGTATATTCTCAGCACCTTTAGAAAGCGTAAGTTCTATTAATTATTTCTATTCAATTTCTATTAAGTTCTATTCATTATTTTCTTTTAGTTCTTCGCTTTGGAAAGTGCGTTGATGTGTTTTACGGAACTCTGAAGACCATCCACTATCCGGATCTTACAATCAGGGTGACTCTCACATTGAGTAAGCTGTCGCAGTCCTTGTTTCTGTTTGCGGACCATTTCCTCTGGCTGGCTAGGACTGGACTGACAGCCGTGAATGCGAAGCGCTGGTCAAACATTGCCAATAAATACTGGCTCTTCTCCATCATCATGAACTTGTGCCGAGACTTTTACGAAATTGTGCGAGTGCTAGATCTCCATAAATCCAGCTGCAAGAGTGGAATTACTCGCTGTCCCATTCCGGCGAGCATCAACTCTAAAGAGGATCTGAAGAGACTGGCCCTGCACTCCTATGCGATTGTACAGGCACACAAGGACATAATGGTGGACACGGTGAAAAATGCTTGCGATTTCTTCATCCCCCTGACCGCTCTTGGCTATACAAGCTTGACGCCAAAAACTATTGGGCTCCTGGGTGCCATTTCATCCGTCGCTGGCCTGTGGGCTCTGCTGGAACCGAAGGCCAAGCTAACGCCCGCATAATACGAAGACCTAACGACCTGATATTGGAGAAATTGTATATATGTAGGATGCTCTTTCCTTGGCTATTGTAACTGTTGTATTTTAATTGTATTGCTCGGATTAAGTGTAAAGTTAATAGATCGAATGAACCACCATTATTTACGCGCCTTGTCAGCGTTCCGGGCGGATGGCAAAAAACAGATGTGATTCGAGGCACCCCCGAAAGTGAATGGCATTTTTCCAGTGTTATTTTTTTGTTCGCTTGGTTTTTATCAATCTGCCAGCCTTTGGCTGATGGTCCAGTGGTCTTATCTGGATATTGATGAACCTGTATTATTAATTCGTCATCATGAACTACTCCTACACGGCGCTTTCGCCTGCCCATGGTGGTGCGGGAGGATTCGGCGGCGTTGACTACCACAATCGCTGCTGCGGAAACAGGACCTGGTGCGTCAAGGACATTTGTGGCATCGTGTGCGTGATAATGACATGGCTTCTTATTCTGTTCGCCGAGTTTGTAGTCATGCGGCTCATACTGCTACCCAGCAACTATACAGTCTTTAGCACCATTAACATGGCTATATTCCAGGCATTGGCCTTTTTGGCATTTGCCTCCCACATACGCACAATGCTATCGGACCCGGTAGGTAATCGGGCTAATCTACACCTACATAAATCTAAATTTGTTTTTCTTTTTTCAAGGGCGCTGTGCCCCGTGGCAATGCCACCAAGGAGATGATTGAGCAAATGGGTTACCGGGAGGGCCAGATGTTCTACAAGTGCCCAAAATGCTGCAGCATCAAACCGGACAGAGCTCATCATTGCTCTGTCTGTCAGCGATGCATCCGAAAGATGGATCACCACTGCCCGTGGGTCAATAACTGTGTGGGCGAGAATAACCAGAAGTACTTTGTGCTCTTTACCGTAAGTGTTTAAGGTCCTTATGACGTTATTTGTGATGTTAATTGCGCCCTCATATATTTTTAGTTCTACATTGCTTCGATTTCTGTGCACACGCTCTTCCTGGTGCTTACCCAGTTTGCAGAGTGTGTGAAGAACGACTGGCGCACTTGCTCGCCGTACTCGCCGCCGGCCACAATTTTTCTGCTGCTCTTTCTCACCTTTGAGGGTCTTATGTTTGGAATTTTCACCATAATAATGCTGGCCACTCAGCTGACGGCAATACTAAACGATCAAACGGTGGGGATTCGCTTTCTCTTAAGAGAAATTTTTCAATTTGCTCACCTTGCTCTTTTTGTTAAACAGGGAATCGAACAGCTGAAGAAGGAGGAGGCCCGGTGGGCCAAGAAATCTCGCCTCAAAAGTATACAGTCTGTGTTTGGACGCTTCTCGCTTGCCTGGTTCTCGCCCTTCACGGAACCCTCCTGCCGGAAAAAGTTTAGCCCGCACTTCTACTCGGTCTGAGATGGAATCAGAACATGGATCCTATCCGAATGAACAATACGAGGAATCAAGACGTACAAGGGCAGCTAGCTGAATTCATCACTTGTTGCGCCCATCTATGTGCAATATTGTATATTGCAACCACTATTTTTCGATCAAATGTCGACTATATTTACTAATTCTACGTGTGTATTTGTGTGTAAATGTTAGGCCCTAAGGATAAGAATAAAAAATAAAAGCCTTGGCCAGGTGAACAGTGGTACTTAAGAGAGCCGCACAAGGTAGTTCACGAATGTTTTATTTAAAGAGATGAAAACAATCTGTTTGGGACCCAAGATCATGCGCCATGATCAGTGCTCATCTTTGCGGCAGCCTCTTCTCAATTTCTCCCAATCTCTCTGGGCATCCAAAATTATCTGGCATGGACCTGCAGATCTGTCTGGTGAGTTCAGTCTGAGAAAAACGATCGGAGATCCAGGAGGTGCCGGCTGGATGTGGTGCGCCCTCGAGACGTCGACGCTGTGTGTTGTTCATTTCGTTTATATATAGATAGAACCATTTATGTGTTCACTAATGTGTCGTTTTCTGTGAGTGTGTTTTCGAGTGCCTGGTGGATTTCGAATTCTGATTTGGAATTGGAAGAGAAATATATAAAGGCTGCACGGCTGCAACCGAAAATGTGAATATATCCTACCAAAAAATTTGTGAATACCGTTGTGCCCCACCGAAATTGCCTAATTATAATCGGTAATTTCAGTTTTATTGAATCGGAAACAGGAAAAAAGTATATTCCACCGTCGTTGTTTTTGTGTGCTCTGGTGATCTAAATATAAATACAAAACAAAATCACTTTCGGTTTATTCCGAGTCAAAAATATCCGATAATTCTGCGCCCTAATCCCGTACATCTCGCACAGAAAGTCCTGAAGGTACCCGCGTACCACATGCCAAAGTGGCCCGGTTTCGGCTAATTATATAGTGAGACCTAAGCATGGAGAGATCGCGCTCAGTGGGTAAGCATTGTGCCCAGGAATACGCCGTGCCGGGACTATCCCCGGCACCCGTTGCTCCCATCTTACTCCTGCTCCGTTCTGTGTTACTAGAAATATTTGTGTGTATTTTTATGGGCTGTCCCGGGCTCCCACTGCCCCAACCCCCGACTGGCTCCCCTTTTTAGAATCGTTTGGGGCACCAGTGCGGTTACGTAATTGCGAATTGGACATGAGAAATTTTCATAATTGTGTACGCTACGGAATATGTGCCGGTCTAATGGCAGTATTATAGTATCCTGGGGATGTCCCCACACATAGCACCCACAGAAAAGTAGTTCGCATTCGATTGGGACTAACTCTATAGGAAAAATAGTTCTTAATTTACCGAACAATGTTTGTTGTTAGCAAGTATGAATAATTTAAAAAACTATTTTTAGTGCATAATGCAGGGTATGGATGTGTCTGAGGAAAGAACAGTCTTTAAGAACGTTTTTTGAAAAAGTGTTTTTCATATTTTATACAAAATCTTATCATTAAAGTTTCAAGTAAAGTTCAAAGGACTATATTGTTCAACCATTAACCATATTATACTTCTTAGAAGTATTATTTTCTTTTAAATAAAAGCATTATTTCTTGGATTGTCTAGACAAGCTTGTCTCTTTCCTATTGTTTTATTTTTTTAAGAAAGGTATCCCTCATTCGAACACACTCGAAATCCTAAACTTTCCCCCCTTAGCGTCTGACATTGTTCCGTATATTTTTGTCTACTCGTGGCTACATGGGGATTTCTGACATTTTCGCAAATATTTATGATAATATACTAGTCAGACGACGGCGTTCAACGCCAGAAAACATAAAGGAAGATTAGTCATGCTTATAATTAACGTCACTCTGCAGAACCTCCTCCTCCTCCTGGCATAGAGGCAGGGTCAGATCGCCCTCCTCCCCGGATTACATTCAGCGAGAATTCCAGCTCCCTCATCCGATGTATTCCCAACGAGCGGGCCACCTTCTTTGTCAAAATCGACTGCTCCGAAGAGGATGAGCCGGATTTATTGCCCTTCAAATTCGAATGGTAAGTCAAAATTGTGCACCGAACCTGTCAAATATACATTTCTACACTCACCTGTGCACTTGGGCCCCGTCTTGTGAATCACCTAGCCGGCCTTGTTTCACCCGGTCGACAGTGCATAATGCCAAACATTCTGCGCATTAGTACACGACTGCTCCTCAGCTACTGGCTCCGCCGGATTTGCTCAGTCGAGAGCGGATGCGTCGGCGGCTGCGCGGTGTCTCTTCGGGGCTTTGTTTCCGATTTTCTCGAGGGACCCCAGACTCTTGAAATGCGCCAGTTCCTCTTTGACGATCGGCACATCAACATATCCGTTGCCCAGCGGGCGGACACAGAAAGAAAAGCAGCACTAGTTCGCCTATACGAGAGTTCTATATATAACATATAGACACCACTGCGTATACGTTATATGTGCGTGGAATCGGGGCGGCTACGCGGCGTATACTCAATAAATTTCCTGCGTATGGAAATCAATCAACTTCGTGAGAATTCCCGCGGGTCGATCGGGCACCTGCACCTGGTAGTTGTGTCTGGTGGCTTGCCTGGCCAAAAATTAATAGAATCCGACTAAATATAGCCACATTAACAAATAGCTGCGCGTCGCTTGGACGTCTGTCGTGTCTGGTGTTCCGTCCGAAGAGCAAAAGGCATCTCGTCGGTGGCTGCGTTGCGTCGAAACGTTTAAGTTTAATGCCCAAAAAGCCTTAAAAATACATTTTCGAAAGAATTCGAAAATTACATAATGCGCCTCTGCGCTTATCGGTCAGATGTTTGGCAATATCCGCAAGAGAGCAGGCAAATAAATAAACACAGAAAACTGAGCTTCCTCCGAACACAACAGAAGAAACTGTTTTAGAATTCTTGATCACAAAATAAATGAAAACGACATGAAAACGACAAAGAAACAACAAGTTATTAGCGGTATTCAGCGTAAGACACGCAGCAGCCAAAAATAAATTGGCAAAGACAAGCAAAACGTAAAGATTTCTCCTAGACTGCCTTGCTAGCGTTTGAATTATTGCAGTCCTCGGTGCCCGATACGAAGTACAATAAATACCGTGTCTATAGAATCATTTTTGAAAATAATCTAGCAGTTTATGTGTTTCCGACAATCCTTAGTCAGGTGCCGCGTTTGAGTTTATTGAACTATATATGCCCGTTACTCTGCACGTCCAATCCGAAGGACCAATCGATACAATATAGGATAGCATTTAAGTAGTTTGTTCAGAAGATCGCAGCTGCGAGCCGCCATGGGCAACGGATGTTCCAAATGCTGCCAGTGCAATGAGCACAAACAGATAAACGGTGCCCTCTCCTCGGCCTCTTCGGTGTACAGGAAAAGGTGATTCATCTTCAGAGTGCTCTCTAATATGAATGCTAAATGAAAACCATGAGTTTCTTTTACAAGTCACACTTTCCTTGAGGGGTCGACCTAAAATTATTTCATTCCAGGAGCCGCAATGAGATTCCCATCGAGAACTCGGACCGCTTTCGCATTACGGCCACCAGCAACGCCGTCCAACTGGCCGTGGAGCATGTACAGCGGGAGGACGCCGGTCACTATACGCTGTTCGCCAGGACGAAAAGACAGGACGTGGTGCGCCGGCATGTGGAGCTCATCGTGGAAGACAGATCGGCGGGCGAAGACCCACCTGTGTTTCTCCGCCGCCTCGCCGACCTCTCCGTAAAGGTTGGCACCCGCACCCGCCTACTCGCCGAAATCCGGAGCTCAACCGATTTGAAGGTAATGAAGCGCTTCGTCAAATGAAAATGAAATGTTCTATAGGGATCTGTTCTGTAGCTCACCTGGTACCGAAACGATCGGCGGGTGTGCGCCAACGACCGCATCTCAGAGATCAGCGAGGGCACCTTCCACTACTTGGAGGTAAGTCCGGTGACTCTGGAAGATGGCGGCCAGTGGATGCTGATGGCCGAGAACTTAGGAGGCCGCAACTCCTGCCTGGCCACACTCAATGTGCTGGTGCCGAAGGCCTACAAGACACCTGAGTTTGTGGAGGAGCTGCGGGCGGTTCTCACCGAGCAGGGCACCGTCTCCTTGGAGTGCAAGGTGGTGGGAGTACCGACGCCGCATCTGAGATGGTTCAAGGACTCGCGCGAGATCAAGGCGGGCGACATGTTCGCGTTGACGGCAAATGCGGATGATCCCACCAGCCTGGGAACCTACACCTGTGAGGCGCGCAACTGCATGGGCGTCACCTACTCCAGCTCCAAGGTGCATGTGGTGGGCAGAGGCAGTCGCGAAGGCTCCCTCAAACCGGCGGACAGGTGAGTCTTTCCGGGGGAACAAGGGAATACATATGATGATGCGCATTTCTGCGTTTCCACAGCGTGGCTAATAATGCCCCACCTCCGATCTTTACGAACGAACTGCGGGACATGAGCGTCGGCATCGGTGACACTATTATACTGGGCTGTCAAGGTGAGCACCTACGTGAAGAGCACGGCGCGGTCACAGAAGAGAGTCGTCTCCTCCTGGAAGCTTGCCAAAGTATTTTTGTTTATCTTCTCTCGCGGGCACTCTTGTGGGCGAATTCTCGCCGGCGCTTGTTGTTTTTAGAATGTGCTCTAGAAACTTGAACTCGATCGGCCGAGGGGAATGAAATACCTCGGATGCCGATGTTGAGGTGGGTCATCAACACGGCGGAAGGCGATCAAAACAAAACCGTTAATAGCCGGCCCGCCGCAAGAGAAGACAACGCAGAGAAGACGGCTCCCTCTTCCGTGATGTTTGCGAAAATTGCTTACCAAGTCGGCCCATCTCTCTAGAACTCTCTCCCTCTCTGTGTTTCTTCCGCAGTGGTGGTGCCTCCCTGGCCCAAGAGCGTGTGCTGGTACAATACGAGCGGACGCGTGGAGACCGCCGAGCGGTACAAGCTGATAGAAGACGGCCTGGGCGTCTACATGATCGAGATCAAGCCCTCGGAGTCCTGCGACGCTGGCGACTGGAAGTGCGTGGTGACCAGCTTCGACGGCAGCACTGGGATTACTACGTGTTCCGTCAAAATGGACAGTGAGTGATATGGATCTGGAACAGAGGATATCGATCAATATCTGTTTCATAGAGAAGGTCTAAATGGCCTCTTTTGAACTCTATGACGCTTGTTCAGATCGATGATACTTTATCCAACTATTTCCAAGTTTTTCCAAACCTTATAACCATTTTTTTTTGACAGTTCCCCGGAACTATCGCAAGCCGCGATTCATGGAGAGCCTGCGAGCTGTACTGACCGAGGAGGGACTGGTGTCCTTCGAGTGCAAGGTTGTGGGCTTCCCCACTCCCGCCCTCAAATGGTTTAAGGATGGCCACGAACTGAAGCCCGGGGACGTCTACCAGCTGACAGGAACAAACTCCTTGGGCACTTACTGCTGTATTGCCAGCAACTGCATGGGGGAGACCAGTAGCACTGCCGTTTTAACTGTGGAGGACATCCAGAACCAGCTTACGGACGAGGAGCGCCTGGGCTTCACTCAGCAAAACCAGGCACCCAAATTCCTAACAGGACTGAAGAGCACCGACGCCAAAATCAACGAGCCCTTCCAATTCAAGGTGGTGGTAAGGGCGACCCCAGATCCCATACTTTCCTGGTTCCGCGACGAACTGCCGATCGATCCAAATGAACGATACAACCACTATCGCGGACAGAGCGATGACTGGGTCCTGGACATCAAGTCCGTTGAGTTCGTGGATCAGGCTGAGTGGAAGTGCGTGGCAGTCAATGACTTTGGCACCAGCATCACCTCCTGCTTCCTCAAGCTGCAGATCCCCCGGCACTATAAGAAGCCGCGCTTCCTGGAGTGCCTCCGTGCTGTTTTGACGGAGGAGGGAGCCGTGAACTTGGAGTGCAAGGTCATCGGAGTGCCTCAGCCGGCGCTAAAGTGGTACAAGGATGGCGTGGAACTCAAGCCAGGCGATATTCATCGCATTATATCTGGACAGGACGGAACCTGCTGCTTGGGAACCTACACCTGTGAAGCCCGCAACTGCATGGGCGTGGTGGCTAGCTCCGCCTCGCTTTTAGGCTTCGAGGATGCCCAGAAGAGCCAGCAGCAACAGATCAGCGAACAGCGGGAGAATGAGCTGCAGAGGAACCTTTCATTGTCCACCATCCAGGAGGAGCGGACCTCACAGCTGTACGAGACGCCCATGGGGGACATTACTATAGACGACAAAGGCGATGTGTCCTTCTCGTTCGACGGCAAGGAAGTGTCCGTCTCTCTCTACGAAACCCCAGATCTGACCGAGGAGGAGGCCCTCAAGATTGTGGAGATGTATGCGGATCAGATTTCCGAGCACGTAACCGAGCACAACATAGTCGAGTTGCCGCCACTGCGCTTCGTCAAGGAGACCTCGCAATCGGGAAAGCTCCTGATGGAGGCTGTCGTCATAGACATTTCGCCAGAGTACTTTAGCCACGAGGAGGATATGCGCACGGAGGCCGACATAGACGACGTGTCCATCAATGAGATAACTGTCCACGGTTCCTCCGGCATGGAGGGCCGGTTCGACAGCGAGATGGAACAATATGCGCAGGAGTCGTTTGACAAAATGACGGAGGAATTGTCGCTGTCGGCGCCCATTCGGAAGCGCAAGAAGTCGAAGCCCACGGAGACAGATGAGTTCTTCAGCTTGTCCAAGGCATCGGCCTTGGAGGGCGACGAGGAGGATGCCTCCGACTTGCAGACATTTGTCAGTGCGCAGATGTCCGCATCCCAGAAGGCTGAGGAGAAGGATACGGCGGTAGTCCCGCCGCAGAGGAAGAAGTTTAAGAAGCCAACGGACAGCGACTCCTCAAAGACCACTGAAGACGAGGCGCGATTGCAGGACATTTCAGGAGCAGTTGGAGATGGGCTAATGGTTTCCCCATCCTCGCACGCCAAAGTGGTGACCGATGAGAATGAAATCAATAAGAACCTAATGGCCCTTATTCCGCTGGCCAAGCTGCTCAAGGTAATCGAGAACCACCTCGCGGCAGTGGAGAACGAGGTGATGGAACAGTCCACCATGATGATGACCCCGTCTGCGGCTGATCAGAGCATTGCCATCATCCGCAACATTGTTGATCCCATCAAGCAAATCGAATCGAAGTTGAGGGTCTTTTCCGGGGAGACTCAGATAGACACATTGATCCAATCCATGGACGAGGACATCCGGCAGCTGCATCTGGGCCTGCAAGTCATAGAGAAGTGCGTGGAAATCGATGAGACGGGAGCCACGTTGATCCAACGAACCAGTGTATGCATTATCGACAGCGTGGCCGAGCAAATGAAGCGAGCCCTCGGAGAGTTGAAGGTCATGAGTCAGAAGTTCGAGTCGGAGTGCCTGAGGGCCCAGATCGAATTGACGGCCGATGACATCCAACAGGGCCTGGAGATTACGCAGGACACTATAAGGTCGCAGGCCTTGCTGCAAGAGGCCCAGGAGCTGGAGGCGGCTAAGCACTTCACGGAGACTGTGGAGAAGATGCAGGAAGTTCCCGACTCCGTATCTTTTGCCACCATTTCTGAAGCCAATTTACCCAGCGAGGCGAGTTCCTTAAAACTGATCTGCCAGCCAGTGGCCCGGATCCAGGAGGCTTTGGAGCGTGTCGAAATGGAACTTTCTCTCGAGGAGTCCGAGGAGCAGATTTACCGAAAGGTCCACCAGAAAGTCCTCGAGAGCATTGTTGAGCCCATTAAGAGCTTGCAGAGCACCTTGCAGTCCATCGAGGACAAGACGGAGTCCCTGGCCGGGACAGACTCTATGGAGCAAAAGGTCAATATGGCCATTCTGGACATTGTGACGCCACCGCTCTTTGAGCTTAAAAAGGGTCTAGAGGTTATCCTCAACGAGAAATCGGACAGCGTGGAAGGCGGCATGCTCACGGTGAGCACGGTCGAGTCGATGGTTCCCCCTCTGCAGGAGATTCAGAATGGACTGGCGCAGCTGGGTCAGGATCTGGAAAGCGGCCAGGCTGCCGAGCCAGTGGAGGCTGAACTCCCACGTGAGCAGGCCATGGATGTGGCAGATACCCAAAAGCTCCTGCAGTCTTTTGCTCAGGCAGTATTGCATTTCGAAACGAACATAGAGGGGATCTCCCCCCGACTGTCCTCCAATGTGAAAATCCGGTTGACAAACCTGAAGGACGAACTCTCCGCCTTGATAAGCACCATATTGGAAAAGAATATAACTGGCAACCATGTGGAGCTCCTAACTAAGCTGAAGCGCCCCGTGGACGAGCTCAACTATTGCATTCGGCAAACTGAGGTAAAGTCCATGACTGGATCTCTGGCGGATCTAATTGAGCCGCTCAGCACGTTGCAGGACAGCACCAAAAAAGGACATGGTCACTTTTTGGCGGTGAGGGAGCCCGACCAACAGACTCTGCAAACTTTGGAAAACATAAGCGGCATTATTCGTAATGCGGTCATTGATATTGAGGAGCATGAGTTCCGGATTCTGCAGCAGGAGATTCAGCAGGATGAGGCGCAGGCTTCTCAGCAGCAGGACAAGTCCTTCAGTGCCCTGCGCAAGGTACTGGAAACGAAAGTCTCCCTTGAGGAGGCAGTAGCCAACATTGAAACGCTCCAGGAGGCTTTGAACAAAATTTGCGACAATCCCAGAGCTCCTGAGCCCATCAAGGCTTCGGCCAAGGAAGCTCAGGTGCCTCTCTTGCGGATTCTACAAACAGCCCAGGGACTGGCCAAGTTCAGTGAAGCGGAGACCACCTTTGATGTCAACGAGGCTAACACAACCAGGATACTCTTCGAATGCGGAAAAAGCTTTTCCGATCTGGCCAAGGCTCTGGGGACCCCGGAGTCTCCGTCCGGAGATGAATTCCATAGTGCTCTAGGACAGTTTACTGACATTGTTGATCAGCAAATGCAGTCTATGGATGAGAAGCTGGCCATAGCTAGTCCATTGGCAGGCCTGATTCGCGTCCTCGAAAGTCTGCAACCCCCACGGGGATCCCTTGAGGACGTGTCCACCTTAGATGATGTATCGGTATTTAAGTCTGTAGCCGAATCTCTACCAACAGACTCTGTTTCGGAGAAAGCCGAGCTCATTTCGGAGAAACCATCACGACTTGAAGTCCTCTTGACCGATCTAAATCAAGGCATCTCCGCTGTTTTTTCTCACTGCGAGGAAGGAGACGTCGCCTCTCTATCCGAAAAATCCTCAATCCAAGTCCAGGAGGCGATGGTCAAGATGCAAGAATTGCAGAAGAGCATTGGGGTTCTGCAGGAAACGAACATCATGGACGCGGTGCACTCAATTTCCGATGCCAGCCACCAAGGCACCTTCGCAGAGGCGCTCTGTAGTCTAGAAAGATGCGTCCTGGAAGTGGAGGAGTGCTTGGCCCACAGTGGTCCGGTGGAAAGCCTTAGTGACTTGGAGCTGTCAAAGCTCAAGGTGCTGGCTAATCCCCTGCACGACGTGAGACTCTGCTGTGAGCAAATGGAAGTACATCTTATGGAACATGCCCCAGATCTATCCACCCAGGACGACATATCCGACCTCAAGAGCAGCGGGCAGGCACAGACAGTTTCGGAGCACATTCAGGTAGCTGTGATTGCAGAGGAGCCTATAGTAGAGGTGTTTGACATTCAGCAAGGAGTGGCCAGCGGCATTAAACAACTGGAGGCCTGCCTGGAGGTCACCCAGACGGACGGAAACGAGGAGCTCCAGCAGGTGGGGCACATTATGGAGCAGCTAAAGACGGATTTGCAGAGTATTCAGAGTGTCCTGGTGGCCGAAAGCGATCAGCACGAGACCGTATTGGCCCAAGCCAAGATAGCCCGTACCATGTTCCGTCTGAAGGAGTGTCTGGTGCACACCTATGAGTCCGGGTTGGTGGACTCGCTTGAGACCGTGGAGAGTGCCTTTGAAGACATACTGCTTTCCCTGCCCATATTGGAGAGTCAGTTGGCCGAGGAAATGTTCTGCAAGATCGAACTGGCTTTCCGGAACTTTGTAGTCCGTTGCGAGGACCAGCAGGACGAAAATCTGGCAGCTCTAAAACCATCCATTGAAAACCTGGCCCAGTCGATTGCGGCTGTGGCCTCGCATCCCACCGTCGACGTGGAGAAGTCTTCAGGCGTGGTGGTGCAGCTCCAAACCAGCCTCATGTCTGCCTTCAGAAGCCTCAATGACGTCAGCGAGCGGCTCAGCAACGAAGAATCGGCAGCTCTCCTAAAAACCCAAAGTGGCCTGGTGGCCGTGTTCGATTTTATTGAGGGAAGTGAGAACTCCATACGGGTCATTGAACTGCTGCAGGAAATCGATTCCGTGGCCACTGAGCTGAAGGCACTGTCCCAAATTCCAACAGAGCCGTCGGTCCCGATCGACATAACTTCGATTATTGAAAACGTCTCCTCTGGCAAGGCGTTCCTTACGGAATTAGAGGAGGGGCTCAAGGCCAACAGTGCCCGGTGCATTCTGCTGCTTGACGAAAACACAGAAGATGTCGCCCAGTTGGAGGCAACACTACTTCAAATCGAGGAGGAGATCTTGAGTCAGCCTCAGCTGACACGGATCAACGCCAAGCAAGTGGCCCTTATAGAGGCTCTGCAGGGTCAGCTGGACAACCTCAAAGAAAAACTGAACAGACTGGGTGTTTTCTTGGCCGAAATCCAAACACAACCCACTGTTTCGTCTTCAGAGTCTGTGTTGGAAACTGATTTGGAAACGGGAGAAGAGGGAAGCCCAGAAGACACCGAGCCTGAAGCAAAGAAAGCTAAGTTATTGGAACATGAAGAACCAAAGAAGCAGCAAGTGGATTCTCAGAAGATATCTACAGAGGGTGAGGAAATCCATCCTGAAAAGAACCTGGAAGCAGAAACCCTATCACAAGGAACTGACGCTACCACGCCTACTATAAAAGAGGGAGTGACTCCCGTCCTTGACGAAAAAGCAGCCCTTCAAGCGATTCATGAAAAGTTAAAAACGAAGCTTGTGGGTTTGGATAGTGATGGCAGTGTCTCCATTACAACTGAATGTCAGAACATTCTCGACAATATCGACGACAATGTAAAGGTAGCCAAGTCTATATTCAAACTTCGAGAACACATAGTACATACTTACGATGGAAGTACTCAGCAGGAGGAGGAGAGTAGACTCGTCGAAGAATTTATCGAATCACTTCTAGAAGCCTGCCCAGAAGCTGCGGAGCAAGTGATGAAAAATTATCTGAAAGAAATCAAAACCAATGTCATCTTAACGAAAGCAGCCCTTCAATTAATCGACGAGAGCCAAGTGCTTATTAAGCCATCATTATTGATCTCTAAACTGGAAAATTTAGAAAGCATTTCCCAAAAAATTCAAACACAGCCACATGTGGACAAGTCATCAGAAAAAATGATCAGCCTGCAACAAAGCCTAATGGACATTTTCATCATTTTAGACGACATCCTAAACGAGAAATCGGGAATAACAAACCAAAGCATTGAAGAACTGAAATCTTTATTGCTGAGCGAATATGATTATATTGAAAAGAAGCAGGATCAGCTTCACACATCCATTGTCAATGGAAAGATTCAAGAAATCACACTTCACATTTTAAATATTTGTGAGGATCTAAAAGAATTGGTTCAAAAACAAATCGAAACGAAGGGCGATGAAAAGAATCTTGAAACACCTCCATCACAATCCGAGGACGTCGTTGACCACAAAAAAAGCGATGAATCGGAAGCTGAATCGATTCAAGCAAAAGCTTTGGAGAAACAATCTCTGGAAGAGCAGCCGTTGGATGAAAAGACCCAAAAACAAGGAGAACTGGAGGCTGACAAGAAATCCGAGAAGGCCGAAGTATCTGAAGTCCTCGCTGAGAAAATATCTGAGGAAAAGGTGGATGAATCAAAGAAATTGGAAGTCAAGGAATCGGAAACTAAGCCCGATCAAGCAAAGGCTTTGGAGAAAAAATCTCTGGAAGAACAGCAGTTGGAAGCAAAGACCCAAAAACAAGGAGAAGTGGAGTCTGACAAGAAATCCGAGAAGGCCGAAGTATCTGAAGTCCTCGCTGAGAAAATATTTGAGGAAAAGGTGGATGAATCTAAGAAATTGGAAGTCAAGGAATCGGAAGCTAAGCCCGATCAAGCAAAGGCTTTGGAGAAAAAATCTCTGGAAGAACAGCAGTTGGAAGCAAAGACCCAAAAACAAGGAGAACTGGAGTCTGACAAGAAATCCGAGAAGGCTGAAGTATCTGAAGTCCTCGCAGAGAAAATAGCTGAGGAAAAGGTGGATGAATCTAAGAAACCAGAAGCCAAGGAATCGGAAGCTAAGCCAGATCAAGCAAAGGCTTTGGAGAAACAATCTCTAGAAGAACAGCAGTTGGATGCAAAGACCCAAAAACAAGGAGAACTGGAGTCTGACAAGAAATCCGAGAAGGCCGAAGTATCTGAAGTCCTCGCTGAGAAAATATTTGAGGAAAAGGTGGATGAATCTAAGAAATTGGAAGTCAAGGAATCGGAAGCTAAGCCCGATCAAGCAAAGGCTTTGGAGAAAAAATCTCTGGAAGAACAGCAGTTGGAAGCAAAGACCCAAAAACAAGGAGAACTGGAGTCTGACAAGAAATCCGAGAAGGCCGAAGTATCTGAAGTCCTCGCTGAGAAAATATCTGAGGACAAGGTGGATGAATCTAAGAAATTGGAAGTCAAGGAATCGGAAGCTAAGCCCGATCAAGCAAAGGCTTTGGAGAAACAGTCTCTGGAAGAACAGCAGTTGGATGCAAAGACCCAAAAACAAGGAGAACTGGAGTCTGACAAGAAATCCGAGAAGGCCGAAGTATCTGAAGTCCTCGCTGAGAAAATATCTGAGGAAAAGGTGGATGAATCTAAGAAATTGGAAGTCAAGGAATCGGAAGCTAAACCAGATCAAGCAAAGGCTTTGGAGAAACAATCTCTAGAAGAACAGCAGTTGGAAGCAAAGACCCAAAAACAAGGAGAACTGGAGTCTGACAAGAAATCCGAGAAGGCCGAAGTATCAGAAGTCCTCGCTGAGAAAATATCTGAGGAAAAGGTGGATGAATCTAAGAAATTGGAAGTCAAGGAATCGGAAGCTAAACCCGATCAAGCAAAGGCTTTGGAGAAACAATCTCTGGAAGAACAGCAGTTGGAAGCAAAGACCCAAAAACAAGGAGAACTGGAGTCTGACAAGAAATCCGAGAAGGCCGAAGTATCTGAAGTCCTCGCTGAGAAAATATCTGAGGAAAAGGTGGATGAATCTAAGAAATTGGAAGTCAAGGAATCGGAAGCTAAACCCGATCAAGCAAAGGCTTTGGAGAAACAATCTCTGGAAGAACAGCAGTTGGAAGCAAAGACCCAAAAACAAGGAGAACTGGAGTCTGACAAGAAATCCGAGAAGGCTGAAGTATCTGAAGTCCTCGCAGAGAAAATAGCTGAGGAAAAGGTGGATGAATCTAAGAAACCAGAAGCCAAGGAATCGGAAGCTAAGCCAGATCAAGCAAAGGCTTTGGAGAAACAATCTCTAGAAGAACAGCAGTTGGAAGCAAAGACCCAAAAACAAGGAGAACTGGAGTCTGACAAGAAATCCGAGAAGGCCGAAGTATCTGAAGTCCTCGCTGAGAAAATATCTGAGGAAAAGGTGGATGAATCTAAGAAATTGGAAGTCAAGGAATCGGAAGCTAAGCCCGATCAAGCAAAGGCTTTGGAGAAACAATCTCTGGAAGAACAGCAGTTGGATGCAAAGACCCAAAAACAAGGAAAATTGGAGTCTGACAAGAAATCCGAGAAGGCCGAAGTATCTGAAGTCCTCGCTGAGAAAATATCTGAGGAAAAGGTGGATGAATCTAAGAAATTGGAAGTCAAGGAATCGGAAGCTAAGCCCGATCAAGCAAAGGCTTTGGAGAAACAATCTCTAGAAGAACAGCAGTTGGAAGCAAAGACCCAAAAACAAGGAAAATTGGAGTCTGACAAGAAATCCGAGAAGGCCGAAGTATCTGAAGTCCTCGCTGAGAAAATATCTGAGGAAAAGGTGGATGAATCTAAGAAATTGGAAGTCAAGGAATCGGAAGCTAAGCCCGATCAAGCAAAGGCTTTGGAGAAACAATCTCTAGAAGAACAGCAGTTGGATGCAAAGACCCAAAAACAAGGAAAATTGGAGTCTGACAAGAAATCCGAGAAGGCCGAAGTATCTGAAGTCCTCGCTGAGAAAATATCTGAGGAAAAGGTGGATGAATCTAAGAAATTGGAAGTCAAGGAATCGGAAGCTAAGCCCGATCAAGCAAAGGCTTTGGAGAAACAATCTCTAGAAGAACAGCAGTTGGAAGCAAAGACCCAAAAACAAGGAGAACTGGAGTCTGACAAGAAATCCGAGAAGGCCGAAGTATCTGAAGTCCTCGCTGAGAAAATATCTGAGGAAAAGGTGGATGAATCTAAGAAATTGGAAGTCAAGGAATCGGAAGCTAAACCAGATCAAGCAAAGGCTTTGGAGAAACAATCTCTGAAAGAACAGCAGTTGGAAGCAAAGACCCAAAAACAAGGAGAACTGGAGTCTGACAAGAAATCCGAGAAGGCCGAAGTATCTGAAGTCCTCGCTGAGAAAATATCTGAGAAAAAGGTGGATGAATCTAAGAAATTGGAAGTCAAGGAATCGGAAGCTAAGCCCGATAAAGCAAAGGCTTTGGAGAAACAATCTCTAGAAGAACAGCAGTTGGATGCAAAGACCCAAAAACAAGGAGAACTGGATTCTGACAAGAAATCCGAGAAGGCCGAAGTATCTGAAGTCCTCGCTGAGAAAATATCTGAGAAAAAGGTGGATGAATCTAAGAAATTGGAAGTCAAGGAATCGGAAGCTAAACCAGATCAAGCAAAGGCTTTGGAGAAACAATCTCTGGAAGAACAGCAGTTGGATGCAAAGACCCAAAAACAAGGAGAACTGGATTCTGACAAGAAATCCGAGAAGGCCGAAGTATCTGAAGTCCTCGCTGAGAAAATATCTGAGGAAAAGGTGGATGAATCTAAGAAATTGGAAGTCAAGGAATCGGAAGCTAAACCCGATCAAGCAAAGGCTTTGGAGAAACAATCTCTAGAAGAACAGCAGTTGGAAGCAAAGACCCAAAAACAAGGAGAACTGGAGTCTGACAAGAAATCCGAGAAGGCCGAAGTATCTGAAGTCCTCGCTGAGAAAATATCTGAGGAAAAGGTGGATGAATCTAAGAAATTGGAAGTCAAGGAATCGGAAGCTAAACCCGATCAAGCAAAGGCTTTGGAGAAACAATCTCTGGAAGAACAGCAGTTGGAAGCAAAGACCCAAAAACAAGGAGAACTGGAGGCTGACAAGAAATCAAAGAAGGCGGAGGTGTCTGATGTTCTTCCAAGGAAAATATCTCAGGAAGAAGCTGAAGAACAGAAGCAAAAAGAAGACAAGGAACATGCCCTTGAAAGCTTGAATGAAATATTTGAGACTTGGATTCAATGGTTAAAAGTCCATGCCACTAAGAGCTATTCAGAATCCATAGTTGCGGAAAGGAATTTCATTATGGATAATTTTAATGATGTCCATGAAATTTCCAAATCTATTTCCAGTCTGAATAATAAATTAATTGATGGGGCTTTAGCGGGAGAGCATGGAGAGGCGGGCTTCATTAACGCCATTATTGAATCCCTGTTCGAATTCTGTCCAGGAGTTGCAGATCAAGTTATGCCCAACTGCGTTCGAGAAATCAAAAGCAATTGTATTTTAATTAAAGCTGCTATCCAACTCATTGACGACTGTAACATGTTTACAAAACCTTCGTTGTTGGTCCCGAAAATAGTTAATTTGGAGAGAATTGCAGAAAAGAACCAAGCTATCGCTCAGGTGGATAAGTCTTCCGGAAAAATGATAAGCTTACAACAGACTTTAATGGACTTTTTCGTTATATTTGACGATATATTGGATGATAATACTGAGATATTAAGGCCTCAAATAGAAGATCTAAAAACTGCATTGCTAAACGACTATGACTATATTGAGAATAAACAGGGAAACATAAATACCGCATTCGTAAACGGAAAAATTCAGATAGTCACTTCAAAAATCTTGAATGTCGTTGAAAACTTGAAAACATTGATTGAGGACCTGCAATTAGATGCGAAACAGGCTGATGTATCTGAAGTCCCTCCAGAGAAAATATCCGAGAAAAAGACGAAAGAATCCAAACAGCCGGAAGTCAAGGATTCGGACGCTAAACCCGATCAAGCTAAGTCTTTGGAGAAACAGGCGTTGGAAGAGCAGAAGCTGGATGCGAAGACCGACAAACAAGTCAAAACTAAATCCGACAAGAAGTCAGAGAAGGCTGAAGTATCTGAGGTCCTTCCAGAGAAAATTTCCGAGAAAACGGCAGAAGAATCAAAGCAGCCAGAAGTCAAGGATTCAGAAGCTAAACCAGATCAAGCCGAGTCTTTGGAGAAACAGGCTTTGGAAGAACAGAAGCTGGATGCGAAGACCGACAAACAAGTCAAAACTAAATCCGACAAGAAGTCAGAGAAGGCTGAAGTATCTGAGGTCCTTCCAGAGAAAATTTCCGAGAAAACGGCAGAAGAATCAAAGCAGCCAGAAGTCAAGGATTCGGACGCTAAACCCGATCAAGCTAAGTCTTTGGAGAAACAGGCTTTGGAAGAGCAGAAGCTGGATGCGAAGACCGACAAACAAGTCAAAACTAAATCTGACAAGAAGTCAGAGAAGGCTGAAGTATCTGAGGTCCTTCCAGAGAAAATATCCGAGAAAACGGCAGAAGAATCAAAGCAGCCAGAAGTCAAGGATTCAGAAGCTAAACCAGATCAAGCAAAGGCTTTGGAGAAACAGGCTTTGGAAGAGCAGAAGCTGGATGCGAAGACCGACAAACAAGTCAAAACTAAATCTGACAAGAAGTCAGAGAAGGCTGAAGTATCTGAGGTCCTTCCAGAGAAAATATCCGAGAAAACGGCAGAAGAATCAAAGCAGCCAGAAGTCAAGGATTCAGAAGCTAAACCAGATCAAGCCGAGTCTTTGGAGAAACAGGCTTTGGAAGAACAGAAGCTGGATGCGAAGACCGACAAACAAGTCAAAACTAAATCCGACAAGAAGTCAGAGAAGGCTGAAGTATCTGAGGTCCTTCCAGAGAAAATTTCCGAGAAAACGGCAGAAGAATCAAAGCAGCCAGAAGTCAAGGATTCGGACGCTAAACCCGATCAAGCTAAGTCTTTGGAGAAACAGGCTTTGGAAGAGCAGAAGCTGGATGCGAAGACCGACAAACAAGTCAAAACTAAATCTGACAAGAAGTCAGAGAAGGCTGAAGTATCTGAGGTCCTTCCAGAGAAAATATCCGAGAAAACGGCAGAAGAATCAAAGCAGCCAGAAGTCAAGGATTCAGAAGCTAAACCAGATCAAGCAAAGGCTTTGGAGAAACAGGCTTTGGAAGAGCAGAAACTTGATGCGAAGACCGACAAACAAGTCAAAACTAAATCTGATAAGAAGTCAGAGAGGGCTGAAGTATCTGAGGTCCTTCCAGAGAAAATATCCGAGAAAACGGCAGAAGAATCAAAGCAGCCAGAAGTCAAGGATTCGGACGCTAAACCCGATCAAGCTAAGTCTTTGGAGAAACAGGCTTTGGAAGAGCAGAAGCTGGATGCGAAGACCGACAAACAAGTCAAAACTAAATCTGACAAGAAGTCAGAGAAGGCTGAAGTATCTGAGGTCCTTCCAGAGAAAATATCCGAGAAAACGGCAGAAGAATCAAAGCAGCCAGAAGTCAAGGATTCAGAAGCTAAACCAGATCAAGCAAAGGCTTTGGAGAAACAGGCTTTGGAAGAGCAGAAACTTGATGCGAAGACCGACAAACAAGTCAAAACTAAATCCGACAAGAAGTCAGAGAAGGCTGAAGTATCTGAGGTCCTTCCAGAGAAAATATCCGAGAAAAAAGCGGAAAAATCAAAGCAGCCAGAAGTCAAGGATTCAGAAGGTAAACCAGATCAAGCTAAGGCTTTGGAGAAACAGGCGTTGGAAGAGCAGAAGCTTGATGCGAAGACCGACAAACAAGTCAAAAATAAATCCGACAAGAAGTCAGAGAAGGCTGAAGTATCTAAGGTCCTTCCAGAGAAAATATCCGAGAGAACGCCAGAAGAATCAAAGCAGCAAGAAGTCAAGGATTCGGAAGCTAAACGGGATCAAGCTAAGGCTTTGGAGAAACAGGCGTTGGAAGAGCAGAAGCTGGATGCGAAGACCGACAAACAAGTCAAAACTAAATCCGACAAGAAGTCAGAGAAGGCTGAAGTATCTGAGGTCCTTCCAGAGAAAATATCCGAGAAAACGGCAGAAGAATCAAAGCAGCCAGAAGTCAAGGATTCGGAAGCTAAACGGGATCAAGCTAAGGCTTTGGAGAAACAGGCGTTGGAAGAGCAGAAGCTGGATGCGAAGACCGACAAACAAGTCAAAACTAAATCCGACAAAAAGTCAGAGAAGGCTGAAGTATCTGAGGTCCTTCCAGAGAAAGTATCCGAGAAAACGGCAGAAGAATCAAAGCAGCCAGAAGTCAAGGATTCGGAAGCTAAACGGGATCAAGCTAAGTCTTTGGAGAAACAGGCTTTGGAAGAGCAGAAGCTTGATGCGAAGACCGCCAAACAAGTCAAAACTAAATCCGATAAGAAGTCAGAGAAGGCTGAAGTATCTGATGTCCTTCCAGAGAAAATATCCGGTAAAACGGCAGAAGAACCAAAGCAGCCTGAAGTCAAGGATTCGGACGCTAAACCAGATCAAGCAAAGGCTTTGGAAAAACAGGCTTTGGAAGAACAGAAGCTGGATGCGAAGACCGAGAAACAAGTCAAAACTAAATCTGATAAGAAGTCAGAGAAAGCTAAAGCGGAAAAAGTATTTGAAGAAAATGCAGAAAAATCTATGCAGCCAGTCGAGAAAAAAACGGAAGAAAGCCTTATTAAGAAATCAGATGCTCCCTTGGCGGAAGAAAATGAACTGAAACAGCAATCGGTGAAAGAAAATATTTCACAAATATCTTCTGAAATAGTTGCCAAGAAAGTCTCTGAAGAAAGGCACCGAGGAGCAACAGGAGCAAATCACGACGAAGACACCATCGAGCCTTTACCCAGAAAACTGGCTGATCGGCGCCTTGAAGACCTTGCCGACTCCGAAAGCCTTCAGACGTTCAGGTCAATGGACTCCGAGTATAAGGACCAGAAGGAGTCAAGGAGTGCCAAACGCCAGCCCACGGTGGACATCCAACTCACCAACCGGAATACGGCGTCGGGAAGCGACCTGAAGCTGACCTGCGGCCTGTCGGGCCACGATATGAACGTGATGTGGTTTAAGCAGGACAGCCTCATCGAGAACGGGGCCAAGTACAGAAAAACATTGGACAACGGCCTTGCGCGCCTTGAAATCAAGTCGGCCGAAGTAGGCGACTCTGGCATTTATCGCTGCATAGCGTCCAATCAGAATGGAGAAGTCGAAACTAGCTGTCTTGTGACTATATACGAAGCACCTTCGAGCCAATTTGGCACTCCGCCAATATTTACACGCAACATTCGAGGTAAGTGCCGATTCTCATGGGAATGCTTTGCCACCTAATGCCCTAAATCCCGTGCCCGAATTTCGGCCTTAGTTTCGTTATAAATCTTGCATTTCCCCGTTCTGTAGTCTAAGTGTAGTTATAAGTCCACATATTTAGTGTGTAGCTCAGCATACTTACATTTTTGGCTGGAAGGTCGGCACCTGCCTCAACCTCCATAACCTTTACATATTTCCCTATTTTAGTTTCTTAGCTATAAGGTATTCAAACTTATGATCGGTCGTGCGTATCCCCCTCGGTTCGAATGTGCCATCGATTGGATGCGCGAGTTGAAGGTAAATAAGGCGGCGGACTTTATCATGGGGCAGAAATAGCCGCTTTAAATAGCCCAATTAAACATCAAATGGCAGCCGTGCGATCCTTTATGTAATGGCATTTACCTAAACCTACTGCCTGAATTCATTAAGAGTGGTCGGGCACTGAAATAGAATGCATTTTGGCAGTGGATTTACTTGGGGGAGTGCGAAGAACGAGGCGGCAAACAAAACAGAGATCGTTAAATGGTTTTTTGCAGTGGGAATTGATTCCAAATCGATTGAATGTGATTCGATTCGAGGAGGAATGTATTTTCGAATTTTTCACCACCTTCGGGGACAGTCGTGAATCTTCTTTTGAATCGAACGGACGTCTCACGTCCCAAAAACTCGATCGAACCGTTGCGGGCTGTATATGCATATATTGATTTAGACAGTCATACGTGTATCGACTCGGACGGATATATAATTTTTATCGGTTTTCATTTACGAATTTCATTCCCGCAACCAACGTTACGAAAAAGCTGACTCCGCGATGGGGGAAAATGAAGGCGATCTCGAGCCCAGGGCTTCCGCGGAGCCGGACGCCGCTCCGGCCCAGGATACCCTCCAAGTGCCAACGCAAAAGAAACGGAAACTCAAGTCGCCAACTCCGGGCAGCCTGCGCGGACGCAGTGCGACGCCCATCCATGGCCGGAGCCAGACACCCTTCACCCTTTACATGACCCGACGCAGTGCCACGCCCTCCACCTGGCGCAGCATCACCCCGTTCCTGAAGCGAGAGGAGAAGGAGAAAACTCCATTCGAGCTGGGCAGGGACATCAAGAGCCAGACGACCTGCAACATCGCCGTCTTCGATCGCGCCCTCATCATGGACATCTCGGAGCCGGCGGATCTGCAGAAGCCCGTGCGTTACATAACCTCGGATCTCTCGGTTATCGATCGCGCTGCTGTAATGGATGTCTCGAATGTTGAGGTTATATACGTAGTGGAGGAGTACGAGGAGGTCGAGGAGGAGGAGATCATCGAGGAAGTGAAGCCCAAAAAGAAGGAGAAGAAGGCCCGAAAGCCACGTGTTCAGCGCAAGTCCATCGACAAGGACATGAGTCCTTCCGGGGCAGAGGACAACGAAGACGGTGGCGACTATGGGGCAGAAGATAGGGAGGACAGCATCGACCTTGACGACTCCGACGAGCCCGTCAAGAAGGGCAAGAAGAAGGCTCCGCCCAAGAAGAAGGAGAAGAAGGAAAAGTCGCCGAGCCCCAAGCTGACCTTGAAATTGGAGATCGGCGGCGGCCAAAAGGCCAGCAAGAAGATGTTTGAGCAGCAGCAGGCACAGCAGGCAGGTCCGAAACCCCCTCCCAAAAAGAGCAAGATGGTGCTCCAGATGGAGGAGCAGGCTCGGGCCGCGGCCAAGGCTGCTGAGGAGGAGGCTGCCCGTGCCAAGCCGAAAGGCGAGACCTTCGAGGAACGCCAGAAGCGGCTGGCTGCAGAGAAGGAGGAGCAGGATCGCATCGAGGCCGAGCAGCGTGCTCTGGAAGAAGCGGAGGCCGAGGAGGACGAAGAGGATCCCTCGGCCATGGGCGAAGAGGGCGAGGAAGGCACTGAGGCGGGCTACGGAGACGAGGACCAGGAACAATACCAGGAGGATGGTGGGGAGGAGGAACGCCTCGACGAGGCTGAGGAGGAGGAGGACCAGGTGACGGACCTCAAGAAGAAGGACGAAAAACGAAGGGGCAGTGATTCCTCCGACGACTTCGTGCGTCCGGATCCCTACGAGGAGGAGCGCTGGCAGCGCATCGCCGCCGTCGAAGGCGAGGAGTTCATGCAGCAAATGCGCAAGTACAGCCAGGCCAAGAGGATCAGCGAGAAGGAACGCGACGCCGACTGGCAACGTCGTCGGGAGCAAGCCCGCAATCCGAAGTTTATCAACTTCTTATCCGACCGAGCTGCCGAGACCGGCCAAAGTGTCCGGCTGGCGTGTGCGGTGGACGGCCCGGAACTCTCCGCCAAGTGGTTCCACAACAAGAAACAGCTGGAGCGCGACGGCTGCCATCGCATCATGAACAACAACAACATCCTCGTGCTGGAGGTGCTGAACACCACCATCTTGGACTCAGGCGAATACTCCTGTGTAATTTCCAACCAAAACGACGAGGTCACCTCCTCGTGCATTGTCACCATCTACGAAGTCTTCAAGGACGAACCCAAGCCCCCTTCTATCCAATACATAAAAGGTATATCTCGTCGGAGAATTCTATGTGTCCAGTTTTCCGCCACGGATCTTATCGGTGACCTTGCCTTTTTCAGAGTACTACCACCTGCGGGACGATGAACTAACCATCGAGTGCCATGTTCACGGCGTGCCACGTCCGATAATCACATGGTGGCGCGGTGCCTTCCAAGTGACGCCCAGCTACAAGTTCACCATTCTGGAGGAGGCGCATGGAGTCTGCAAGCTGCTCATCTATAAGCCCGGCAATAAGGATAGTGGAATCTATACGTTGAAGGCCTTCAACTCCAGTGGAGAGGCGCAGATCAACCACACCATTGAGGTGGCCAAGAACCTCCACTACCACGTCCCGGGCATCTTCCGTGCTCGCGACAAGATCCAGCTAGACAGCTTGCGGCAGGCCAAGAAGGCCATTGAGGCAGCCATGAAGTCCAAGGCCGAGTCGGACCAGAAGAGGGCGGAGGCCGAGGCGGAACAACAGCGCCAACGTCCAGTTCGTGCCTCTCCGGAGCCCCTGGTCCCAGCCAAACAGAAGCTGACCTTTGCCACCCAGTTGCGGGATCGCATGGCCCTGGAGGGCTCCACCATCAAGTTTGTGGCCACTGTGATTGGACCTCAGCCCAACACGCGCTGGATGAAGGACGACAAGTGGGTGGTGGTCGGCGGTAACATCCGCAACCTGTCCGAGGAGGGTAAGGCTATTCTGGAGATCGCGAACGTGACGGCCGCCGATTCGGGAGTCTACAAGTGCGTGGCGAAGAACGATCTGAGCGAGATCGAGACGTCCTGCTACTTCAAGGTGTACAACGCCCAGGCGGATGGTGACGAGTCGGAGCCCATCTTCGCCCTGCCCCTGAGAGGTATTTCCGCATGTGCCCGTGCTCCGTGTCTGTGTTCCTGTGACCGTATCTATGTTTACAGCTCTGGCCGCTGTTACACGATCCCTTTGTCTGTTTGTGTCCAATTGAGGTCGTTTGGCGTCCAAAAATAGAATCTTCTGATTGTCTGGTCGTCTGATTGATTGACTGATTGACTTTCGTGTTCCTCAGATGTGTACCACGCCTCTCAGAACGATCTAATTCTCGACACGAAGGTGCGCGGCAACCCGCGCCCCGTCATCTCGTGGACCAAGGACCAGATACCCGTGGTTCTCGACGATCGGGTGGTGCAGATCGAGCACTTGGACGGCATCTGCGAGCTGATCATCAACAAGCCGACCGCCAATGACAACGGCATCTACGTCTGCTCCGCCCAGAACAAGCTGGGCAGTCAGACGACCACCCACACCGTCGTGGTCGACACCAGTCACACCTCGCGCCGTTCGAGCATTTTGTCCGCGATCGCCATGCAGGAAGGAGGGGAGGCTGCCGAAGGCAAGGCCAAGAGCAGGAAGAAGAAGAAGGACGACGATGAGGAAGGCGGCGGTGGTGAAGGTGGATACGAGCGGCGCAGCCGCATGCCAGATCCCTCGCCGAAGCAGATGCTCTACTTCACGGTCAACCTGTCCAACCGCTATGTTGCCGAGGGCTCGAAGGTGAAGCTGCAGGCCGTCATCGGAGGTCCGGACGCCACGATCAAGTGGCAGAAGGACGACCAGAATGTCCAGTACGGACCGCGCATCCGTAACATGAACCGCGACAGTCTGGCCGTGCTGGAATTTGTCAATGCCCAGGCGGAGGACTCGGGAACCTACTCGATCGTTGCCCAGAACGAGTTCTGCAAGATCACCACGTCGGCCCTGTTGCACGTCTACCAGCCGAAGGTGAACACGGACGTGCAGCCCGTCTTCATTCGTTCTCTCAAAGGTAGGGGATCTTCGATTCCGGCACGAGACCCTGTTCCCAGACACCTCTCGAGGCAATTGTATAATCCCATTAGTAGAACCCCTTACGCAACAAATGATTCATTCTTGTAAAGAGCATTTGTTTCGCAAAGGCTTCCGGTTTGGGATTGATGGATTTGCGGGTTCGATGGGACTGTTCCGGTATCAGAAAGGGTTACTGTTTTGGTTTTCTAACCAGTTTGTTTTCAGAAACTTATCATCTAAACACCAACGAGCTGATTCTGGAGACAGCGGTGCGCGGTCAACCCACTCCGGAGGTGCAGTGGTTCAAGGATAGCATTGAGATCCAAAGCGGTGGTCGTTACCAGCTGCTGGAGCATCAGGATGGCACTTGCGAGCTCATCATCGACCGCCCGGACAACAAGGACTCCGGAAAGTATGTGGTCAAGGCGGAGAGTCGGGCCGGAAAGATGGAAATCTCGCACTATGTGCTTTTCGAGGGGCAGGCTCATCACATTGCGGACAACATCCACGGAGTGTTCCACGCGGACAAGAGCCTGTTGCGCCCCAAGGAGGCTGAGAAGCCGGCTGAGAAGAAACCAGCTCCGGCAGCAGAACCAGAATCGGAGGCTGAGGATGGAAAGGGCAAGCGACGTGGCAAGAAGGACGACGAAGATCCCGGATCCTCGGCCTACGCCTCCGACTATGCCTCAGACACGGCCAGCTTGTCAAGCAAACGACGCGAAAAGAATATTGCCATCCACTTCAGCACTTCGATGCGGGATCGTGTCGTGGCCGAAGGCTCCAAGGTGAAGATTTCCTGCTTCTTGGACGCAAAGGAGCCACAGGTGAAGTGGTTCAAGGATGAGGAGCCCATCCAGAATGGACCCAAGATTCGGGGTCGCTACAGTGAGGGTCTGTGTCTGCTGGAAATTATGAGTGCCACAGAGGAGGATAATGGCGAGTACAAGTGCTGGGGCCGGGATGAGACCGGCGAGGCCTCCACCTCTTGCCGTCTGGAGGTTTACGCGGATCCTGGCACCGGCGACGTGCCTCCCACATTTACTCGCAACATCAAGGATACGATGCACGGAAAGATTAACGAGCTGCAACTGGATGTGCACGTGCGCGGATTGCCCACTCCGGCCGTGAGCTGGACAAAGGATGGTGTCAGAATCGAAAACAGCGACAAATACCAGCAGGTGGACCATGATGATGGAACTTGCGAGCTGTTCATCAGCAATCCAAAGCCAGCGGACAGCGGCAAGTACGTGTGCCAGGCGGAGAACCGCGAAGGCAAGACCGAAATAGTCCACATGATCACGGTGGAGCCAAGGGTCAGAGCCCCACGCCTGTCACCGCCCAGAGAGGGCCGGCCACCCCGTCCGGCTGGCGATGGAGAAGACGCAGCTGGAGCTGGAGAAGAAGGCGTCGAGGGCGGTGAGGAAGGCGAGGGCGGAGAGAAGCGCCGTCGGAAGCCAAAGCCCGATGAGGAGGAGCAGGGAGGCGGCTCCAGACGCGAGGTTCCACCGCCTCCAGATCTAAGGAAGCGACTCTACTTCAGGAACTATCTCTCCAACCGCACTGTCAAGGCCGGAAGCAATGTCAAGTGGATGGTTAATATTGACGGACCGGAGCCATCGGCCAAGTGGTTCCACGGCGAAACAAAAATTGACTTCGGGCCGAAGAGCAAGATGTCCATGCAGGACGGCATCGCTTGGCTGAACTTGGTGGGGGTCACGGAGGAGGATGCCGGCGAGTACACGCTGCGGGTCAGGGGCCCCGAGAACGAGATTGTGAGCACTTGCAATCTCTTTGTGTACAGCACGGGTAAACCAGAGGTTATATCGCCCACCTTTGTTTCGGGCATCAAAGGTAGGAGGAGCAGGGTGATCATTCTGTGTGGGATTCTGAGTGCGTCCAGGTGTTCGTTTAAGTATATTTGAGTTAAGTGTACCTTAAGTTACATCAATCAGCCAACTAACAACCTTTCCCTCCAAAGCTCCCCCACTGTGAGTCTCTTTGTTTAATGTCTAGTGGCGTGTCCTTTTCGCTGTTCATCTTCCAGATACCTATCATTCCCAGGCCAATCAGCTAGCTTTAGAGTGCAAGGTTTCGGGCAGCCCCAAGCCCAGTATCTACTGGCAGAGGGACAACACTCTTCTGCCGCTGGAGAGTCCCAAGTACCAGTGCTCCGAGCAGGCTGACGGCACGAAGCTCCTGACCATTGCCCAGTTCGGGGCCGACGATTCGGGTCTGTACACCTGCTACGCGGAGAGCGAGAACGGCCAGATGAAGATCAGCAAGTTTATCCAGGCCTCGGACTACGTGCGGGAGCGAGCTTCCGACAAGAAGCCCATAGAGAAGGTCATCGAAGAAATTCAAAAGCGGGACGAGCACTCCTCAGCCGGATCAGTCAGCGACAACGCCGCCGCCAAGGCAAGGGCGCGGGAGGCCAAGCTTCGGCTCAACTTGGAGACCAGCTTGAAGACCATGACCATTGGCAGCGGCAACAAGGCGCAGCTCATCTGCTATGTCACCGGCATCATTGAGGATGTGCACTGGCTGAAGGACGGAGAGCGCGTAACAAAGGATGCTCGCCACAAGATCTACAACATTAACGGAGCGATCAGCCTGGAAATATACGATGTCCGGGTGGAAGACAGTGGTGCCTACCGGTGTGTGGTGAAGAACAGCAGGCACACCGTGGAGAGTGCCGGACAGCTCAGTGTTCTGGATCAGTCCAATGGAAACCTTCCGGAGAGCTTCTCCAGTGGCATAACAGGTAAAAACCTTGTATGTTGAGTCCTTAAAGAGAGTCTTATAGTTTTCTTTCAACTTTCTATAGAATCCTTTGATGCCCAGAGAAACGAGATCGTTCTGAGCTGTCAGGTGCACGGGCGTCCTAATGTCAGTTGGATGCGGGATGACCACACCATCTCCAACAACCGCTACAAGGCTGTGGAGGAACCCGGTGGTCTGCGCAAGCTGATCATTCGGAATCCCATCTCCTCGGACTGCGGAATCTTTGCCTGCTACGCCGAGCATGAGAATCGCATCGACTCCATCAGCACCACCATAAAGGCGGCCGACTTGAAGCGCCTCCTCACCGTCAGCCAACCGGAGCTACCCGGTTATTCTATCGAGGATACCATCATTCAGAATAAGAGCTCTGTTAGCCAGGTCAATGGCAATGGTGAGCTTCGGAGAGCCGGGGACCGTATTCTGCGCAGTGCCGGAAAGTCTAAGCCACTGTTCCACACTCTGTTACACGATCGTACTGTTTCCGAGGGAGCTACTCTGCGCCTGGTGTGTGCCGTGTCCTCGTTCGACGCGAACACCCGCATAGAGTGGCTCAAAAACCACCGGCCCCTTCCCCAGGACTCCCGCTACCAGACGTTGATCCAAAACGGAGAAGCCTCCCTGGAGATCTACGCCTCCGTAGCGGAGGACAGTGGAAACTACACCTGCAGCGCCGCCAACGACTTCGGCGAGAGTCTGACCCATGCCCAGCTGAGGGTCTTTAAGAACTTTAAAGAGGCTCCATTACCGAGCACCTTCACGCAGCCGATTCGAGGTCCGGATTTCATCCTCATCTATATGTTTTAATCTTTTTGTGAAGCGATACTGATTATACTGTTTCCCTTTTTCAGACACATATTCTCTCAACGAGAATGAGTTGGTTCTGGACTGCCGCGTGCGTGGACAGCCTCGCCCAGATATCGTGTGGATGAAGGGCAACGAGATCCTCGAGAGCAACGAAAAGTACAAGCTGACCGATCAAGCCGACGGTTATGCCAAGCTGGTGATCAACAACCCCACGGAGAAGGACTCTGGCGTCTACTCGTGTGTGGCCAGGAACGAGGGCGCCGAGAACAAGATCTCCCACCAGGTGGACTTCAAGGGCAAGCAGCACTACTCACTGGAGAAGACCCATGGCTTCTTCCACCGCGATCCCAACAAGCCGCACTTCCTCCTGCCCCTGGGCAACCAGACCGTCTGCAATGGCGGCACCGTGGCAATCTCTGCAGAATTCATGCAGACTAGCACGCCCATCGAGGTCAAGTGGCTGCGCGACCGCCAGGTGGTGGACGGTCCCAACGTCAAGGCCCTGGCCGATCGTGGTGTGTACACGCTGACCATCATGAACGCCTCGCCGGAGATCGAGGGCACCTACACCTGCCGAGCCTCGAATGCCTTCGGCCGGATCGAGTCGCATGCCAACATCGATGTGTCTGTGGGAGCGCCCAAGGATGAGCGTCCACCGCTGTTCCTATCGCGACCGGACACGGAAATGAAGATTGCAGTTGGCGATCCCTTCTCGCTCTCCTTCCGCATTGCTGGCGATCCGAAACCCAAGCGTAAGTAAAGGTTTCCACGAGTTCTAGCTCGAAAATCAATTTCGGAATTCTTGTCTCCGCAGTGACCTTTATGAAGGGCACCAAGGACATCACCCAATCCGACCGCGTCAGCAAAGAGGTCTCCGATGACTACACCAGATTCACAGTGCAACAAGCCCAAATCTCCGATTCCGGCACCTACTTCGTGGTGGCCCGCAACAACTTTGGCACTGACAGGATATTCGTGACCGTCACGGTAGGGACCTCCGTTCTCCGGAGTGTGTGTGTTGAGTTCATGTTTCGCTGTGGCTGCTCCTTAATGCTTTCGCTTAATCTAACCACTGCTTTCTCTCCTCTATTCTCTTCTATTTCTTTTCTTTAGATTAAAATACCCAAAAAGAAAGAATAATGCTTGTTAACACAAAACACTTATTGCCAGATTCGAGTTTCGAACTCTTCCCGCAACCAGCAATATACATCGAGCTTAGCCCTCAGTCTATTTTCCTGACAATGTGTTCATTCAAAAATTTATTTATGCATATATATCCTTCTGACTTCAAAACCATCCCAATAGGCACACCCTCGCGCTCGCTCCGCCACGCCAACGCAACCCCGTTGGGGGCTTCCCCTGGACAGTTACAGCGACACTTCGTACTTCAGAGGTAAGTCTGGGAAGATTTCCCCATTTGGTTTCCTATCAGTCCCACCTTTGCGTCCAGTGTTATTTGTTCCCGAAACGTACTATATCCTTTAGAGAAACGACGTGTTTGTTCTTTAGATCTTTTGTGTTAGTGCTCTGTGTGTTCCTTTCCATCCTTAGATGTGTGGTACAAGTCCATGCTCAGATGCATTTCTTGCAGATTACAGAGGGGTCACAGAGACCTCCATCGAGCTACTCCACCGAGCACCAACGACGACAAAAGAACTATCCTGCGAGACCTTAGATACACCCACCTCACACAGAATTTTATTTGTGTATTTATCTTTTGTTAGTATTTCTAAACGATTATCAATTACGTTTATTATCGTACCTATACACCACCTAAATATACATATATAAAAATAATGTACTATATAAAGCAGCAGCAATCCAGCTTATACATTTACGTAGTGGAAAAAATAAAAAATACTTCTCCGGGGCGCGTTGCGTTTTAATCAACCCATTCCAACCCCACCTCCACAGTAATGATCACCTCTTTATTCACGTGTCTCATCTCTCGAATCCAGATCCTCCGGGCTGCATTGCCACCGAGCCATTGGTCGTGGACTCCGGCCCCACCCACATTTCGCTGTCCTGGGGCAAGCCGGTGAGCGCCAACTCCGCTCCGGTCATCGCCTACAAGGTTGAGTCCTGGGTGGTGGGCCATGAGGGTGGAGCCTACTGGAGGGAACTGGGGCTGACGCCCATCAACTCCTTCGACGCCTTCAACCTGAAGCCCAACGTCGAGTACCACTTCCGGGTGACGCCCAAAAACCGCTACGGCTGGGGTCCGGCCGTGCACACGAGCTCTCCCTTGCAGGTCGGAGGCGTGGAGTGCCTGCCCGAGTTCGTGAAGATCCTGCCCGGCCAGGCCAAGGCTTTGCTGGGCTCCTCCTTCACGCTGCAGTGCAACATGCGTGGTGCTCCACGGCCACATGTCACCTGGTTCAAGGACGGCATTCAGCTGAGCAGCAGTTCGGAGCGCGTTAAGATCCGCCAGATCGGCTCGACCTGTGCTTTAACTATTGCCACCGTGAGCGAACTGGATTCCGGCCGCTACACCTGCGAAGCAACCAACTCCAAGGGAAGGGTGTCGACCTTCGCACGCCTCCAGGTTGTCACGGACTCGAGGATCTACGAGGCGGACTCGCGCCTCAAGGAGATCGCCCACGGACGCAGTCAGGGCGAGGTGGGAGACTCCCTGCCCATCTTCACAATGCGGCTGCGGGACCGGCGTGTCCAGGTCACCTACCCCGTTCGTCTAACCTGCCAGATTGTGGGCTACCCTGTGCCCGAGATTCTGTGGTACAAGGACGATCAGCTGATCGTGACCGGAAGGAAGTACTTGACGACCTCGGAAGGCCAGTTCTTTACTTTGGAAATCGCAGCCACCACACTGGAGGACAGTGGCACCTATACTTGCCTGGCCAAGAACGAGCTGGGCTCAGTCTCCTGTCATTGCATCCTGGTGGTGGATAAGGGCATTCGGGCCTACATATCCCCGGACTTTTACGTGCCCCTGGATCCCTTTTACATTTTCCGCGAGGGCTCCGAGATCCGTTTGTCGACCAAGGTGGAGGCCTATCCCGCTGTGGGCGTCACCTGGCATCGCAACGGTATGAGGCTGCGGCCCAGTCGCCGGCTGACAGCTACTCTGGACTCCAACGGTTACGTGGAGCTGATAATCGCCGAGGCCTCGGCCCGGGATGCAGGCATTTATGTGTGCGTCGCTTCCAACGTAGTGGGCAAGGTGGAGACCATCTGCCGCGTGGCCATCGAGGAGGAGGAGCACGATGCAGTGCGGCCGTCGAGACCCCTGGATATACCCAGCATTAAGACCGACGATCTACCGTGAGTTCAGTCTAATCCGAACCATGATTGGATTACCCATATTCGCTTCTCTTCCAGTTATTCCAAGGAGCCCTTGTTCGTGGTGAAGCCCCGCTCCAGCGAAGCCTACGAAGGCGACAACATCATCATTTTCTGCGAGGTGGTTGGCGATCCAAAGCCCGAAGTGGTTTGGCTGCGCGATTTTCTAAATGTGAGTATCTGACGTCACGGCGGAGGCACTGGGGCAAGCGCATGCCTAGCCATGGGACGGCAGTTCAGTTGCATTCGCGGCGCCAACAAATGTGGGCCGTTGTCGGGCGTCGGGTACTGCTAGTCGCTCTCACTTCCATTCAGGTTGCTTTATCAGCCCGCTCAAGTTCACGGCGTCCAACGTGGGCCCTCCTGTAATCTGCATCAGGAAATATAGTGTCGCTTCCGGATCGCTTGGCTTTTTCGATATAAAAGGCAAACCCCCCAGTGGGCCGGGCTCTATTTTTTTGCATTCACCTGAAACAGTTGGGTCGCGCGGATAAAGTTCTCCCGATTGATCCGCCAGCGCGAACAAAGTGTCCCCAAAAGCGAAGCATCCCGCCCAGAAACCGATACGGTTGCGGAGATCCACCTAAACAAAAGCACGTGCAGTGAATAGGAGGCAGGTGCCGCTGCTGACTCAGGTTACACGTGCGTCATAACTTACGCAAAAGAGATCTTACATCCAAATCGCTGTCAAACGCCAATTCAAGTTCAAGCCATATCCAATAACAGACAGGTTTTGTCGTCCAACAGTCACGCGAACCAAAAAAGAAATCCAGTAAGTGAACTTTAGTTGCACGAATGCGAGCCACAACTACCCTGGCCTATCAAATACTTCATATAATGCTCCTATATTAGGGTTTTCTATTCTTTATTGCGCCTCTTAAAGTCTCTTAAGAGATGATTAGTCACTGTGCTGGACACCGACCGTACACCAAGGAAGCAGGCAGGCAGGCAGGCAGGCCAGTAGGAGCGGTAGGAGGTCAGGGTGGGCAACCTGCAAACCTGTTACCAGTTTTCCTAGTCAGTTTCGAAACTGAATTTTGTACATATATGGCCATTCGATAAACACAATAATAACAATAATCTGACTGCGCTGCGCCAGTAACATTTCCACTGCGACAGTTGTGATTCATTTCACAGTCGAACAAGTCCTTATAGACGCCATAGAAGCGCTCATCTCGCTTAGCGCCGCGACCTTGAATTCCCATCTGAACACATTTGTATTCTTCTTACACTTCAGCCGGAGTACTACAAGGACGCACCGCACTTCCGACGCATCGGAGACGGACCCGAGTACCGCCTGGAGATACCCAGCGCCAAGTTGGACTTCACCGGCACCTACTCAGTCATAGCCAGTAACTGTCATGGCGAAGCCAAGGCTGTAATTTCCTTGCAAATCTTCGCAAAAGGTGAGTCTAATTGGGGGTTTATTGGGGGTAGATGTTCGTCAGCCTGGGATACACTATGTCGCGCCAGAAATCCTCGGCCATCACCAGCAAACTGCCCAGGAACTCCGGGTCGGACTGAACCCAAACATAATGGAGGGCTCCATTCGTCTCGAATGTTGGACTAAGAACGCAGTACAGAGCCTTTTTCACGTTCGCCAGAAACATCTGGATCTGTATCTGGGCCATATACTTGGTGGAAATGGTCTCCCTAGCCTCCAGATACCTCTCAAACTCATCTTCTGTCTTTGGAGACTTAATTTCCACAATATGATCGTCCGTAATGCCATCGGGCGACGCGCACAAGTAGGGATAGTTTTCGTGCAACAGTAGTCCGCACTCGGCATACTCTTTGTTCTCAAGCTTTTCGGTTTGTTTCAAAATGAAGCGCTTGTGTTGCTTCTGCTGAATCCGATCCTCAATGTTCTTATCGCGCCCCTTGCAAAACATCATGTTGAAGATTTGTTCATCGTCCTCCGCGCTTTTTCGCGCCGCAATCAAATGTACCATGGAACATCGAATACGCATGTATTGCACCTCGACCCACAGTCGGGATTTATACTGGAGACGGGTTACCTCGTTCAGACTCTCGTAGATGCCAGTGGGCGCTTGTAGTTCCATGTACTGGACAAAGCTCGGCACGTCCACGATATGCAGATCTGGTGCCCGAAGGAGGACGTGGTGTACAAAGAGCGACTCGAATTCATCGGCGGTATCTACGCACTGACGGTACAGAGCAGAATCACGGCCACAGGCCGATAGCTCATCCAACACAGAATCCAAGAATATCTGTCCTTCGCTACTGCTCATCGCTTGTGAGCTCATCTCGCTTTCCAGACGCACCTCATCTTTAGGCAGCAAGTCACATATACGAAATGCCCTACTCGGCTCTGGTTGGACTAAGGTTTCCAGCTCGTGGCCCCAAAATTCGACCACGGCCGATGGAGAACGTTCCACGCTCTTGTTCAGAAGCCAAAACAGAAAGGCTACAATGTGCGAACAGGCTTCTGCCGGAGAAAGTTTTCTATTAGTTTCGGGTTGAAAATATTTAGGCAAAATACCTACCAGCTAATGGACATAAGCTGCACTGACCCTCTATAATAGTCCGCGTAGATTCTATCACCTTTAGGCCAACATTAGCGTGAGTATCTGTGTTGGCGAAATCAGAGGCGGAGAATATTAGGCCCTTCACCTCGCAGAGCTCTCCCTGCCGTCGCACTTGTACATAATCCGTTAGAAGATCACTCTTTTCCGTCGATCTATGAAGGAAATGAAATAAGTTAAGCATGCTTTTTTAAAACTATTAACCACACACTTACATGGGCTTGGATTTCTCCGGATCGGCAGATGTACAGAAATTATAAACCATGCCACTATTCAAGGCGGGCAGGTTATGCATGTCTGCCTTGCGGAAACCCGGGTCGAGGTCCATCGGCACTATAAACATGCCCCGCATTTTGAAAGAGCTATTATGCCGTCAGAAAGTTCTTAAAATAAACGCTAAAAATAAACATTAGGGTTGTCGATATCGAAATAGATAATATTCGATATATTCATATATTCGATATATTTTAGTCGCGGAATCGAAAATACAATATTTTTGGTATTTTTTTAGGTTTGGCGGGGAATTTAAAAGTTTAATCTAATTGTGTATTTTCTTGTAACGGTAATTTTAATTGAAGAATAACTTAACTTTCCCTTTGGTTGAGTTCCCAAATTAAAATAAATTATATTTGTTTCTTTCACAGACATTCTTAAAGATAGGCGTATGGATCAGGTGCAGACGCGCCACAGGTAATTATATTTATCAGTTTAAGGCTGTTCATTGTAAAAATTGCATATATTTTATCACAGCAACATCGAGACGCTTCCTCGCTTCGTACGCAACCTGCGGAACCTGCGCTGCTGCGATGGGGATGCCATTTCGTTGGAATGCCAGGTGGATGCCGATCCCGAGCCATTTATAATATGGGAGAAGGATGGAAGAGTGTTACCTTCAGATAGAGATTACGAAATGTCATTCGATGGAACCAAGGCTACGCTAAGAATACCGCGAGTATATCCGGAGGATGAAGGCGAGTACACGTGCGTGGCAAAGAACTCGGTGGGGCGAAGTCTGTCCTCCGCTTGCATCATCGTGGACGTGCCTGAGGAGAAGGAGAACATGCTGAGTCGCCAGCTGACACGACCTAGTGGCCTCTTATCCGCCCACTCCACTCCCCGTTCCACCCCCAGATCTACGCCCGCCCGCAGCTTCTCCCCATTCCGCTTATCCTACCGGACAAGTAGCATTGATCTTACGGGAGTAGCCGAGCGGCGGAGGAGTGACGCCCGTACCGCCATCACGGCGCCCAAGTTCCTGGCCATCCCCTACAATCGGGTAGTGGAGGAGGGCGACTCCGTGCGGTTCCAGTGCGCCATCTCTGGTCACCCGACTCCATGGGCCACCTGGGACAAGGACGGTTTGATTGTCACCCCCACTCCCCGGATCGCCGTTAAGGAAATAGACGACTTAAGAATTATTGAGATCGATGAGGTGTCCTTTGATGACGCCGGTCTGTACAGGATTACGCTGGAAAACGACTTTGGGCGCATAGAGGCCACTGCCCGGCTCGACGTGATCAGCAGCTCGCGGTACTCCAAGTCGCCATCGGTGCGGAGCGTGCGCGCCTCCTCCTCCCGTCGCAATGCCTACCTATACCGGCGCATCATGGGTCCATCTACAGGTGAGTAGAAAGCCCACCAATACCGTGAAAAGAAGTCAACCTTCCCCTCTTTCCCTAGCAATTGGCGGACGCATGGCTCTGGCCAGCGGATACCGAGGCTCTTCGGTTCCCTCCGTCAGATTCTACCACAACTCCTTAGAAATGGAGCCCTCGGATCGGGTACACATAGTGTTCGACGAGGAGAATTCGATGGTCGTACTGTTGGTCGACAATGTGACCCTAGCGGACGAAGGCGAGTACAGCTGCATCATCAGCGGGGACCACGATCCCCTAATCAGCTCCACCACAGTCACTTTCCATGAGGCGGGTAGGGAAATACACAGAAGCGGAGCCAATATTAGTCAACCCCTCCCGGAGATTAGCAGTGCTTTAGAAGGCGAAGTGATAGACCTTACATGCGTCATCGATTGCGACGAGCCATTCAGCTATGTCTGGCTCAGGAATGGAGAAGTTCTGCCGGATAGCGAAGAATTCAAGTGAGTAGATCCTCTTTGAAGTCTTAGATAATTTTCTATATGATAATGCACTGAATTCGGTCTTTAATGTAACACTTGTCAATATATATCACAGCTACATCGATCACGGCAATGGACGTCTCGGCCTGCGCATCACGGATGCCTTCGACATTGACTCCGGAACTTACAGCTGTCAGGTGTTTACCTCGGAGTCTCCCTCTGGGGAGTGCGAGTGCGACTGTAGCACCAGCGGGGAGCTGCGCGTTGTGGAACGCGATCTAAGGCGGGAGGACCAGGAATGCGTGCAGCTGCTGAAGACCCCACTACCGGTAGTCTGCGCGGCGGGAGAGGAGGTCATCTTTTATGGACGTGTTTTCCCCTGTGACGCGGAAGCCGAATGGTACCTCAATGGAGAGCAGCTAATAGACGATGACTCACTTGACATGACGGTGAGTGCGTAGCGTGTGCTTGCTTTTGGCCCCAATCCGGGAACCTGCTCTTTTAAAGCAAACAGAAATGAAAAAGACATCAAAACCCCAAAAAAAAAACAGAGCCCTCCATTACCTTGCCGCAGGCTGCTCGTTCACACTTTTTGGCGGAGAAAACAATAATAATAATTGTTGCCGGTGGGACCCTGGTCATTTGCATAAGAGTCATATTGAAATACTGCCCCATGCGAGCTGCATGCCAACGATGTTGATGTGTTATGTGTGGCTGGGGCTCGCATTTCACTCACATGGTGGAATCGGAAACACTCGCTCGTCGGCGTTCAATCAAAGCACATCTCCTCGGTCTCGGTCTCGGTCTTGGTCTCGGTCTCGGTCTCTGTCGCTGTCGCTGTCTTCGAAAATTCCGGAGGAACCTGTAATGCCGCCCGAGAGCGGTCACAAAATATTCAAATTACTGTCGAAACCAAGGGCGTGACAAGATGTCACAGGTAGGCGCAACAAATGGAGTGCATCCGGGGGAATCAATACCGCTTTGGAATTCCACTTAGGCCCTATGATAAGGTTCCACCACCCATCGGGGTGGTGTGTGCGTGCTCCAATGAAAATGAGAGCGAGCGCCAAGTGTCATTGTCACGATCCGCTCATAGCATTCCATTTACGGTCGCGCCGACTCCCGGGCTCTCGCTTAATTGGTGCGTGCCCGGGAGAGGGCCGTTCAGTTCTATCCCAGCCACAAGTCGCGTCGCGTCATCCAAGTTCTGATCGCGTCCCATCGACTGTCTCTCCCGGACACTTGTGTACACAGTATTTAATTGTCTACCCATGTCTATATACTATGTACTATCCAGTACACGAAGGAAAAACTTGTGTGCTTAGTGATATGAATGGGAATCCATAAATACTCGATTGGATTCATTTCGTGAGGGATCTCTAAGCAATATTTTTAAGGAATCTCCAATAGTGTCGCGAAAACATATAGTTATAAACGATCTGCAGCAAAGCATTCTTAAACAATCTCCATAATAATTCCATAATACCCGTGAACCGTATCTTAGGGAACCGTAAGAAGAACGAATTTCAAACCAATTTCAAACCATTTCAACCATATTTTCAAGTTTATTTGCAACCCCCACCTTACTTTAACGTTTCCCTCCAATCCCCTTGCAGTTGGAGTCCTATCCTGAGAACGGCATTCGGCTGTTGCGTCTTCGAGACGTCCCCGCCTCCAAAAGCGGAGAGATCTACCTGCAGGTGAAGCATCCCCAGGCGGAGGCAAGACGCCTGCCCGCTACCAGAACCTACACCAGCCTCCTGGTCCTGCCCTCCATTCGAGGCAACAGCTCCTCCGCCTCGCTGGCCGCCAGAAGCTGCTTTTTGTCGCGGCCCGAGGATTGCACCGCCCTCATCGGCGGCCATGTCCGGCTGAACGTCCGCTACGAGCCATTCCCGGGCACCAAAGTGGTGTGGTACAAGGCGGTAAGTATATGAATATATAAGTGGGTTATGGGTTATGGCAATAGGTCCGGTTTGGGTCTCTCAATCAATACTGTGACCCAATTTGGCCAGAGCAGGTAGAGCGCCTGCCTGGGGGATTATGCTTATAAGATTGGAGCCTCATTCTTTATCAGCCCTAAGCCCACTCGGTGACTCTGTGACTGTGTCACGATCAGTTTGCGGTGGGGTTGTTGTCATTGTTGTCCGGGTGGTTGTTGGGCGCTGCTCTGCTTGGGTAGGCTGAGGTGGTGGGCTTAGGTGGTCGGGCTACGTAATGGTTGGAAACCGCAAATGCGAGACGATCGCAAACGAAGGTTGGCGTCCCAGCTCTCAACAGAGCCAGTGCCTCGATACAAGTCTTATTAGAAAACAAAAGTACATATTGCTTGGAATTTAACGAGAAAGGCCAGGCACCTTTTCCCAAAGGGACACCACTCCGTGCGCGATTCCCACAGCGCAATAGCCTCGCCCAATGCCAATCTCAAATTCCGATACTTGACCTATTTTATATAATATCCATAAGTAATTTTATTTATCCATTTTGAAATCAATTTAATGGAAAATTGTTTAACGAAACTGATTATAACTCTATCCCACACAGAGCCGCGCCATAGTTGAAAGCTCGAATGTTAGCATCCGGACTACGGCCCAGCAGTCGACGCTCTACATCTCCGACATCTCGGCGGATGACAGCGGCAAGTACACGGTGGAGGTGATGAGCGATTACGGAATCGAGGCAGCCGCTGCCTCCGTGGCAGTGGAAGGTCCTCCGGAACCGCCCAGTGGCCAGCCCAGCGTCTCCCTTGGACCGGATCGGGTGGCTGTAGCCTGGTGTGGTCCCCCCTACGACGGTGGCTGCATGATCACCGGATTCATGTGAGAAACAGTGTACAATCTTTTGGGAATTCATTCTGACTTCTGGACTTTCAATTGTAACAGCATTGAGATGCAGATCTGCGAGGAAGACGGCCGCGAGGACAACGAAGAGGACTCCTGGCAACAGGTGGCTCGGGTGGTGGACACTTTGGCGTACACGGTCAAGAACCTGCAACCCCAGACTCAGTACCGGTTTAGGGTTAGAGCCGAGAACATCCACGGCCGGAGTCCGCCCAGCCACGTCAGCGAAACGGTGAAGATTATTGGCAGGGTCCAGAGGACGCCCGATGAGAGGGCCTCCACGGTCAGCGTAGAGTCTGGCGGTGACTTTAAGTCACGCTTCCAGATCATCGAGGAGCTGGGAAAGGGGCGCTTTGGTATCGTCTACAAGGTCCAGGAACGTGGACAGCCGGGCCAGCTGTTGGCCGCCAAGGTGATCAAGTGCATCAAGGCCAGGGACAAGCAGAAGGTCGTTGAAGAGATCTCCATTATGCGATCCCTGCAACACCCCAAGCTGCTCCAGCTGGCAGCCTCCTTCGAGAGTCCCCGGGAGATCGTCATGGTTATGGAATAGTAAGTACATCTCCTCCAGGTTCCTGTTAGAGTATCCTTCTATAAAGTCACATTTTTTGCAGCATTACTGGCGGCGAGCTCTTTGAGCGGGTGGTGGCCGACGACTTCACCCTAACCGAACTGGACTGCATCCTGTTCCTGCGCCAGGTGTGCGAGGGCGTGGCCTACATGCACAGCCAGAGCGTGGTCCACCTCGACCTGAAGCCGGAGAACATCATGTGCCACACCCGCACTAGTCACCAGATCAAGATCATTGACTTTGGCCTGGCCCAGCGGCTGGACGCAAAGGCTCCCGTCCGAGTTCTGTTTGGCACCCCGGAGTTTATCCCTCCGGAGATTATCAGCTACGAGCCCATCGGCTTCAAGTCGGACATGTGGAGCGTCGGAGTCATCTGCTATGTTCTGTGAGTTGTGGGATTCATAACCAGACTTAAGTCATCCATTTTTAACCGTTCTCCAGGCTCTCTGGGCTATCGCCCTTCATGGGTGACACGGACGTGGAGACCTTTTCGAATATAACCCGGGCAGACTACGATTTCGACGACGACGCCTTCGACTGCGTGTATGTGTCACTGTGGACCTTCATCTTAGGTCTTGTAATTATATCCTGGTTTTTAGTTCGCAGGAGGCCAAGGACTTTATCTCACAGCTTCTGGTTCATCGGAAGGAGGAGCGCCTGACCGCTCAGCAGTGCCTGGAGTCCAAGTGGCTGTGCCAGCGATACGACGACAATCTCAGCAACAACAAAATCTGCACGGACAAGCTCAAGAAGTTCATCATCCGGCGAAAGTGGCAGGTGAGTTGCGACGCCGCTTCTCCTAACCCGTTCCGCTCTATTAACCCGCCTGCTATTGCTGCTTGCTTCCCGGCTGTTAATCCAGAAAACCGGCAATGCTATTCGCGCCCTCGGACGGATGGCGAACTTGTCGGCCTCGCGCAGGAACTCCGCTATCGCTATGGGCGCTCTGAGTAGCCCCCGGCCCTCTCTGTCCGGACTAGGCCTGCTCAATGCGAGTGCCATGATATCGAGTGGACTGAGCGCCCAGATGACGTCGCTCCACGAGGAGGAGGACGACTTCAGCGTGGAGATGTCACCCCTGGTGGAGAAGCGTTCCGTGCTAAAGTTCCGGGACAAATCTCAGTGCAGCGAACGCAGCGATTCCGGCTACAGCGAATGCTCCAACTGCAGTGGAGCGCAGGAGACGCTGCTCCTCTCGCTGGCCAAGTCCAAGCTAGAGCAGATTGCGAAGGCCTCCGCTGCTCTGCCCGTGGCCGCGCAGGATCCGGAGAGTGCTTTGACTCTGGAGCTGCCCACAAAGGGCCAGGAGTCCATCATGCGTTCCGACTTTACGAACACGATCAAGATGCGCAAGAAGTCGCTGGAGGACAGCTGTGCAAGGGAGAAGTCCAAGACCAAGCCCCACAACAAGCCCGCTTGCGAGTCCAAGCTGAAGGTGTCCCAGCTGAAGGACAGATTCCAGACCCAACCCGCTTCCCTTGCTGCTCCTGCTGCATCCGCTGTTAAATCCGCTAAGCTCCCGCCTCCCTGCGAGCCATTTAAGATCTCGAAAGTGGCGAGCGTGGGACGCCTAAGCAGAAGTAGCTATCGAGAAGAGACCCAAACGAACCTAAATCCCTAAAGTCATAGCCAATGGGTTTAAGTTTATGGTCCGTTTGGGTCTTCTTTAAAGAGAGTAGCTAAGTTTTTATTACTGACATGCCCCTTCTCTTAATTCACAGCAGAGGAGCCACAAACATCTAGGAGAGGCCCTAGCCCAGGATCCCGAAAAGACACCCCTGTCCAAGCCCGGTCTATGCCTAGCTCCCCGGTGCCTCAGCGCTCCGCCACGCCGACGCGGCTGATGAGCCAGCGCGTCCGAGAGGCCGCCGAGCGGCTCGCCCAGCAGCAGACGGTCGCCAGCGGGGCTCGTCGGCAGCTCAGGGGCAACGGCAATGGAAACAACAGCAACAGCAATGTCAACAATGGAAGCAACCCGACCGGCGGTATTGGGAACACGGAGTCCAACCGCGAGTCACGTGCGCGACATCTCATTAAAAGATTCAACAACGGATCACAGCTTATTACGTCCTAGATTAGGTCGGTTTAGGGCCGACACGATTTAAAATTTATTTTAAAAATACAGCGGAGCGGATACACATCCATATATATATTATAAATGAAACCCCACGAGACAAAATAATTACGAAACACTCGAATATGAAAGCGAATCCGATTGCAATTGCGATTGCGATGGCGATTGCGAGCAACACATCCACATCCACATCCATTACCCGCACACACCCACTTACAGTAGGATACATCTATCCGACATCCGGCATCCAGTCCCATGGATGGACTCCCTCGATCGGAGGGAATGTACTTAGGCTAGAGGAAGCTAAGTGTTTAAATTATTGTTTCGATTTATATACATATCTACCATACTAATTAAAGTTAAAGTAACGAATTTAGGGAACACGGCTGTTAGTGGGCGGTGATCGGGTGATCCCGGGGCTTCAGGCGCACCCACAGCCCCCCAGACGCTCTCAAAGTGATCCGGAAAGTGGCCTCGAAAGTCGTCTTTCCAGGGACCGGGAGCAGCTGGAAGCTCCTCAGCAACCTGGACACAATGGTCTTTATCTCCATGATGGCGAATCGGTTGCCGATGCAGTATCTGGGCCCCGCACTGAAGGGTATGAAGGCGTACGGGTGGCGGTGCTCTGAGTTCTCCGGCGAGAACCTCTCCGGCTGAAACTTTTCCGGGTCGGGGTAGATGTGAGCCAGCCGATGCGTGGCATACGGGCAGATAAAGATGTTGCTTCCGGCGGGCAGGGTGTGGTCTCCCAGGCGCACTTCCTCGCCCAGTTTTCTGGCGATCAGCGGCACACTCGGGTAGAGACGAAGGGCCTCCTTGATGCACATCTCCATGTAACGCATCTCCCTTAGGTCCCCCATGGACGGAGCCCTGTTGCTGCTGTCGAAGATCTGCTCCAGCTCCTGGTGACACCTCTCCTGGCAGTCTGGGTTCTGGGCCAGCAGGAACAAGGTAAAGGCTACGGCTGCCCCTACTGAGTCCTGGCCGGCCAGCATGAAGGTACAAGCCTCGTTGACAATGTCCTCCTCTCCGAAGTTCGGGTTGCTGTCGGATATCTCGATCATGTAGTCAAGGAGGCACTTGCGCTCGCTGTTGTTGTTGCTGGACTTGTGGATCAGCCGACGCCGCTGGATCATCTGGCGTGTGAAGTCGTTGAGACGCTTCTTCTGGTTCAGCTCGTCGTTGGCCATTTTTGTCCAGTGGTAGATCCCGTCTAGCAACAGCCAGGGATGGGTGAACCTTCTGGGCATCATGAGCTTGCCCTGCCGGAAGGGGGAGTCCTCCATGTTGACCAGTTGGTCTCCTTTCTTCCTCACGGGCACGCCCAGCACCGCTTCTGTAATGTTACGGTCGATATTAAAATTCCCTTATACAATGTTTGACCTCCTAACTCACCATTCAGTATGTCCAAGACGCAGTTGTTTACGTACTTGGCGATGTTGAACTCCGTACCGACGGCGGAGGCGTCCAGGTTCTCGTACAGCGACTGCGAAGCGTCCACAAAGGTGTCAATGAACTTCTCCAGCAGACTGAGGTGGAAGGCTGGCTGGATGAGCCGGCGATGGTCGCTCCATTTAGACCCACTGCTGGTAATCAATCCGTCGCCCAGGAAGTTGTGCATCAGACGGTAGAAGAAGACCTTGTTGGTGTGCTTCTTGGAGGAGAGTATAACCTGCAGATCCTCCGGTTGAAGAACTGCGAAGAAGGGAAACAGCAGCACCCATACCCGCACCAGCGATCCGTACAGGTCGTAGGCTTTAGCTGCCACTCTCCCCATCACTGTAAGAGAGGATGTGACTTTGTTCCAGACCACACTCTGAATCCTTGGAAATGCTATTACTTACAATCTTTATCCGTGACAAGCAGGCAGTTGCCCAGCAAGGGAACGGATGGCGGGCCCGCAAGACGCAGCGATAGGATCACGGATCGCAGGTACGTTTGCAGGTGCCCGTAGAAGGTGTAGATGGCCAGGCTCAGAGCTAGCAGGACCAGGACTGTGCATAGCTCCGTCTTGGTGGCACGTTCAAGCTAAAATACACATATATTTTGAAACTAAAGACATATTCAAGGTTAAGGCTGGATCCTCCTCTTTCTCTTTTATGATCAGATACACATAAACCCGAATATTTTAAATCTACTTCCGAATCATTAGTAAACTCCAACTTATAATGAATGAACCATAAAAGCCCCAAATCTGTCAGGTAGTTGGCTAATTGTTTCAGCTCCCACTCTCCTCAGAACTCGCAACAAAAGGGATTCCCCACATCTGTATGGGTCGCAAAACAAAGCCCGCTGTCCCTGGAACCTGTCCCGGCCAGTGATCATCATTTGTCATCTTTTGTGCTCGTCCACAACCTGTTGCACCACAGACACAGAAATCGGCCAAAACCCAATCCGAGGGCAGCCAACACGTTCCTACACACATAGCAGGGTTGGGTGGGGGTGACCCACTGGAGCTTTAATCGATCATCAAGCCACACGTACACGTCTCGGAGACCTGGATATCTGTCTATCTGGGTATCCAGTGCTGGAGATCGCATCGCGCATACGTCGTGTTGTCCCAAACAATTCACACCGCAGTTAGATACATAACTTATACTTTCGTTGCGATTACGTTGCCGTTTTGTTTGTCGAAAAACTTGCGACACGCGGCAAGGGCAAGTGCTCGGCTTCGAATTCAAGAGCGTCATTTTATCAGCCAACTTGGCCAACTTTAGGGAGGCTAAGGGCTTCGAGAATCGACAAATATAGACATACGCTTGCCGCTACCCATTGCTTTGAAGAATGCTAATTAGGGAGCCTGCCAAGCTGAAATCCACTCCACAACGAACTACGACTCAAACATTAAATTTATTTCAGAACAAGCCGCCCTCCATGGGCATAAAGTGTAACAGACCCTAGCGATGTACCAAGCAATGCAAAGAGGTCAGTCTTCCTTCCAAGTCAATGAACAAATGTGGCAAAGTATGGAGGTGTTTAGTGTTTCATGGGTTGGTGAAAATCAGTGCAAAAAAATCCAGAAAACAAAAATTAGGACCGGTCCGGATGTGTGATCCTAGTCCTTACTTCTCGCCTTCGCCATCTTCGTCCTCGTAGCCCTCTGGCAGCGCATTGACCTCCTTGTTGTGGAAGAAAGAATGGTTGCCGTCGCCCCACGGGAAGCGCTTAGTGCGCCGGCGCAGATACTCGTATTTGGTAAACGGCTCGCGCTCGTGGTGGACGTGTCCCGAAAATGCGTTTATGGCGCAGAGAGCGATGGCCGGAATGGCCAGCAGAAACGTTACCTTCCTCCACAGTCCGGCTGTGTTCCCGGGACCAAGGCCCATCTGGCGGAGTCCCAAAGGTATGGGCATCATTTAGATTCGATGCTCAGAATTTGTCTCAGATGTGATAGCAACAGAAATATTGGAAACACTGGAGCTGGTCGACAAACCAAATGTGATATGTCCGGCACAGGCCTGCTATTGGCAATTAGGAACTCTCAAGGAAAGCCAGAGCCATGCCAGGTCTACCAACCCCCAAGTTCATGAATCTTTTTGTTCTGTTTGTTCTGCTCAAATGTTTGTCCAGAGACCGATGAAGCATCCAAAGGCTTCCGTCCCGCTCCCATCCATTCTTTTAATTCATTATTTTTTGGCAGGGTGTATCCAGGCTGCGGTTTCGGGGCTTTGGGGTTTTGGGGCTTGGGGACTTGCAGAACTAAGACTGCTTGTTTGCTCTGTCAATTTACACCTGACTACTAATCAATACACATCATGATTACTTCCCACTAATTTCATAAAGTATCATAATGGTGGTCCAAACGAGAGACTTGTTGTGGAGGTCTAGAGCCGGAGGTCTACAAAAAGTAATTCCGATTAAATGGCTTTAGGTGAGAAAAGGGGCGCGGTACAAGGAATACCTATAGGTGTGGATGTATATGGTACATCTACTATAGCACTACCTACCTGTACATGTATGATATAACATTATTGAAAGAAAAAATAGTCTTTTAAAACTCAACTTTGTGAAATTATATTTATAGCTTTTTAAGAGGTCGATTTAAGGAAACCAGTCAAGAAGTTTGATCTATTTTCTACCATTATTATGTAGAACACTTATAAAATGAATCTCACTCACCATTTTTTCAACAATCATTTTTAATCACTTGCTTAAGCAAACTTAGTTTACTTTTAAAATGCACTAATATTTTAAGATTTTTAAACTTATGTGGCAGACACTCTTACGTGCCGCACATAGACGTTGAAATAGTTGACACAGTTCGAAAATCCACTTTTGGGCCAATTATCCAGATGGGTCCCCGCCGACTGATGAGCTGCAAATGCGGTGCCTCCGCCAGGCGGAGTCTATTTATAACAGATTGGCCAAGATCGAGCTCGGCTCGGACCAAAAGAGACGCGTACGTGCGGCGTGGCCTAAGTATCCGAATGCTTCAAGCCGATGCCCGATGCCAGACTCCCCTCCACTTCCTACTCCACGAATCGCCGGATGAGCACCGAGCAGCGTAATTGCCGACTAGTCGGCGCACTCGATGTGTTAAGTAGCTAGAAGTGGAGGTGATGTTGGATGGCAATCAATTATCCTAAGATCAACTACAGTGTGTAAATTCGCCGTGCATGTTTACCCTGTGGCCCTACGAGAAAATTCAGTGTCACTTGATGGAATCCGTATGGACGCGTGCCGGTGGAACGAACTTTAGACCCCTAGAATCCAGTGTCTAGATGATCCCCCACCTGGTGGAGACCCCTTCAATTAGCTGACAACTTCCATCAGGTTTATTTATGGCCAATCGATCAGCATTTGCATATTTGACACGGTGCTTTTAACGTCATCGTAAATGTTTATCAAATTCTTAGGATCATTTCCGCAGTGAAATTGTTTGCCAGTTTTATTGGGCAAATAGTAAACACGCTTTAATATTTATTGGGATTTCCACTCACTGTGGAGGTATAAGGAAAAGATTTTAAACGGTCTTTTCGAGAAAATGAACTTTTCAGAGAGTTTTTAGCAAATATTTCAGCCAAATTCCAACCGATTTGGAAATGGCGTCCCATTTCTGAATCGGGGTTTCAAGCTCCTTTAATCTGCTTTAAAATATAGAAAAAATGGAAAGAAAAAAATTTAATCAAAAATTTGGTCAAAATCGTGATGTTACCCCTTTGAAAATTTTCGAAAATTGGGTCAAATTTTAGTTGGCCAGGTTTTGATAGAGAATGAATCACCTTTAAAATACAAGGTCGGGAAGGTATAACATTTTGAAATCGGGATACTATTGGTCGAGATATGGCAAATAATGTCTTAGGATTTACTCCAAAAATGGGATTGGCTTTGTCAAGAAGCCTTTTTGGCCAAAACTCAACTTTTCAGACAGTTTTTAGCAAATATTTCAGCCAAATTCCAACCGATTTGGAAAAAGCGTCCCATTTCTGAATCGGGGTTTCAAGCTCCTTTAATCTGCTTTAAAATATAGAAAAAATGGAAAGAAAAAAATTTAATCAAAAATTTGGTCAAAATCGTGATGTTACCCCTTTGAAAATTTTCGAAAATTGGGTCAAATTTTAGTTGGCCAGGTTTTGATAGAGAATGAATCACCTTGAAAATGCAAGGTCGGGAAGGTATAACATTTTGAAATCGGAATTCTAATGGTCAAGATATGGCAAATAATGTCTTAGGATTTTCTACAAAAATGGGATTGGCTTTGTCAAGAAGCCATTTTGGCCAAAATTCAACTTTTCAGAGAGTTTTTAGCAAATATTTTTGCCAAATTCCAAACGATTTGGAAAAGGCGTCCCTTTTCTGAATCGGGGTTTCAAGCTCATTTGATCTATTTTAAAATATAGAAAAAATGGGAGGAAAAAAATTTAATCAAAAATTTGGTCAAAATCGTGATGTTACCCCTTTGAAAATTTTCGAAAATTGGGTCAAATTTTAGTTGGCCAGGTTTTGATAGAGAATGAATCAACTAGAAAATACAAGGTCGGGAAGGTATAACATTTTGAAATCGGACGTATTTTTTCAAAGATATGACGAATTATGGCTCACGATCTGCATCCAAAAAGTGGAATTAGCTTTGTAGCCCACAACAAGATCTTTATCTCAATAAAGGGACGTTTATCTTTAAATGGATCATTTTCTCTAGATTTTAGAGCTTGACGTCTTAGTCATTCCATTAGTTGGCCAAAGATCCGCGATTAATCAGTGGAATGATTTTCTGCTAATCGGTAAATGATTATCTTCAGGCAGCTTTGTCGCCTTTCCCTAGAAAGCCGCCGCCCCATTTATAATGGATATAAAAAACTGGGTCTTTGGGACCCATATAAACTTTGCGATATCGCTTTCAGAATTTTATGAAAATCCAAAGTGGCTATGGGGATCATCGCAAAATTGGCTATTTTTCGTGATAAGTGATAAGAATGTGCCAATAATGTGGCCCTATATATAGCGTCAGAATGGTACCACCAGCACAACATTTTAAAATGTCGCCGCGCTTAGGACTGTTCCTTTTGGGACTCTTAGTTTCCTGGATTCAAACGGAATCCGCCTTTGTCAATACCCATATTGTGGGTGGTGACCAGGCGGATATTTCGGACTTTCCCTACCAAGTTTCGGTTCGTCTGGAGACCTACATGCTGCTCCACATCTGCGGTGGTAGTATCTATGCTCCCCGTGTGGTTCTCACCGCGGCTCACTGCATCAAAGGCCGTTATGCATCTTACATCCGGATTGTGGCTGGTCAGAATTCGATTGCAGATCTGGAAGAGCAGGGAGTGAAAGTCAGCAAGCTGATCTACCACAGCGGATACAACAAAAAGACCTATGTGAACGATATTGGACTAATTATTACACGCGAGCCCTTGGAGTATTCCGCTCTGGTACAACCAATCTCAGTGGCCTTGGAGGCTCCTCCTTCCGGGGCCCACGCTGTAGTGAGCGGATGGGGAAAGCGTTCTGAGGAGGATGAAGCTCTGCCCGCTCTGCTCCGGGCTGTGGAACTAGAGATCGTGGACCGAGGCACTTGTGGAGCTCAGTACTTGACTAAAGATTATACCGTAACAGAGGAGATGATCTGCGCAGGATATCTGGAAGGTGGCAAAGATACATGCAACGGGGACTCCGGAGGTCCGCTTGTCGTTGATGGAGTACTTGTCGGCGTTGTCTCCTGGGGAGTGGGATGTGGCAGGGAAGGATTCCCCGGAGTGTATACCAACGTTTACTCCCATACCAAATGGATCGAAGAACAGGTCGAGCCATATATCTAGGGATTTTCCATATGAATAACCCCAGCACTCTAAAAATTTAAGCGAACAATAGTTCGTTTTTTTAACAATAAAAAGCAAATGAACATTTTTTAAACAGATTTATTTTTATTATAAATATTCAATTAATATCCATATATTAAAATGTATTGAATTCTTTCATATCCAGAAATAAAATGCAATAAAAGAAAAGGTTTATTTAGGGTATTTTCAAAAGGAGCGCCATTGAGCCGTTTCAGAGAAGGGGTTTCAATCTAAAAATATCGATAACAAAACATTCCCCGCCTCTAGCTATCGAAAATTCTGTATCGATAATTCAATACCACGATACAAATTGACGTTTAGACAAAGAATATCGATATATTGATATGTTGATATCAACAACCCTTCAGTATTCGTGAAAATTCGGGAAAATTCTGAAAAAGGAAAACCTCAGTCAATTGTGAGCTAATAAACAATCAAAAAAATGTCACTCTTCGGTGCGTTGATGGGCGACTTTGACGATGATCTCGGCCTGATGAAGTAAGTCTGAATAAAAGCGGAAAATGGTGCGACTCCTGCATGGATAAGGCCTCATTAATTTTCCATACGTATGCACTCAAGTGAGGGCTCTTTGGGGCTTAGGTATAATAGGTATAAGTTAAGCCTGACAAAGTAACAAAGGTGATCTGAAATAGTTCAATAGAGATGAAGGAAGGCATCAATAAGGTGACAAAAAGCGCATAGCCCTTGGGTCGCATGTGTGCGTAGAGCATGCCTGATGAAAAGATGTAATAATCGATAATTTGAATAGGCGACCTAAAGCAGCCAAGCCCCATAAAGTAGCTCTTCGGCCAGACTTTAAAATGTATCATAGAATCAATCTTTGGAGTTCAATTTTACAAAAAGCAGGCGTATGGGTTTTTCATCATTGTTCCCGACATTTTCCGTTTGGTTTGTTTTATGTCAGTCACTTATATTTTAGGCTCAGTTTAGAATGTTCAAAAAAAGTAAGGGAAAATCACGTAGTAAGAAAGCAAATCACAAACAAGAAGACATGGATCCAAAGTATTTTGAGTCTAAGGCCATTAGCATTCAATAACGATCTTCCTCCCTTGCAGCAACCACATGAACCACACCATGAACGCCATGAACATGCAGATGCGTTCGATGAATCGTCTGATGAACTCCTTCATGCCGGATCCCTTCATGCAGGCCAATCCCTTTGACGCCGGATTCCCGCAGAACTCTCTAATGGAGCGCCCACAGATGGGTGCAATGGCGCCCATGGGTCTCTTTGGGATGCCCATGATGCCGAACTTCAATAGGCTGCTAAACGCTGGTGTGTATTTTCAAAAATCTCCCCATAATGCATTTCTGATTATTGTCTTTTAAGATATCGGCGGGAATCCGGGAGCTTCCTTCTGCCAGAGCACAGTGATGACTATGTCCTCGGGTCCCGACGGACGTCCACAAATATATCAGGCCAGCACCAGTACCAAGACTGGCCCCGGTGGTGTTCGCGAGACCAGGAAAACAGTTCAAGACTCCCGCACGGGTGTCAAAAAGATGGCTATTGGACACCACATCGGCGAGCGAGCCCACATCATTGAGAAGGAGCAGGATATGCGGTCCGGCCAGCTGGAGGAGCGTCAGGAGTTTATCAATCTTGATGAGGAAGAGGCTGAGCAATTCGATCGCGAGTTCACCTCGCGTGCTACTCGCGGTGCCGGAATACCTCCAGGACATCGCGGTGGAATGCCGGCTATAATGCCATCGCGCCCAGCTATTGCCAATACGGCATCCACTGTAACCATTGAACCAGTGGAAGACGATGACGAGGATGACGACTGTGTGATCCAGGAGCAGCAGCCACCGATGCCTCGCTCCTCAGGGGGCCGTCACTTGTCCCATTCGCCGTCGGCGGGTCCACACAGCAGCAGCAGGTGAGTGTTGCCATCCAACCCATCATACGTGTCCACTATCGGTGCGCGTGTGTATCTAGGATTAGCCAAACAGCCCTTTGGTGATTCCCTGCTCCCGACTAACATCTCCCCTTCTGCCAAGCAACTGTTGCTAAATCAAAATGTTTGTATTTACTTGCAGATATAATTACTAAGATTTAAAGTACATACAGTATATTTTACTAACTATCCGATACCAAAAAATTGCATTCTATAAAATTTCCGCTAATAACATTTTGAAACTGTGCGAATCCAAACGACACTTGAGGTAGGCCTCTAAAGAGTTAAGCTCGTTTTTGGTTCGTTCTATTTTTTGGTTTTGCCCACCGACTGCTCCTTTCGTTCGCCAAGATCTCACCAAGAACCACTCACAAAAAAAACCAGTACAAGGCCAGAGCCAAACGAAGAGGTTTCGCTATTGAAAAGCTTAGTTCGACTTTCGAAAACGTATTGTAATCTTTTTGTAAACTTTTCTTCGACTCGTTTTCATAACTTCGACTACACGATCAACGCGCCAATAGCAGCACCGTCGCAGCAGCAACACCAGCAGCAACCGTCTACGACATAACCGGCGGCCACAATAACAACTATGGCAACTCGCGTCGCTCGTATCTCCGAAATGGCCATGGTCACGGGCACGGTCTTGCCACGCCACGCCGCCCACTGCGAACGCCTCCGTCCTCACCGCTGGCCACCGTTTCCAACGGCAGCCACACTATTCCCGGCACTCCAAGGTTTGTTCCCTCGACATCAGCAGGACCCATCTCTCGCTTTCATGACAAAATGTATTTAGTAACCTAGGCATCGATGTTATCAACTTTGGTTGATAAGGTTTTTGTTGTCCGATATTTTAAAAGCATTAACTTTTTAAAAAGCTAATTTTTAAACTATTCTGACGTTGCTTTATATAATATTTCTGTTGAAATGCCTGTTGGTATTATGAATAAGCTTAGAAACATCATGAAGTTTGTTTTTTTTTTTTGGCAATTCACTCATGTTATTAACGACACATCTTGCTATCTTCTCTTCTCAACCTCTTTGACATTTTTGGATAACCTCCTGGTCCCGCAGAGATTGGCGTCTATATAACGCACGACTGTACCGAAAGTAGAGTACAGATTGAAACCAAAAGAAAGCAAGAAAGCAAAATAAAACTATAACTTACGCTAATCCTGTTAATCATATATGCAACCTTAAATCAACGAAGCACTGCGCTATAAGCAGTCGTCGACGTAACCACATAATGCACTCCGCTACTAACTCAGCTACAAAGGCGACGCCATGCTACGCTGCCGCCGCCCCTCGCCGCGAGAACTACGATATTGAGCACCGCAACACAGCAACCACAACATAATACACCACATCGCCTCCGAACCAGGGAGCTACGTGTAAGGCTGCCACTCACATCCCACACACATCTATCTCTACCTCCTCTGTCTGCATACTTGCCACAATCTGCGCCACGACCCGCGACGATCAATTGGCTATACCACCGACGCTAATAAAAATTCTAACGTTGTTGCTGCTGCTGTTGCTGCTGCTGTTTCTCCACTAACGAACACACGAATCCTCTGCTCCGACTCCAGTATATCCCCCGACTCTTCATCCATCACCACCTATGTATATCTCACTTTGGCTCCCCCAATCCTCCCACCCTCCCTTCATTATAATTAAAACTTGTTACAATGTCTACATGCCCAAAGAATTGGTGCATTTTTTTTGTTCATTTTTTATATATTGTGATGTTGAAGACACTGCTCCTGGACTAATCTATTTTGTATATTACTCCTCGTTTAGTGTACATCCGCATCCGTATGCCGCCGCCAGCACTAGGCGTCCGCAGCGCATGAAGCATCACCACACAGACGTTGAGTCGACGGCCCACAAGGGACCTAAACGCGGCAAGAAGCAGTAACCAATCCATACAATCCGACAGTCCACCACTCACCCTGGGAAACAAGCAAGGCTCTTTGTTAATTAGTAGAAATCAAGCATCATTTTTTCGTATTGGGGACAAGGTTTTATTTTTTCGGCCCTGTTCTAAGACGTCCTGCGTCCTCAAATATATATGTATATCAACGATCCGCAGGACAACACGAACTGCACTTCAACACTATAGTTCGCTACGATGTGACTGTTCAACGCCGGCGACCCAATCCAACGTAACATAACACAACCACTTTCAAAACTGTATCCAATCTTATGGGAATATAATTGAAATTCTAATTTAAGTTTAATCAACCTTTTGTTAGTTCTCAAGTTTTTAGATTCTTTTAGCTTTAAATTATAAACGATCGCTATTTGATCACGTGGACAGTACATAGCATTACAATTACAACTCCCTCTATATATAAGAGTTAAGTAAACGTTGATGTGAATTTAATTAAACGGTAAATACATAACATTAGAAAATCACGTCGAATTTCTTCTAAAATCTAAACTAAGACCACCCCGCCCCCCCGATCTAGTCCACCATCTCCATCTGCGTCTCCTCCGACTCCCGCCAGTTGCGTTGCACCATTTCCACAAGCTGCTTCCAGAAGACCGTGTGGCGCAGATAGTTGGCCAGACAGGCCAGGATAAAGGCCCATGCCAGGCCCAGATAGTAGTCCGTGTAGACCACTGGCACGTTGGGGAGGGGCTCGCTGAGTGTGCGGTTCAGGATGTGTTGGGGAATGCTCTGGGGGTCCACTGTCTTCACGTTCGTGTGTCGCATGATGAAGCGACCAAAGCTGCGTTTCTCCGAATAAGCCCAAGTGGGTTCGTACTTGATGAGAGGTCGTCCCTGGTGGAAGATCATCAAGGTGGGCAGAGAGACAATTCCGAACTCGGCGTTGAAGCGACTAAACTCGTACGCATCAATATAGGCGATGGGCAGCGTGGGAAAGAGGTGGGGCAGTAGGTTCATAACGGGTGCTACTCTGGCGCACTCCAAGCTGGAGACGGTGCAGAAGTGCACCACTACACAGCTGCCCGGCTCATGGCGCTTGGTGGCGTTGCCCACGGGCTTCAATAGGCGAAGTATCTCCTTGGCGCTGCCCATCATCAGAAGACCAGGCTCCTCTTCGGTTGCATTCTCCGGCGTTTCTGGCTGCAAGCATTTCATTAGGATCGGTGGCTTCCTAATTGGCGGCAGCTGGGTTAGGTGCAGGATGTGTTCGTCGTCCGGGGCACAGATGTGGCGATCCTCCTGCAGAGCATAGGTGCTGAAACTGTAGTGGCACTGGCCACGGGATATGCCCAAGGTCTGCAAAGTACCATTGGAAACGAGCCCGAAGTACTGCAGGGCACTCATCAGACCAGAAAGCTCCGCTCGGGCCTGGATAAGGCAGATAACTGTAAATGTTGCAAAATAAATTCGCTGGCTAATATTCATCTCTATATTATCACTTACAAAATAAAAACAATATTTTTGATATTTGATGCATTTGATTGCCTTTTCGGTGCCCAGTGTGGACAACGTCACCGTTTGGATAAAATACCAAAAAAAATACCAGACGAGACGGCAGTCCGTTTTTTTCTATAAACTGGGGGCTGTCCACACAGGAGATCAATAAGTTTACTAAATTTTTGCCTTGTTTTGTTTCTACTCATTACACCTAAAATCGCCCAGCCCACTTTTCGGGGAATTCAGCTGGTGTGGGATTACATCATTGCTGGCGTGAAGGAGTCCCACACGATGACGGAGCCTCGACTGGAGTTGGAAAGCGTCCGCCTGACGACCTTTGGAGAATGGCCATTGAATGCCCCAGTTTCAGCGGAGGACTTGGTCATCAACGGATTTTTCGCCACTGGCAATTGGCTGGAAGCCGAGTGCAACTGGTGCCATGTGCGCATCGACCGGTGGGAGTACGGCGATCAGGTGGCGGAGCGCCACCGTCGCTGCTCTCCCATTTGCTCAATGGTACTGGCACCCAATCACTGCGGAAACGTGCCTCGGGGTCAAGAGAGCGACCAGGAGGGTAACAATGTTGTGGACAGTCCCCAGTGTGTCTGCCCTGATTTGCTGTTGGAGGCAAACCGCTTGGAGACCTTCAAGAACTGGCCCGTGAGTGTTGAGATTTTCAAGGTCTTTCGAATATTTTAATGGTCTGTCTTTGTTGACGGTTTTCAGAATCCCAATATTACACCCCAGGCGTTGGCTAAAGCTGGCTTCTACTACTTGAATCGGCTGGACCATGTAAAATGCGTCTGGTGCAATGGAGTGATTGCCAAGTGGGAAAAAAATGACAATGCGTTTGATGAACACCGACGCTTTTTCCCGCACTGTCCTCGCGTACAAATGGGACCGCTTATAGAATTTGCTACAGGAAAAAATTTAGATGAGTTGGGGATTCAACCTACCACCCAGCCCCAGCGTCCGAAGTACGCATGCATTGATGCCCGACTGAGGACTTTTTCGGACTGGCCCATCTCCAATATCCAACCGGCAGACGCACTAGCCCAGGCTGGATTGTACTACCAAAAAATAGGCGACCAGGTACGATGTTTCCACTGCAATATCGGCCTGCGTTCCTGGCAAAAAGAAGACGAGCCATGGCACGAGCACGCCAAGTGGTCTCCCAAGTGCCAGTTCGTTTTATTGGCCAAGGGTCCCACCTATGTACAGGCAGTGCAAGAGGAAACAGCGGCTAGTGCCAGATCTCCACAAGCTACGGCTCCTGCTCCCTCGCTCCAGGCAGAGGCCCTAATGGATGAGGCGCCGGCCAAGGAAGCCTTGGCGTTGGGTCTTGACGGAGGAGTGGTACGCAACGCTATACAGCAAAAGCTTTCCAGTTCTGGCTGCGCCTTTGCTTCTCTTGACGAGCTGCTTCATGCCATTTTTGATGAAGGAGACACCGAAATTGCCCTAGAGGTTATGGAGCCTCCGGAACCAAGTGCGCCCTTTGCTCCGGATATCTGCCAAGCCACCACCAGCAAGGCAGCGTCTATTAACTCAGATTGCGCAAGACCAGTGCCACAGGCTCCTGTTCCCGTGTCCGTGCCGGATGTAGCAAGTCTAGCCGAGCAAATGCAAAAAACATCAATGGCCACGCCAAATGGAAACTTGTCGTTGGAGGAGGAAAATCGTCAGCTGAAGGACGCGCGTTTGTGTAAAGTGTGCCTGGACGAGGAGGTTGGTGTTGTGTTTCTACCTTGTGGGCACTTGGGTGAGTAATTAATTCTCGTTGATTAACTGAATCCTAATTATTTGTTCCTTCAGCTACTTGTAATCAATGCGCCCCGAGTGTAGCCAACTGTCCTATGTGCCGTGCCGACATAAAAGGATTTGTACGCACTTTCCTATCGTAAAACTGTTATGCACATCAGCTAGTTTTTATATAAATTGATTGTTTTTATTTTTCGAGACAAACAATACGCCAGCGCCTGTGATCCGTACAGGCAGTTACAGTTCAAATAACCCGGTGATTAGCTAATGAAATACCTTTGATCGTCTACTAGTACTTGCATAAGCTGTTATCATTACGACCTATATCACTTTGTGTCCAAAAAAGCTCAACCGGTTGGACGGTTGTCAGGCTAGAGCCGCTTCCTACGATATCGTCCCTGAAGCAATTTATTGTTCTCCTTGAGAGACACTCAATACGTTTCCTCGCACTCAATATGAACCCTGGAAAGGACTCTCTTCTTCAGGAGCCGCCAACGCTGACACGTCCATCCTCGGTGGGTAAACACCGCTTCAGTAGCAGTAGAAAGCGGCGTTTTAAAATCAACAGGGCTGCAAGGAATAAATTTGTTAGTCAATGAAATTATTGTAAAATTACAAAATTTGTTAGTGAAAGAAATGAGTGTAAAATTACAAAGAGTTTATCCTACTACTTGAACTTTTTAATGGGTATTTTTGGGGCTATTACTGCAATCTCTTGTAAATACTTTAAGGATCTTGAGCCTCAAATCGAGCCCAATACGCTATTTCAAACTTCTAAAGAGTTCGCGGTCTATAGGGTGAAACTATCGATAAAATGTTATCGATATTTTCAGTAATGCCGTCACTGGTTCGACTCGTGTGCCTTCTCAAAAACAATATACTGGCAACCTCGAACGCTGATCTTACAGCAAACGCCAGTCCCAGAAGTGAAAATAACTGAAAGAAATTGTTAAAACTTGCGAGAAACGAAAAATAATAGCCAACGTGCCAAACCCGGGAACGGGTGTGAGAATTCTCCAGCTTTGAGTTGTATCTGGGGCGCGGAAATCGGTGTCGAATCTACTGCATCGGAGTGGGGCACGGAGTGAGTATTTTCGTCGATATTCGTGTGGCAAGTGGATTGAGTCTATAAAAAGTAGTTCCCTTCGGTGGAAAACAAAGCGAGGCACGCATACATAAAGGCAGCAGCCAGAAGGTTCAGTGTGGGGAGGGGGGAAGCCTAGGCCGCGACGCGTATCGCAACCCCAAGAATGACTGATCAGCCAGCCATTAAGGTATTCCCCAGCCAACCGAAGAGCCTAATCAGCGATTTATTTTTTTTTTTTGCTGAAGAACAGTTATACACATTCGCAGTTTGTTTACTTCTGGCATGAATCAAAACATAAAACGTTGACAAAAAGGGAACGATCGTTGTGGCGCAATCGACCCAGGCATCAGGCTTCCCAGAAATATGAAACTCCATTGAAGGCGCAGTTGCAGTGCAGGGGATTTGTGCAGGGGTGGGGGTTACTATTACTCATTCGAGGCGTAACTATGTCGGTTGTTTAGTGAATGTCAATTTCATAGCAATTGCAACTTGCCTACTGCGGCAATCGAAGAGTCGAATGCGAAAAACGCGTTTTGTGCACCTGGGGTGTTGCCGTTTCAGCCGCTTTTCCGAAGGTCAGAGGAGGAGATGAGTGAGACGGTCGGACAGTAGGAGTTTCCACGACAGTACGGCAGTACGGGAGTAGTTGCACTTGAAAAGCCAACGACGACTCTAATTATTTTGTTTACTTTTGTGCGAAAAAACGAGAGCGGCAGCGAAATTTAACGGTACGTGGTGGAGCCACAGCTGAGCGGTCTCCACACTCAGATTGTGTGAAAATTGTGTGAATTCGCCATCAATAGCGCTGCGTCGCTAAATAATTTGACCTCTCGGGCCAACAATTATTGTACGGATGCTGCTGCTACTGCTGTCCATTCTATTAGTCTCAGTCGAGACCCAAGAAATGCAAGTTGTGTGAGTTTCGTGGGCTTTTATGGCACGACAAAATCAAGCGAAGGTCACGGCTAAACATATGCAAAATAAAATAAGCCAACCCGCGAGAGCAGCCCAAAACTAAAACTAAAAGAAACTCGTAGCTAACATTTTGTGATTCAGCCACAGATACCTGTCTCAAAAGCAGACCCCAACAACAACCACAACCATTTTGACGTAAATCGAGGTAACGTGCCAACGATCTGCTGCCCCTCCCCACCGTCTAGTATGTGCGACTGCCTTGCGTTTTGTTAATATAGTGTTTTAAAGATAAAAAAATAAACGGACGTACATTCACCTGATGCTGCCTGTATATTGTCTCTTTCCCCACTTTACTAAATTGAGCCGCTTCTGGGTTGTTTTTGCTGGGATTTGTTTGCGGACGCGGTTCACTCACGTGCAAACATTCATAAACGCCAGAGCACGCGCTTGTTTGCATTTGATTGCATTTTTGCATTTAACGAATGCTGATGTCCCCACTGACCTGCCCGAACCAGCCCAGTGGCTTTAAGTTCACGGCGATTATGGGGGAATTTGCAATATCAGTTTTATTATTATTCCATTTTGTACTTCTAGCACGATCCCATCTCATCCCCAACTCTGCCGGCGTTTGCTTTGCCAATTTTGAATCAACAGCTGCCGTTGGAAATGCCCCAAGATGTCCAGTAAGGAGCAGCTAGCAGCAGGCCGTGACTTCAAGAGGAACTCCAACGCCTACGCCAGTCTGCCGGCCACAGGCTCGTTGTCTGGAACCCCGGGAAAGCCCCGCAGCCGACAACAGCAGCTAGAATCCGAGCAGTATGGGCTCTCGCGCAGCTTGTCCAGCGAGTCGCTCCGGCAGGCCTGCACCTACTACGAGGACGACCTGAGTGACGAGGATCTCATCGAGATTCGACAGACGCCGCAGAGCTTCCATCATCCGCTGGCAAAGGCCCATCTGCACATGCAACCCATAAGCTTTAGGATGGGCGATGGGCAGGGAAATACGGATGAGACCAGTGCCTTTTGCGGCAGCCAGGAGATGCAGCCGGTGTCACTGAGCACGCCCATCAAGCAGGCCGCAGAAACAGATGAAGCTCTCTGTGTGCTCAGCGAACTGGACGCCATCCTAGATGGGCACGATGTCTCCCAACTGTTCGGAACTGGTTCGTCCTCCGGCAGCGACGACGACAAAGTGGAGGACTACCTCATGGATCTGGACAATTATCTGGAAGAAATGGATAATGCTCTGAGCCGCGAGGAGTCGCTTATAATCATGGACAGGAGCTGCAGCAAAACAGAGCCAAGAACCAGGACGCTGCCTATGAGCATGAAACATAAATCGAATAAGAAACGCGGGGCCAACTTAGAAGCCACATCGCAAGAGGATTTCCAAAAGGAGCCCCAAATAAAGAAATCCTATAGCTGTTCTTTAAGGGGCACGAGTCAACCAGGTGAGAATACGATGCTGGAGTCGGATTTCAGAAAAATAAAGCCTTTCTGTATTTGCAGCTTCTTCCAGTTCTATCTTGGAGCCAGTATCTGAGCCCATAAGGGACGTATGGCGGCGTCAGTCCATGCGACGCGCCATTGAGCACGAGGAAGAGGCCACCAAGACCACGAACAGCGAGGCAACGGAAGACGACCTGCCCACCTTACTGGTGGAGCTTCCACTGCGGCGGGAAGAAGCCGAAATGCGACGCTGCTACTCCCAGAGCGATTGTCAGGGTACGCCAGCCCAAGCCTCCAATGGTTCTCAGATGTTGACGGACGCCCACATCTTTGACAACCTGCTGCAGGTGACGACAGCCCGAGCCTCCAGCGAGGAAGCACGTCCCCGCCAGTACGGCCGGCGCTTGGAGGGCCCACCCACGCCGGTCCGATCCCTGGTTATAGCCCAGAATCGACCACAGAGTGCTCCGAACCGAGTGCCGGCCAGAGAGCGGCCGCCGCCACTGCAGGAAACACCAACGCACGCCTGTTCGGAAATAAGTTCTGCGAGGTCTTCGCGAATGCACAGCCCCGTGTCTCTTCCCTCGGACAGCAGCAGCAGTGGGAGCAGCTCTGCAGACCAAGACCAGGAACAGGATGACCCGGTACAGACCACGACCATATGCAGCGCCACCAGCACCACGCCTCTGGAGCCAATGCAGCACCCCCTCCAACTGCACGTCCGCGAAAAGTTCGGCTTCAACAGCCAGTGGCCACATGCCGGAAGTCGGACCATGGCGCTGATTGGTTGCACCTTGGGAGTCTTCAATCTCTGCCGCTTTGCCGTGCTGACCATCAACTTTGGTGGCAACTTCTTGCTTCAGTTCCTATTACTATCCGTGATCTTCGGCATCCCAATCCTCTGGCTCCAAATGTGCTTGGGTGCCAAGATTCGAGCAGGTCCTGTTTCCATGTGGAAAATAAGTCCAATATGCGCCGGCGTTGGCATCGCCCTGGTAATGGTCCAGTGCTTCTTGGCCTTGTACTCGACCGTGTCGTTGGCTTGGATCTTGGTCTACTTGCGGGACGTTTTTCCAACAGCTTCGCGTTCGAACTATCGCTGGCAGGAGCTGGCCTTTCCCTATCGCTACGATGCATCGAATTTTACCGGGAATCTCACCCAGACCGTCGCCGAGTACTTCAATGTGGTGGTGCTGCAACGGCTCCATTTGACCAAGCATCCGGATGCAGGTGGCATGCGTTTCCATGTCAACGATCGGGTAAGGTCCCAGCACCCCCTGTCTTTTCCCCATCTAACTGGTAAACTTCCTTCAGCAGCTAGCTTTCTACTTGGCCCTGATCTGGACAGCAGTTTTTCTCATACTCTGCAAGGGATTGAAGTCCTTCGGCAAGCTGTCCTACCTTATCTACAGCCTGCCTCTGATAACCCTTGCCGTGGTGACTGCAAAGTTTGCTTACGTCGTGGATCCCAGAAGCTTACAGGTAAGCCTCACCTTAGCCTCATAGCCTTATATTTTGAGGATCGGAATAACAAAATGATATCCTTTTCAGAATGTCTTCGCTGCCAGTAACTTTGATGACTTTATAGTGAACTCCAACAGCTGGGCAGCGGCCACCCAGGAGACCTTCCTCACTTGGGGATTGCTGGGAGCTTCGGTCATTGCCATAACCAGCAGAAGTCATGCCAATGCCGGCAAAGGAGCCTTGAGAAGAGATGCCATCATCCTAGTTCTCATAACCTTTCTGGGTCTGGGACTAATGGCTATTCTGGCTTTATGCTGTGTCCAGATTTTATGGCAGCATGGATACGTTTATGTGCCTGGATCCTTCGGTAAGCATGAGCTTGTTACTATTGCTTTCGAAACCTAACATATATTGTGTCTCCTTGCAGAAAACGCAGATTGCTATACGTCCATCTATTCCCTGCAGGCGCACACTAATCCTAACCTGCTCTCCTATCCGCCTGCTTTGATGCCGCACTACTCATCCTTCATTGGCGAGACTTACCGTAGGAACCTTACTGTGATCCACGTAGAGAGTGGCTTCCAGGCCCTGCGCTTTATATCGGAGATCTTTCCCGCCGTGCTCTCCCTGGCAAGCGATAGTGTCTCGTGGGTTTGGGCAGCCGTTTCCTTTGGTTGCTTTGCCGGATTCGGCCTCGCGCAACTCTGTGTGATGTGGAAACCCATTTCGAGTGCTTTGGGCAACTCTACCAGTTCCGTGCTCCTGAGCTGCGTGACTGGACTTCTACTCAGTATTCCCTTTGCCACGGAAATGGGGATTTCCATTTTGTACTACGTGGACTTTCTGCTGGGCGGCTCGTGGTTTATTCCTATTATCTGGACAGCTCAGATATTTGGAGTGTTCCTGATACGAGGACGTCCATACAACGGCGATGACCTGGTCAACGACCTGAGACTGTGCGGCTCTATGTCAGCCTTTCTGGCTCTGTCCTGGAACGTTCTACTGCCCATTGGCCTGATTACGCTTTCTGTAATTGATTACAAAGCCTCGCTCTCCAACCAGTTCTACTATTGGCGTGGAAAATCCTACTTCTCCTACTGGTCAAGGAAAATGGGAAGCCTCATCCAGATTGGAGTGCTGCTTGTTATCCCTGTGACGGCCATTATTCAAATCTACCGATACCTGAGCAAGGGTCCCCCGGATATACTAGAGGTAATATATTTTGGAATCTGACATCCATATATTTGGAGTACTTACCCTTCCTTCCGATATTCACAGCGTATTCAGCTCCTATATCGGCCTCCAGAAGAGGGCGAAGAGACTCGTCGCCCGTCAGCGCGTCAAAGCGATATTCAGGGACGGCGGAATGCTATGGGCCAGACAGCCGATGGGGCGCCGCTCGATGCTCAACACGATGCTCCTCCCAAGTATACACCACCTCCGTCCTACACCACAGCCACTGGGGCGAGACTGGCCAAACTTCTACGGCAGAGCATTCGGCGTAGCGTACGCAGGTAAGAATCTTTTGGAGTATTCCTTGGAATGGCTACTTACTTTCTAATCTTATCAGGGTGCTTGGCGACTCCAGTCGTACTCGTCCTGTCCTGTCCATCGATGCGGAATCTGCGTCACCCGTGTCACCGCCGGACTACCTGACCATACTAACGAATCCAGCGGGCAGCAGCTCGAATGCGGATCCTTCAACAGCGTCTAGTAGTAGTCCCGTGTCTATAGAAATCGGATTGCGGCCGGCTAGTTACGCACAACGCTCGCAATCGCTTGGCAGAAAGCTCCATCGCTCGGAGACATTAAACGAAGAGCGCCGTCCCTACACGGCAGAAGATGTGGTGACCATTTTGCGTTCTTCAGTGCGACATCGTCAGGCGTCTAGAGCCGCGGGGGAAACCGCCAGCACCTTGCCACGTCCTCCCACAGCAGCCTCCATGTCCATTCATATGGAGGATGTTTCATTCCGCTCCATTGAAAATCTCGTACTGAATGCCGAACCACTGGATAGGACGCCAGGAGTGGAACTGGATGTGGAAGAAGAGGCTGGGCAGGCGGACGAGTGTGCGCAAAATAATACATCTGTGATTTAACTGACTAATATCGTAGCGTAACTCTCTTGCGAATTGCATATCCACTTGCTTTTTTAGACTTGATTAGCCCTAGGTATATACAGAATATTAGCAATACTTTTTATTTACGCGAATAATAACAAGAGTAATTAGTTGGTATCGTCCGAAGACATACTTTTTTATCCAAATATTTGTTATTTTTCGGGGGTCTTGATTTTGTTGGTTCATGATCTGGATTATTTGAGCTATAGGTATACGTGCTTTGCCATTAAAAGGTACCAATTAGTAGATTATTAAACGTGACCAGTGAAAGAGGAAGGTTCATGGATGCATTGCATCTGCTCTTGGCCGAAGGAAAAATATTAATCCCCCTAATTTGAAAACTACCACGTTGCCAAGATATTTCGAGAAGGGTAACGGATGTACATGTAACCTTATGAATAGGGATGGTTATGATTTGCATTCAAGTATACAAAAAAAAATGGTAAAAAAGAATCAGGTTTTTGAAATGGACTATTTGCCGCGTAACTTCAAAAAATATCGATAATCAGTAGCTGCTATCGGTGTTTTTTTTGGCTCCACCTATATTTCACGTATCTCACAAAAATACTAACCATCCTTCGCGAATAGGACAAAAATTTCCCTGGGGATTCAAAATAATTATAAAATAATTCATTTTTCGTTCGTTTCTTATTAATTTTTTACTTCGGAGGGCAAATTTCAGTTTCTATGTCGATAATCAACCAACCTGTATTGGTCAGGCCTGTTATGCAATGCTGGGCACACTAATACTGCAGCCGAGTGGGCCCGAATCTCATGAATTCAAAATTCGTGTATCTGTCGGATTCGTATTTGTATCTTGCAGTAGAGCAGACGCAAACTCGCTTAACGGCGAACCAAAGTTTTTTTTGGATAGAGCGGACGCCGCGGAGTTTTCGATTTCCGGATTTCGGAGAGGAATCGTCGTCGGTGAATAAAATTAAAAGAAACAACGAAAAAACCAAAATACGAGAAAGTGAAGAAAATCCAAAAGGACATATTTGAATAAGGAACTTTGAATGAGTATCTTTCGTCAGAAAGTTGCAATGTTTTCAAAGCCACGCATCTGAGGCACTTAATGCCGCGATACCGAAGTTGAAGCCGAAGTTTGTGCCGCCGCCATCGCCATCGCCATCGCCGTTGCGCCCCCAGGTCGAAAAGTGCTCAAACAAGATTTCCACTTGAAATTCCTGAATTTCGTTGTGTCTGCGCAAATCGAAACGAATTGAAATATAAAAGCGCAATACGAATCAAATTTAAGTTGCGGCTCCAAGTTGTACGCATTTTGCTGCAAGTGTATAGTGTTAGTGTGTGTGTGTGTCCAGTGTGGTGTTCTTTGTTTGCTATCCTGCCTGCCTGCCAGCCTGCCCGAGTTAGAGGCCTCGATTTGGATTAGCTGTGTGTTTGCTGGATGAGGACGGTAAGTGTCCTTCGTCCACGACTTGTGTATATGTAGCTATTTGCTTGGGGCTTTCTGCTGGCCCCCCCCTCACAAGCATCTACTCACAACTTATTTTGCCACAATTTGCTGTAGTGTTTTGTATTAGCATTTTTATATCCCGCCTCGCAAAGTTGACAAACAAAACGCACACGCTCACAAAGGATTTCATTACGTACTGGGTGGGACGCCAACGTAACGCCAACCCCCCGCTCTCTAGCCATCTCTCTCTCTCTCTCTCGAATAATTTGGTTTTCGCCTTTTCGTCCTTTCTCCTGTTTTCGCCCATATAGGGTATACAAGGGTATATGGACATAAGCTCTAAAGATACCAATTGGGTTTGAAAAGCATTAGGTATATAGGGTATAAACTCTTTGAATGTCCTGTGGTCCTTTTGATTTCTGGTCCTATTTGTTTTGTTTGTGTATCTTTTCGTTCGGCTTTCGTACGAATTGCGTAGTTTTTAGCCTATATCCTTCCTCCGAGCTTTCGTCCTGCCCTGACGTACACACAAGTTCGCCATAAATATTTCCCAATATCGAATAAAGGGGCGATGAGACAGCCTTTTCCTGTGCCGACCCACCGCCTCCTATCTCCCCCTGTGCTGTCGCTGCTCTAATCTCGGGGGACACTAATGTTTTACGACAATTCCTATGCCGCCCAGTACAGACCTAATGCACACATCAATGGCAAATTAGATATACTCTACAGCAACGCACTAATAACAATCATTGCGAGTGTGTGGGCTCCCATCCAAGACGATTGTTTTCCTGATTTGGCTGTTACTTCCAATACATTTGAGGGACATTTGAGAGATCCCGCCAAGACGCGGGGACAACTCCACTTATGCCTGCCTGCCGTATGTCTTGTTCATTGTCGAACAAATGGAAATCGTTTTGTTTTTCTTTTTTCAAGTGACAAATTTTCATTGCTTTCCGCCGCCACTAATCGCTTACTTTGTAGGAACTCTTGGAAGACCTCCATTGGGGAGACCCATCACGAGTGAAATACAAGACAAGTGTCCATAAACAAGGGGAGTGGGTAAAGGCCAACGACTTTCCGATATCCGCTACTATCCATTGTATCTTGAACTAGGATAATTGTTATGTTTTGTACTGGGTAATCTATCAGTACTATTCCCTTTAATCTTCATCGGGAAACCACTTTCTTATTGCCCCAACCAGAGCTTCCCGTCCCATTGATTAGTCGTCCCAACTCCGAATCCGAATCTCCCTCAATCCCCCCCAAGTGCAATCGATTTAGATTGTGTGTTGAGACTAAACACACACCGTGCTCCAAAAACACAGAGCCCAGATCAGTATAATATATATGTCGGTGTCACCGTTAATTGGTAGAAATCCACCCGATTCCATCTGCCATCTAAATTACACTCCCAATACCCATACCCAAACCCTTCTGAACAAACCGATTTCCAATTCCGATTCCAATGGCCAGAGCGATGCTCTGGTAATTAGTTGTGAATTGGATTTGGGATCACATAAAAGTGTTGATTATACACATCGATGGCCACGCCCTCGTCCCCCCATCGAGTGGCCAGTGTTTTGTTTTTGTTTTGGACTTTCGGGGGCATTGGGGTAAGCCGTGCGTAGTGAAAGCCTCGGAGGGAATAAACTGTCGGCAGTGCGCCCCAAATTGGATTGGAATCGGAATCGTTCAGAGGTGCTACTGGACAACTGATGAAATGTCTTGCATTTAAGATATACTCTTTGAGATTCAATAATTAATCAATTACAGGCATTATAGAGTATTTCATGTATTGGGAACTGGAAGAAACCATCCAAAGTCGGGTCATAAAGTGGCTCTGTCCAAAACGCAAAAAGAGAAGGCCTGCTGACTGACGGCCCTCGCTTTCCGCTGGTTTCGGCCAAGTGAAATGACCTGCCATTTTGTTAAGAGCCAAAAGTAAAAAAAAAAAGATACCCAAGACTGGGCAAAAAGCCCCAGTCACAACTAATAAGATTGAGTCAAAACGAGGAACACGGGGAGAAGATCGCCTACCAACAGCCGATCAGCGAGGTAAGGTTAATGTCTTATCGACATGCTGCAATCTATGTATTTAATTGACTCGACTGCAATTATAGTGTACACTCTATATACAAGTATGTATACATACAGTCAGGGTATGTACTGTGTATCTTCTTTCTGCAGACAAAACGTCGTAAAATGGGAAAGAAATACTTGCTTATAATGATTTCGCATAAATCGTGACTACTCGCCAAAATGAAAGGCGAGAATTTATACTAAGAGGGTACGTGGTGTAGGCTGTGTTGTTGCTTTCGTTGGTGCTACAACAAGTTACTACAACAATGTAGTCACCGCTCCATTCGTATTTAGCTGGAGCTGGAGCTGGAGTGTCGGTCGGTGTCAGAGGCTAGACCCCTAGCCCCCGACTTCGTTCCTGCCTTTGGTTCGCTATTCCGCGCTCGAGAGTCTCCAAAGCTAAAGCTGGATTTGTGCACAGGCTCTACCTCTGGCTCTAGCTCTGGCTCTGGCTCTGATGGCTTTGGTCAGCCAACGACAGGCGAGTTAAATTCCAAGTCGTGTAGCCATTCCGAAAGTCGACATTTTATTACTTTCAAAATTTTGGAAAATATTTCATTTAGCACCTCGAAGAGATCTTTATTAACAGTGGAGGTTGTGTATCCTCTTATGATTTTAGATATTTTAAAATTTCCAAGTTTATGGGTCAGTAATCCAACTCCTTGAAAGGGTATAACGAAAAGAAAAGGTTGAAAACCTGTAATGGGGGACAATTCCCGGCAACTCCTAGTGATGCGCTCGTGATACTGTCCTCCTCGTTGGGGATTTCGGTTCTAGCCTATATTGTTGTGGAGCATGGCTCACATCCTCCAGTCAACACTGTTGGTAGAAATCGTCTAGGGGCAAGTCCCTGAGAGTAGATGGTCAATGTATCCGGCCATTGCCAAATCGTTAACACTTGACATCGCATCCTCTCGATACTGGGCACCTTTATTCCCAGAATCTTGGTCAGCCTACCAGCATAGCGAATGTGAAATGAAATAAGAATAAGACCTTAAATGATATTTGATTGTGGTCGATTAGTAAAAATTTTATAATGGCAATCTCTTCCCCATTCTCCTGTTCTCGGTTTCTTCCGGCTTGGAGGCTTGAGTATGTTTTGGAAACCCAAAATCCCCCTCGCCGGATTTCATGCTCATCATTAGGCCTGACAAAAGTTCTTCCCAATCATTTATGCAACGAGAAGAAGTCTTCCCATAATTAACGCCGAGCATAATGGTGGGATGGATGGGGTGCGGGGACTCGGACCTGGAATTTCTATGCTCCGCTGCACACAAATGATGGGAGACGACGGCCAGCCAGTGGACAGTCAGTCACTCAGACATGGCAATTGGATTGCTCGGAGTGTATCCCTATTGTTATAGTTTGTTATTTGTTGTTCCTCCTCCCATGTGTAGGTGACTGGACTGTCTTCTGTCGACGGGCCCTCGGGACGGATTTATTAAAAGCGAGCCCATGCACCGGGGAGCGGGCTGGAGCTGGGGGTGCAGTGGTGGTCAGATGGAGAGCCGACTTCTATTTGATATATTGCAGGCATCCGGTGGAGACAACACTGACGCTGACGTGATGCTGCAATAAAATCTGCGCCGACTCCTCATTATACATAAATACCCTGCCCATAAAAGCGGTATCCCAAAAATCCAAAT